TAATATCTAAAGCACTTAATTATTCTATTCTAAGAAGTAATAGTAGTATAAGTACTGCTCTAATATCTAGTTTTATCTCTTAGTCTACTTATCTATCTATAGGTAGAAAGCTAAGATTAGAACTCTTCTAGTATTAAGATAGTATAGAAAGGTATCTTAATACTTTAAGTTTATTAAAGGCTCTTAATCTAAGATAATGCGCTTTAGTATGCTATATAGTTATATAACTTTATATATCTAGGCCTATACTAGTTTAGTACTATCTTAATTAGCCTATACTAGCATATAATGCGCTATTTTAGTTAATCTATCTATAATTACTAGAGTAGCATTATAGACTACTTTAGAGCACTTACTTAGAGATAGCTCTATTATAAAGTCTATAGTTACTTTCTTCTAAGATTTATCTAGTATTAGAAGAGATTATAGTAGCCTATAGAGCTAGTATCTTAATAGCATAAACTTCTTGCAGATAAGATAGTCTTTATAGTACTACTCTATATCTTTGCGTATACTCTTCTATATATAGTAGTAATATTATTAGCTTTTTAAGAGTATATCTTACTTTAAAGTAGCTTACTAATAGGCTATTATAATACTATTAAATAGCTAGTAACTTATCTTTATTAGTTATAAGCATTTATACTATATAATAGGTTCTTATAGTCTCTTCTAAGCCTAAGTTATTCTCTTTAGAGCCTAACTTATTAGAGGTAGCTAAGAAAGTATAATTAGTCTCTTTCTACTTCTTTATACTGCGTAAGTTAGAAATATAGCACTTATCTACCTACTAGAACTTCTTTACTATCTTAGTAAGGTTCTTCTATTTCTTAGAATAGCTTACTAACTAAGTAGTAATAGCTATAGCTAAAATAGTATTCTAGTTACTCTAGTTTAGAATATCTCTTATTAGTTAAATAAAGGCTTTGTTATACTTCTAAGCTAGCTTCTAAGCCTTAGCTATATAGTTTAGTCTTTAGAATAGCCTATCTGCTAAGTTTATAGTTTCTAGTTAGTATATAATAGTAAAGTTAAACTTAGATAATATAAAGTATAATCTTAGTCTACTAGTAGCTAAGAGTCTTAGTTTCTATAAAGTATTTTAGATTCTAGTAGTTAGTTAAGAGCTTAAAATAGACACTCTTAAAGATATTATCGTCTAATACTCTAGGCTCTTAACTATTATAAGCAGCTTCTAGTTATAAGTATTATAGTTATACTTAGCTGCTATAAGCTTATAATAAAAAGAAGTTAATTAGCTACTATTAGCTCTTACTATACTAGTCTAGAATAAATTAGCTTAGAATACTTATAATTGCTCTACTAGAGGCGTTAACTTTTATTCTTATTTTTCTATTCTGCTTAAAATAAGCTAAGATAAGAATATTTAGAAATAAATCTTTTAATTTCTAAAAGGCCTTCTTAGCTTTCTTATTAAGATTAAGAACTTAGCTTTTCTTTCTTTATTAGGCGTAGCTACCTTTAGCTACTTTTAGCCTCTTCTAAATTAGTTTAGTAAGAAGTAGAGTAAGCTAAGAGAAGTTAGTAATAAATTATCTATAATAATTTATAAATCTAATAAATACCTAAATCTTATATACTATGCATAGTTTAAGCTATTTCTATATTATCTTAATATAGTCTTTATTAATCTTAATTCTCTTAAGTATAACTATATAGCTTAAGTACTCTATGCGCTAAGTATACTATTTATACTTTAGAAGCTTAAGATATAGCTTTAAATTATATAATCTGCATAATACTTCTATTATATAGTATATATACTTTTCTTCTATATTAGAAAAGATAAGAATATTATCTAAGTATATAATATAAGATACATCTATTAATTCTGCTAAGACTTAATAAATATAAGCCTAGAACTATATAGGCGTATTTATAAGACTAAAAGATATTATAGTATACTTAAAACTGCTATATCTTATATAGAATACTATTTTCTACTTATTACTTTCTTAGATATAAACTCTATAGTAAGCTTTCTTTATATCTAGCTTAGTATAGAACCTTATACTAGCTAGTCTCTTTAGAGATTTAGTAATAAAGAGTAGAGAGTGCTAGTTCTTAATAGTTACTTTATTAAGATCTTAGTAGTTAATGCATAGTCTTATACTACTATCTTTCTTCTTAGTAAAGAGAATAGATACTCTAGCTAAGAACTTATTATATCTAATTTAGCTATGCGCTAAGTACTTATCTAGGTACTTATATAATAACTTAAGCTTTATCTTAAAGAGATTATATAATAGCTAGTATAGTACTATAGCTCTAAGTAGTAAGTTAATAGCTAAATTTTATAAACTATAGTCTACTAGAACTTTTAAGTTATCTTCTAAGCCTAACTGCATAAACTTAGTATATTATAGAGAGATCTTATCTCTTTTAGCCTCTTCTAAGCTAGTTTAGACTACTAAAGTAATAAGATAGCTATATATATCTGCACTAAGATTATATATTATCTTTTTAAATTCTTTAGCTTTCTCTACTATAATCTTCTAGAAAACTATCTAATTCTTAGACTTTATACTTCTAAAGATTAGCCTATGCGTTTAGTAGCTAATTTTAGAATTATATATATCTATCTAGAGCAGACCTAAGTATACTTAGTACTTTAGAATCTTAGAGACTATAAATATTATATTATATATCTCTTTCTTTCTATAAAAGTCTATAATTTTTATAGTAATCTTTATAGTTCTATAGACTTTTCGCTTCTTACTATTTATACTCTTTACTAATAGTATTAGTAAGAGTTAAACTAGTAAGTTATACTTCTTTATAAGAACTATAGAAATAAGGTTTAGCTATAAACCTCTATTAATTATAGCCTCTATAAGCTCTAATTAGCTAATTACTACGTTTACTATTAATAGCTTAGTAAGCTTTAAGTAAAGCATATTATAAAGAAGTCTAAAGTCTCTTAATACTAAATTAAGAGTAATATAAGTAGTAAGAAAAGACTCTAGCTTCTTTACTTACTACTTTTCTTTATGCTAAGATTAGCTACTTCTTATTTTATATCTTTAGACTCTAGATACTTTCTCTAGAAGTATCTAGGCTTATTATAGCCTTAATAGACTAATATAGAGTCTTTTAAGCTATCTTAAGCTTATTTAGCTAGCTTTAGTCTTATCTTTACTACGTTAGATATTTTAGTCTTCTTTTAGTTCTATAAATACCTTAAGTATAAATTTAATAAGATCTTATCTTAACTCTTTCTTTTAGGCGCTAAATACTTTAAAAAAATAGTTATTCTTTTTATCTTATCTTAGTAGGTTAGTAGAGTAAGAGTATTTAGCTTAAAGACTATTATATATTTAAAGAAGTCTCTTAGTAGAAGTTTTCTCTAGATCTCTAGAAGTAGCGCGCTTATAAAGTCTATTCTATGCTATTCTTCTAGATAATTACTTAGCTTACTCTATAATATATTTATCTTTGCTAGAAGAATATTAGAGTTCTAGTTTTACTACTGCCTAGTATATTTTAGATTATTATAAGCTATAAAGTACTATATTACCTTAGAACTAAGGTAATTAAGTATTATTATCTTAAGTTAAGCCTATAAGAGCTACTAAGCAGAGTCTAACTATTTCTAATTCTATATAAATATATTCTAAGTAGAGTAAGTAGTTTTATTAAGAAATCTTACTATAAAATCTATCTTATAGAGATTAGAGTAAAATATATTAAGTACTCTATAAAATATTATCTTATAGTTATATACTTAGTAGTTATACTATAAGTAGTTATAGTTTATAAATATCTCTAGATTCTTTAGATAAGAAGCACTAAGGTTTAATATAAGCTTAGCTCTATAAGTTAGAACTAGATAAATAAAGCTTTTATTAAGTGCTAATAAGTTATCTACTTATACTTTATACTTTAACTCTTTAAGTTATACTAGTTCTTAGCAGTTATATTTAAGTTTAGCTTAATTCTAGAGTTATTTTAGCTCTCTTGCAATTATAGCTAGATTACTATTATTATTAATTATTACTAACTAAGAGAGTAGAATAAGAGCTAGCTTAGCTTATGCTGCTATATTATTATCTAGCAGAGTTAAAGTTAGAGTAGTAGAATCTAGGCTAGGCTATAATAGGCTAGACTAGTTCTCTAAGAGTAGTATTGCTATACTAGAGAATAGAGAGAATATCTTCTCTGCGTTATTATTTACTATATACAGAGTAAGAGTAGCCTACCTCTCTCTATAATATATAGAATCTAATAGGCCTACCTATAAGCTTATAGTATTAGAATAACGTGCATAAGAGTATTATAGAGAGAGTAATTTAAATATTAGATAATATAACATTATTAGATACTAGATATATAGTAATAATAGAAATAAGAGTATATTATTCTATAAGACTAGAGACGAATTGCTACTAAGCTATAGTAGCAATTAATAAGTATTTATACCTAAGGCTTAGTTAGCTCTAGCCTCTTAGGCCTAGGTTCTAATATTTAGAGATTAAGAACTTAATTAATTACTTTTGCATTAAGTATACTCTACTATGATACTAGCATATAGAAAACTCTAAAACTTTAGAATCTATATCTTTATAGTCTATAGATACTATAGTAAGAGTTCTAGATTAATGCGTAGCTATATACTATAGGTTACTAGAGTTTAAAGCTAAGTAAGGCTCTATATTTTACTAAGCTCTAACTTTAGCAATACTAGGCGTAATTAGGTAATCTTTAGAGCGTTAGAAAGCCCTAATTTAGGGCTTTCTATATGTAAAATAAAACCCTAAAATAGTCCAAAACCCGTAGAGTTATAGAGGACAGAGTAATGCTAAGAAAAACTAGCCGGCTTGATGACATAGCCGGCTCGATGATCATTCACGTTACTAAATCTCTTATCTAACTTCCAGGTATATGTGCAAATACACCTATACTATCCCTCTCTAATACTTAGTATAATAGTATTAATAGTACTAGAGAAGCCCTAGAAGCTATACAAGCAGAGTAATAAACTAATTGCCGCGAGGTTGCGCAAACTTAAGCAGCTCCTCGTCTCTTATTAGCCGGTCGTGGCAGTCTTTTTCAAGGCAGATGCAAACCTCAATACCTTCGTCAACTGCATTTTCCTTAACCTCTGCCCTGCTCGGATACACGAAAACATACCCTTCGAACTGAGGATCTGGGAAACGAATAGCTCTTGCGATACCAAAACCGAAATCATGTTTCCCGTACACGTTCATCCCTTGCCAGCTTGTTCCAGCCAGATCCATGCCCAAGAACGAATTCATGTTAATGTTAATCCACCTCCTATCATCTAATCCTGCAATCCACTCTGGTAGCTCTGCGACGTACTGCTGAGTGATCGCTTTGATAGAGTTGCGAACTCTTTGTGCAAGATTAGGAAGATTGCCGTCAGCGAGAAGGTCAGATAACCTGATCGGTTCCGTGCGGGGCAATGCCACAGCATTACCCATAAATGCCTCTGACAGTGGCGGGTCCAGCACCTTTCGTGTGTTCACCGCATGCACCAATACGACCTCTTGACCGAGATCAGGGTGAAGAAGCTCGAGTTTGGACCGTGTGATACTTTTCCAAAGCGTAGCCATGATTGTGTCGTACGTAGATATCCAGCTGTCTCCAGCCTTAGCCATTGCTCCAGCTTTGAGCTCCTCGATCTTGCTCTTAGGGAAATGCCACATCCGGATTGCTAGCTCGGGCATCTTGAAGTCGGCAGGCGGTGGTGGAGCTGGTCCACCGCCATCTCTGAGAACAGGAAACCTTTGATCGAGCTCTTTCCATCGCGAGGCTTCCGGTCTGCTTGCACTGAGGCGCGACCGATCTAATGCGTCTTCAGACACCGTTTCGAAAGACGTCCCATTGAAAACGGCCGCCGAGTTTTGAGCCCAAGATGTCAGGAACCCATCGCACCCTGGACCATCGGAACAGTTGTGATGGATAGCAACACCCAGGATGAGACCGCCCTCGATGAAATTGATTTGAAACGTAGAGATAATGAGATTGTCCTCCTGATTGTCGCCGAGGGGTGAAAACAGCTGTTTCTCCGTCACCGCCTTTGGCAACAACTTATGTCCCTTGAATGTCGCTGCTGGGAAATCCGCCCTGTCTAGTTCTGCATACGGCGCAAAAGTGTCCTCCGCATCCTGGATAAAGAGACTGACGGCACTGTATCTTTTCTTGGTTACCCACAACCGCCCGTTCTCCGCGTCCATCTTCAGACCCCCTGTGAGGATGGGAAATTGGCTTAGAGTGAATTCGAGACCTCGAACCATGTTGTTCACAATTTTGGCCTTGTCAGTAGCTGGTGCAAGCTTGAAGACTTCCACTATCTGAACGTAGATTTTCGGCATAGTCTACATTATTGAAGACGAAGTCAGTGTTTGTATTACAGCAGTATGTACATCAGGGATTCATACGTGATCCATATCGGAAAGAACAAATTGTTCTTCTGCAGGAGCGCTCTCCCAGCCGGTTGGACGAACTTGGATCTCTTTTGTCGACATATTTGCTTGCCAAGAAGGGACTGGATGTATACCTAGGTAGCAGCTTAGGGGTTGCAGGAAACAGAGGGAGGAAACACACCCTCAACAATTTAAAGCAAAAACGGATGGGTACCATGTTCGAGTCAGCGCCTGATACTTCCTAAGAACTCTAAGCGGGACGTGGTTCCTGTGAAGCATGCCAGCAGCATTCCGCTTTGTGGATACCTCTGGGGTATTGACTTGCCATGCATACAGTGAGATGCGACATCCAATCAGAAGCCTATTCGAATTGAAGTGGCGGTTGCGGCGGAAATAAGCCGGTTCGCCCCGCATCGCGACACCACTGTGAAAGCTTTCTCTGGATACTGATGCAGGTCTGGGCGGGACCGACTATGCAAGGACCCAGATATTTCGAAAATCATTCCAATTTCTGTGAGCCATTTAGTTCAGTCCGCCGTTTGGCACTGCGAAGCCACATTTTGTTTTTGTGGTCCAACAAGGTTCTGCATCCTTCTACAGTCATAAGCTGTGCCGCATCCTAGAAGGACCTAGCAGTTACTCGAAAAGGTATGGGATCAAATCGAGGACGCAAAAGTTACAGCTCACGGCTCAACGTATTCGCTGACAGGTCTCTTCAAGGAGTTGACTTCGAGCCGGGATTACTATAGCATCACCGTCTGTTCGAGTTGTAAATGTCGGCGAGTGAGACCATATCTATGCGCAAAACGGGGAGATGGAAGTCAATCAGTGTATCGCAGTCTGGACGGCTTCAAAACACCAAACGTGTGCAGATTATTATTTCACTCCTCTCCTTCATCGCCCTCTGGCAACTCTCAAGCACAGAAGACGTATCCTAAATCTTCGGCTCCGTTATCATTGTCAAATCGATCGAATGCGCTGTTACCATCATCACCGCAAATATGCCTGGCATGTACGCCTTCTGGCGCGCAAAGATATCGAACACTCGGGATTCCGCGCTAGGCTATGACCACGGCAGCGATCCTTGGGAAATCCAGAAGCGATCCATGGGCATTGGAAAAAGCGCACAGAAGGGTCGCAAAGTGTACTTATATGGACGAGAGGTCTATAAGGTCGGATAGCCAGAAGGAATTGTATCCGCTGAGCAAGCTTGCTGCGAAGGGGGATGGCCACATCATTCGTGTGATGCAAAGATTATAGTCATGGGAGGATGCTGGTGGCGAATATTAGAAGGAGTCATGATAATTGTCTTAGTTAGGCCAAGCCTGTCATAGCTGACATGCTATAAGCCAAAGTATACAGTTTTCAGTTGCGTCCACTGATCGAGCATGTGTTTGCCAAGCTCGAATCCATCTCCACTCATCTTCCAGCCCCCAAATGGCATGTCGAAGGTTGTAAATGGACTGGTCGAATTAACTCCTACTATACCCGATTCAAAAGCTTTTACAACTCTCCAAGCCCGCGATAGATCACTAGAGTAGCATCAGTTATTGCAAAATCACCAATGTGTCCGGACCACGAAAAGAAGGCCCATACCGTGTGTAAACGCTTGCGTATAGACCATACTCAGAATCAATGCTGCGTCTGATCGCGTCTTCTTCCGTTTGAAAAGTTGCGAGCACTTGCACCGGCCCAAAGATTTCCTCGCGGCTAATCCGGCTCTGATCACCAGGATTCAAGATAAGAGTAGGTTGAACAAAAAATCCTTTCTTGCCATGCCTGGTGTCGCGTCCACCGCCTGTCAGGACCTCATGGCCAGCTGCCTTTGACTCTTGCAAAAAGCCGATAATGGAATCGTATTGCTTCAAGTCTGCCTGTGGGCCTCGCAGCGTTTCAGGACTCAGCGGATTGCCCTGTGACGATTCAGGGTTGTAACCGGTTGCCTCGATCTCTGCCACAAGGCGCGTTGAAAATGTTTTCAAGATGGAAGACTGGACAAGAAGCCGAGACGAGGCGATGCACACCTGCCCAGTGTTGGAGATGATGGATCGCGCTGCGGCGGGAATAGCCTTGTCGAGATCTGCATCTTCAAATATGATCAAAGGACTTTTGCCACCAAGTTCTAGAGAAACGTTCTTAAGATTAGATTCAGCAGCTGCCTTTTTGACCGCCCGGCCAGCGTTGATGGAGCCCGTCAGGGATATTTTGCGAATGCGTGGATGCCTTGCCAACGCATCGCCGCAAGGTGTGCCTTTGCCGCTGAGAATGTTTATGACGCCTGGGGGAAATCCAGCCTGCTTGATCAGTTTTGCAAGATAGAGTGCTGTCAATGGGGCTTTTTCAGATGATTTGCAGATGATTGTGTTTCCGCAAACGCATGCGCCGGCAATCTTGAATAGCATCATGGTGATTGGTGCATTCCATGGCGTGATTCCAGCACAAACACCGAACGGCTGGCGAAGGACTACGTTTACGAATCCACTGGTCTGTAGGGAGGAATCGCCTTGCACGTCGGTACATTTGCCGGCGTAGTATCGAAGTAGCGCGGCTCCGTTGATGGCTTCTCCTGTAGCTCAGTTGTCAGAAGGTCTTGATAGCAGTAGCTAGTACGGCAATCCGAGTCCACGCACTGTATTGGCCGACTGGTCTTCCCATGCTAATTGCCTCCAGAGCGGCCAGGTCCGAGTTGGCGAGCTCAAGTGCGTCGGCCAGCCGATAGAAAAACCTAGCACGTTCGAAACCACCCAGGTCTGACCACGCCGGGAACGCAGCTTCGGCGGCATCGACCGCGAGGTCCACGTCGGAGGCATCGGCTTCGTAGACGCGAGCTACTTCTTGTTCAGTTGCAGGATTGATCACAGCGAACGTTTCGCGTCTGCATGAGGGAACGAAAGATCCATTGATGAACAGGCGAGTTTCAATGTCTCTGGGCATAGGGAACACACGACTAGTGCTAATCATTATGGGCAGAAGTGCAGATGGCAAAGTAACATGCAGTTCTTCTGACGCAGAGAAGTAACAGTGGGATTTAAATACATTTTGGGAGCCGGAATTGAGATATATGGTTCCGTGGACTAGTACTTCACTCTACTCTGTCGAGATCCAAGACTACACGCCCATGCAATTTCCCCGAACGCAGTTGGTGAAAAATCTCCGTGAGCTTATTCATGGGCTCCAAGCGAACAGCTGCCTTGACCTGGCCCTGCGCGGCAGGTCTCAGGCAATCAATGGAATCCTTTCTGCTGCCGGTAACTGCACCTTTGATGCTGTACTGATTGACAATGAGCTTCCAGGGTAATGCGTTGGCAATGGGGTGCGGATCTAGCTCCGGCACACCAACACAGACAAGAGTGCCAGCATACCGCAACAAGTCGAGGGCTGTGTCATAAACTCTGGAACTGGCATTGCACACCAGAACAGCATGACAGCCCCCGTGGGTAAGGCGCTTTGCTTCTGCGGCCAGGCCAGCATCGTCGAACTGGGTGAAGTCTAAGAAGACATGGGCACCCAAGCCGAGACAAAAGTCACGTTTGCTACCATGATCGATGGCGAGCACGCGCAGACCGTAAGCGTTGCAGTATTGGATTGCTAGATGCCCTAGGCCACCGGCGGCGCCAGAGAGGGCAATCCAGTCGCCGGGCGAGCAGTCGGCTTTGAGGAGTGCTGAGTAGACGGTCAGGCCACCGCAGAGCAGCGGAGCAGCATCTGCCGAGTCGATGCTATCGGGGATAGGGGTCACGTATCTGGGGTCGCTGATGATGTACTGTTGAAACGTGCCCGGGTCCTTGAAGCCCGCGACCTTGCGCTTGGCACAACGGCCGTCGAAACCCTGGGTACAGGCTGAGCACGTGAGGCAGGCGGAAGCGATCCACTTGACACCGACACGGTCGCCGACAGCGACAGCATCTACGTAAGGGCCTAGACTCACGACAATGCCTATGCCCTCGTGGCCACCGATTTGGCCACTGGGCGTTGGTTCGGGCATGTGGGCATAGCCGTTGGTGATGAAGGCCAGGTCGGAGTGGCAGACGCCCGAATGCGTCAGGCGGATCAGGCATTCGCCGGCGCGGGGTTGGGGCGTGTCGACATCGACGACGGCCGTGTCCAGGGACTGGGGGTTGGTGTAGATGATGGCCTTGTGGGTGCGGGGAATAGTGGGGCCGGCCCGTGTGACTGTGGAGACCATGGCGATGGCGAGGAGCTTGCGTTGGTGGCATCGCACATCCAGCTCTTACGGCTTAATACATGCTCCTAGCGCGAGACCAGTGTCGTGTGCGCCGACAGGCGGAATATCGAGACTGATGCATTAAGGCACGACGCGCCGCCCGTTGCGTACGGTACGGAAATACAGCACTTGAACATGGCAGAACAGAATGCCGGGGGCTCTGGGAACAAGCGCGGCCGATATGTGTCGCAGGCGTGGTAAGTACCGTTGCGAGCGGAATCAGGCCGGGTTGAACTTTGCTAACGTTCATGGCGGGCCTGCAGCCTGGAGTGTCAGAAACGAAAGACGAAATGCTCGGGCGAAGATGAGTGCGAGCAATGCCGCACAGTCGGGGTCACGTGTGCCTATGCTCCGGGACCTGCGCGGAAGCGGCGTGCGAGGACAAGCCGAGTAATCGCCGCACCCCGAGCGATGGCCTCCAGCGCCGGACCAACGACGTCCAATGCTTTGACAACCAAACCCAATGCCTTGACATTGACAACCAACGACAATGCCGGAACAACAACCACTCCTGCGGACACTGCTGCTGCTCTGGCCACCTCGACGGCACTCTGGCAGAAGGATGTTACAGCGCGCCTTGGCCGCCTCGAGACGCTGCTGGGCAACCACGGCAACCACGGCGCCTATATGAATGTAAATGTGAACACAGCCACGGCCACGGCCAGCGTACCAGTTGATATAGGCGAAGCGACGTTGCTGCAGCCTATTGATGCGCTGAATCGCATCGCGCTCGGGGGCGACGGCGACAGCGACAGCGACCATGAGAGTGACAGCAACGGCGACAGCGACACCAACAGTGACGACGACATGGCCAGCGCGCATTGCCCCTATACGCAATGCGATGACTATCCCCAGTGCTGCCGTTCCCATGTGCGCCTCTGGAGCGAGCCGACCCGCGCTGCCGACGCGCAGCGGGTGCGCCGTCACGTCGACGCATACCTCGACACGCTTAATCCACACTATCCGACGCTTGATAGCCGTGAGGTGCGCGCCCAGCTGGACAATCTGCTCTCCGCCGACGACAACTTCTTTACCAGCAACAACACGCTGCAGTTTGCCGCCCTCGTCCACCTCATGGTGGCCGCCAGCTGTGCCCTGGGAGACGTGCATCACCGCGGCGCCCCTGTGCCCGGCTGGCAGCACTTCCTGCGTGCCCAGCACCTCCTGCACCATGCCACTTGGCTGGGACAGGGCAACCTCCTCACCGTGCAGTGCCTCGTCGCCAAGGCGCTGTATCTGGTTTACACGGAGAAGCTCAGCGTCGCCTATGACACGGTGGCCATGCTTGTGCGCTTGTGCTTCCAGCTGCGCCTTAACCGCCCATCTGTTGACTGCCCGTCGTGGGACGCGCACATGCGTCAGCGTGTCGTGTGGTCCGTCTTTGTCCTCGACCGCTACGTTGCCCAGCTCTGGGGCGCCCCATATCTGCTGCGCGAGGCCGACATGAATGTGCCGCCGCTGAACCCTCTCTCACCCTCTCCCTCACCCTCACCCCCGCCCCCGCGCCCGTCCTTGGTATTGGATCAACCATCCGCCCCGCCCCTGGCCTACTTCTCTGCCATGGTCCAATGGGCCCGCCTGAGCTCCGACGTCTGGGACGGCGTCTTCAGTGCCAGCGCGCGTCAGCCGCCCTCGCCCCAGTTCATTGCCACCATGGACGCCCGCATAACCTTATTCGAGCTAGAGCTGCCGTCGCACCTGCGCTGGTCGATGGGCGAGGACGAGCACGCCAACGAGCATGCCCTCGAAAGCAGCCGCGAGCACTACCACGTCACTCGTCAGCGCCTGCTCCTGCATCTGGTACGCTAACGATATCACTCTAATGATTCGCTAATCTGAATTGCCTTTGCCAGCGTGCCAATCATCTGCGCCTGCTCCTGCGTCGCGACTCCCTGCTGCAGCACGATTCTTCGCTTCGTGACGCCCACAACAGCCTTCACATCGCCCAAGACACTGTCGCCGCACTCCAGGCCTACCTCAAGTCTGGCCATGCGCGCTCCAGCGACAGACACGCTACGACGCTATATCTGACCTGTGCCCTAATCTCACTGGCCCCAATTGCCCTTCGCAACCATACGAGCTCTACTAGCGGCCGCACCGCCATCACAACCTTTAACCAAGCCATCGCGCTCGTGACAGACATTGCCCCTTCTTTTGAACTCGCCCGCCTCACCTTGTTGAGGCTGAAAAAACCCCGTCGTGCCATCTTACGAGCGTCGACGTCTGCAAATCCGCCCACCACCGATAGCGTCCGCGACGTACCGCTATCTATTCCCCTCGGCTCCACGACCATCAGCACAAATCCGCCTGCATTCGGAGAATTTTTCCAAGGCTCCACCAGTATTCTTGCGGGCGACATCTGGGACAATGACTGGTGGCGCGCCGACGGTACAGGTTGTGTTTGAGTCTGTCCTCAAATTCGCCCCCGCTCAAGAAACCTTACGGGAACATCGACATGCCTCGCTCGTACGTACTCGGCCAAGTTCTTTCCGTACGCGTCAAATCCTGCCGATGAATTGCATCCGCCTTTGAGATGCCCTTTGAGCAGAAAATGCACGGCTCGCACTCCCGGCATCTCGAAGCGCTCAATCGGCTTACCTGTGTAGTCTTTGCCCAGAAGTTCTTTGAATTTGGCCAGAGACAAGAAGCTTTTTAGCCAATCCCATTCGTCTTGGCTTCGGGCTATGAAGCCTGCATTTGCGTCAGACGACTTGTCGCCCGACCTTCCGAGCACTACAAAGCCCAAAGGCGCTCGTCGAGTAGGTCCCCAGGTCGATAGCTGATAAGGCTCGGGCGTATCATATGAAACTTGCTTGTTTGGATACTGTCGTGTGCGAGTCGGTGGCGGCATGCGCTTGGAGCTTCCGTCGGGAAGAAAGACGGTCTCCACGACATGGCTCTGATCTAGCACCGTGACGAAGTAGTCAAAGTACGGCCTTCCAACTCCTTGCCGGAGATCGGTGTTGGGTGTGCATCCTGGATAGCTTTGAAGGATGTTTTGCTTACACCAGACGAGGAACTGATTTGCTCCGAGAACTGAGGGGTCTCGACTCTGCGCGTAGATGCGCATATCTACAGTAGCCTCATCTTGCGATCTTGGGTCTTCGGGGATTGATCCAGCTACTTGGAATTCCAACACGTGCAGCTTGTCCACCTGGCGGCCGGCCAGTGCCTTGGTTTGCAGCTCCACCATTTTGACCTTTTCTTTCAGATCTAGACCGGTGATGTAGTAGTGAAACTCTGCACGATACCCAGCTCGCGCAGATATGCCAACCTTAGTAGTAACAGGTGCAGGATGCCCCTTAGCGCCCGTGATGCGAACCCTGTTCGATCCTACCTCAGTTACCACGAGGCCTTCCATGTTCGCAACAATATCCGAGTTTTAGTAGAGCGGTCCCTGAATCTCATACACAAGTTGTGTAGCAATTGTTCCAAATGAGATCTCTCCGTCTTTGCCGTCTTCAAGTTTCAGCTCTACGTCACCTTGAGCATCTATTGATGCAATCGGACACCCAAGGTCCGTGCATTGCTCCCCAAGATCTTTAAAGCCTGCATAGCATCCACCCGTGACATATGTACTGCATTCTGTTAAATGGCCTGCTATCAATGCCCCAGCAAGCTCATCCAGGTGTTGGTCTCGATCCCAACCATGCCACCTTTGTGAGTCCTTCTGTCAGCGCAAGTCGTCATGTGTGAGTGAAGAAGAGAAACTGACCACATACACGCGCCGACACATGCCGATGCATCTGCAATACGTCCACAGATGACAATGTCAGCCCCGTGCTCAAACGCATAAGCAATTCCTGTCCCGCCTAGATAGCACTGCGCGCATATAGGCTCACAGTCCCACTCAGACAAGGGCTTTCCGTCCAAGAGGCTTGGAAAGCTCTCTCCTTGTTTTTGCAAACCAAAGACCGTGTCCGTGACGTCGTCACCCTCAATCCACGCTACGTTGAGTCGTAGCCCCAGCCCCTCGACGACTTTGCGGACCGCCTTTGCGAGACCAGCAGGATTACTACCGCCAGCATTACAGGCTAGTTTAGTTGCATTGGCGGCTAGATGGGGGAGTGCTGGTTCAAGTTGGGTCAAGAAATACGGGTCGAATGCGTCTTGCGTGTTGCTGAGATATTGGCCCGCATTTGCGACGCCTGTTTCGTCTCGTCCCGCCGCTTTGCGTGCCTTGATCTCGGCCCATTCGATGCCTCGGACCGTCATGTTGGCTTCGCTCATCCAGTCTCCGACGATCACGTCGATGTAGGAGATCTGCGCGAGATCTTGCAGCGCCCGCAACTTGTCTGTCGCACCTAGTACACATTCGCATTGGCACATGTGGTTGTCCAAACATTGATTTTATCTTCTTACCTCCAGAGGCACCAGCAATTACTATTGGCCGGCGAGGCGAAGATGTGCTTCTCATCTTTGTGGTTGTTGTCGTAGTTGAAGTAGTTGAAGTAGTTGAAGTAATTGAAGTAGTTGAAGTAGTTGAAGTAGTTGTAGTTCTCGTACCCAAAATATTGCAGAGTGGCTGAGACTCTTGAAGTGCAAGCAAGGATTGACCAGTTTGATTCACAAAGCGATCGGCTCGTTTCTCGTACCGGCGGATACCGAGAACTAGACGTGGCTTTCTATGCGAGTGCTTGCTGTGAAGATCGGCAAATCGGAAATGTTACCATGTTGTCTTCACCAACGACACCACACTTGCGGAAATCGGCGGCGGAATCCCGTTCCATACAATCCCGCTGGGTGATTGAGCACATGCGAGACAAACGAGTCACATCTTGTATTTCTTATCTGATATGTGCTGCGGTCTGTATCAAGGTCTCATTTTCATACGCTGACCTCGAATGAATGGGAGCGCGGCGACAAATTTAATTCAATTGCGGATTCAGCAGCAAATTACAGCACATCTCGAGACAATGACGCACCAACCTGCACCAAATGGCTCGAGCCACTCCCCCAATACTATGGTTCAAAGCCACGTAATTGACGCTGCACGGCCTATGAGGATCGTTTGCATTGGTGCAGGTGTGTAGAGCGCCGTGTATTAAAAGAATTTTCGGGTTGCTGATGCTTCTTGGTCACTAGGCATATCTGGTATCTGTACAGGTATTAGGTTTCCACAAGAGATTAAAAATCTGGACCTGGTCATATATGAGAAGAATAGTGATGTTGGTGGTACATGGTATGAGAACAGATATCCTGGTGTTCGTTGCGACATTCCTAGGTCCGTCATATCGCTTGTAAATTATTTTCCCCCGCTCATAATACTTTGCTTAGTGCCGGATATCAGTTCACCTTTGAGAACAATTCGCAATGGTCCGAATTCCTTGCAGGAGGCGCAGAGATACAAGAATATCTCACTCGAACTGCGAAGAAATACGGTGTTTACAACTATTGTAAATTCAACCATATGTTTAGGAGCGCCAAGTGGCATCAAGATAGGGGAAAGTGGGAAGTTGTGGTTGAAAATCTCATCACTCATGAGGTAGGCATAGGAGTACGCTGCAGCACGTTGGTTGTTCTAATATGTGCTTAAGACCTTTGCAGACACCGCCGATGTAGTTCTTACAGCCTCAGGGATACTGAATAAATGGTAAGACCTGCACCGGCTTCTCAAACTCTACACTGACAACTCAAAGGGACTGGCCGAACATCCCTGGGATCCACAGTTTTAGAGTTCCAAAACTACACACCGCTTGCTGGGACGACTCGATCGACGTTGAAGACAAACATGTTGCAGTCATCGGAGGTGGCAGCTCGGGCATCCAGCTCGTTCCCACTCTGCAGCCGCGTGTGAAACACATGGACCACTACATGAAAGGGAAGAACTGGATTTCGCCTCTAGGGATGGGCAGTGGACTGCTTAAGTCTCGAGGCATCAAAACAGGAAACTGTAAGACAGCCTTTGAATCATTGATAGATAAGAGCTGATTGAAGGCAGTCAAGCATACAGCAGAGGAGCTTGAGCAATTTCGTGGCGAACCAGACACATACTTGACGTTTCGGCGAAAGGTCGAGCAAGAGCTGAATGCTGCACAACTATCCGTATTCATGGGCACACAGATGCAGATCGAGTTCTACAAGATGGCCCTAGACTCGCACAAATCCAAGCTGAAAGATCGCCCGGACATATACGATGCACTGACGCCCTCGTGGGTACCGGGATGTCGTCGCCTAACTCCTGGCCCCGGATACCTCGAGGCCTGTTGTGCCGAGAACGTAGAGTTCATCAGTACCGATATCAAAATGATCCATGCTAACAGCATCGAAACCATTGACGGAATATGCCGGCCTATCGACATATTATGCTGTGCGACTGGATTTGACGTGTAAGCAGTTCTCAATCCCAGACCTGCATTCCTATGTCGGAAGTAACACGCATTAGGCAACGCAAAGAACTAGATATCACAGGTCTCGGAGGAAAGACTCTAAATGAGCTTTGGAAAGCCCATACCCCGAAGCCTATCTTTCCGTATGCCCGCTGGCTATGCCCAACCTGTTCATGTATCTGGGCCCTAACGGTGGTCCGCTCGCGGGCAGCACGGTGCAGATGATTGAATGGGTATGCGACTACATGATTCAGCTCGTACAGAAGATGCAAAGGGAGTACATCAAATCCATGGTCATCAGGTACGCTTCACGTCACAATGGAGATAGCGATGGGAGATGGCAAAATACTAACATATGCCTTGTAGCCCACAAGCAAACGCTGCCTTTAGTGCTCATGTCAACCAGTACTTCAAAACCACCATTTTCACACAATCTGTACGTATCTCATTTGGCCTTTCTATTCCCTGCCATCTCATACTCCTAGTGTGCATCCTGGTACAAGCAAGGCAAATCTGGCGACTCACGTGTCGTCACACCCTGGCCAGGCTCCTCAGTGCATGCAAGAAAAGCACTGAGATCGCCGCGTTACGAAGACTTCATTTACGAGGTTCTACCAGAAGTACAGGACAACTGCCTTGCGTGGTTGGGTAACGGCATGACACAGGCGCAAATGCAGAGTGAAGATACGACGGACTATTTGGATGGTGTAGCGCCGGGAAAGATGTGAATGGCGGTTGGATCGCGGGACCAGAAGAAGGCGAGGAGATGGTCATTACGGTGGAGAGTTGTGTTGGGTTTTTGTATAGTGTAGTTCCAACGAGCTACCCAGGTGGTACAGTGGCGTGAATGTCGCTGGCATCTAGTAAGCCGTCTTGAAAAGGTTGATATCCTATATTCAGACCAGGATGCGCGCGGGGTAGGTCCGTCGGCCGATTCAGAGTAGTCACGTGTGTATCGGTCTCCGCCAATGTGAGGGAGGCTAATAATGACCATGATGGATCATGTTGTTAATGTGTCAGGTTTATTCACGTAAAGCTGTAGGCGCTAGTTTAGCTTGGTGCTACAATCTAGATTCGCACACTCGCATTGGCGTATGCGGGAAACTCGGGTAGTCGCCTGGACGCCTTGCGGTTAATAAGTCGCTTAGGTGGCCAGAGAGAACCTTGGAAGTAAGCCTTGCTTAACCAGAGCCGAAACACGGTTACTGGCCGTATCCGTATCCGTCAGTGAGTGGGTTGAGCCTACCGTCGCCATTGTCATCATCGTCGATATTCGGCATTTTCGGCTCGGGCTGCATTCGCGGCCGCAAGGAATGCGGTGAGTAGTTGGCGCATGGGCACCCCGCAAATGTAGACAATGTCACAGTAGAGTCCAGAGGAGGTCCTTGGCGAGGGCGCTTATAAGCTTTGGGTTATACGCATTGCTGGTTTCAATTTCAATTCCGGCCATCCCGCATCCGCTTCATCTTCTATACTCTTGCTCTCGCTCTTGCTCTTGCTCTTGCTCCCGCCTTCGCCGTTGTCAATATTGTTTTGGCATTGGCACTGGCGCTATGCCGTCGACCGCTACCGGGAAACTCGCCCCCACGCCCCCACCGGAACCGGCTCAGCTTGCAGGTTCAGCAGACTCGGGATCGTGGAAGAACAGATTGTCGGACCGACAACTGAAGCGCAAGCGCGCTGTGGATCGTGACGCCCACCGCGAAAGTCGCGCAAAGACACGCCAAACCATTGCTGTGCTTCAGGAGCAGCTGAGGCAGATGGCCGAAGGGCGGGATGACGTCCTGGTTCTTAATCTACTGGCGCAAGTAGAAGAGCTAGAGAAGCAGCGGGACATGCTCAAGATGCGCTTAGGAGGCGTCCTGTCCGCCGTTGGCCTGACTGGTGAAGAGAGGCGCGCGCTCGAGGCCCGCAATGCGAACGCAAACGCCGACGCAAACTATAACACCCGTGAATGCCTCGTCAGCCATGTGAAAATATCGGAAATTGAACCTGTGGTACCCGAGCCCACTGCCGCAGGACCGATAGTAGCAGACGAGCTTCCTGGTCATGGCAGCAGCCAACAGCCGCCTTCGGACATTCCAGACGATCTACACATGTCTTCTGTAACCCTAGAACCTCTCGAGCTAGCGTGTACCGGCAATCGAAGCCCCGTAGATACCGAGTTGAACCACCGCATGGTCAAGGAACGCCAGCAACTGTCTTTGTTTGTCCAAATCTCACATGCAACTGGCAGCGCAGATCATGGCCTAAAGCTTTGCTCTTCGGACGATGACTTCCTTGAATCGATAATCCTATGGAAGTTGTCTAACCCAATCTACCAGCACGTTTACCCTTTGGCGAATAGTCTTCTGCACATCGACCTCGCCCCCACTTGCATAACAGCTGTGGACATGGATCAGTATATCGCGTCTCCGACCTTCGCGCAAGATCTCGATCGGGAGCTATTCCCAGACTACAACTGGACTCTACAACATCCGCGTCCGCCGCCCTCTGCCTCGTTAGACAACAAGAATTTGCTTCAGATGAAGAAGCGCCAAGTCATTGCCGCTGCTCTTTTCTGCACCCGCCACTGGACATACATTTCACACCGAGTGCGCCTGGTCATGTTTACAGTAGTGTATAAGCTCATCTTGTTTCTGGTGCTTCCGACCGTGGAGAATCTTCACAAGTGTCCTCGGTGGTATAGGCCAGTGGCTGCACAGTTTCTGCACCCCCATCCGTCTTTCATCGATCTCTTACCCTGGTAAATACTTCCGTTTCGTTAATTTATTAGCACCACTAATCTACCCTTAGGCCTCTCCTACGCGAGAGACTGGTCCACTCTTACCCGAGCTACGAGAATAGCGATCTGATTAGTAGCATTCTCTCAAATCTGCAATTTAGTCAGCCGCGCTTGGACACGACAAGCCCTATCACTTTGATCGGCTCCGACTTGGAATTCAGCCCAGTCTTCGATCAGGCGCTTGATGATTTGAGCAACCTTAGCATGGATGATGCCTTCTGTACTCGGTATCCTGAGCTCACTGCCTGCGTTAACACCGCGCCCGCAGATTCGATGCTGCCGCCGGCATCTGTAACTACTGATCCTGCAAGCCTACAAACAGAACGCAGTGCAACTAGTGTGCGGCAACCGACACGACCGAAGATTCAGAATGATGACAGGATGTCAAGACTGCATCCTCTGCCGAATCAAACTGTGGCATTTACCATGTTCTGAGAATAACTTTATTACACTGCATAAACGCTCTCGCAGTCACGGTGTTTCCACAGCAGTTTTCCTGCTGGGTTGGGACTTCTTCCTTTACTGAACCAGATCGACTGCGGCTTCCCTTCCTTTGCGACCAATGCAACATCATAGTTCATTAGTGTCAGTACAAGGAGAACTTTGATTTCATTTGCGGCAAAGAATCTGCCTGGACAAGCATGTCTACCGTGGCTGTCGATGGATCATCAGCGATGTGACTTGCGTTGTCGGTACTGGAAAGTGCGTCAAATAAAACATACCCAAAATGTAGGAATGATGGTGTTGTTTGGACAAATGAATGTAGTGTCTCTTGCCCAGATTCCTGTCTTTTTTTTGAAAATCGGAAAGGGTCAAAATTCTTGGCGTCCTTGTAGTACATGTCATCCATATACATAGCGAAGGATGGTACCGTGACGTAAGTCCCTTTAGGAAGCAAAGTCCCATCGCTGAGTGTTGTATCCTTCAATGCAACCCGGTCCAGCTGACCGGCAAACAAAGGGTTAGAGCGCACTGTCTCACGCATGAAACTGTCCATCTTGACAAGCTTTGTTAACCCTTGCTTTCGCCACTTACCACCTTCGGTCTCAAAGACACTGCGAATCTCCTCGCGGAGCTCGTCGTGTATCTCAGGACGCGCCGCTAGCTCGTTTATGCAATCAAGAAACGTGACGCTACTCGTATGTACTGCTGAAATGGTTATGTGTATCATGCGGTACATGAGTAGTTCCGGATCAAGTTGGTCCGGCGGAGAGATGTCTAGCACCCATTGTATGGCATCTTTCTCCTTGACCCTCTCGTAATCATCTGCCCGATTCGTCGATAGATATGCGTCTTGTTTCTCGATCCGATCTTTGATGATTGGGATCAGGTGTTTCCGTGCCACAGCCAGTTCTTTGTACAGCGATGTGCGGAAGTACATAACCAGAGGTTTCAAGAAGCTGGGATATGACCGTATAAGATCCGCTCCGCCGAACATTACGAAAGAGTAGTCAATTGAGAATCTCAGAAATTCAGGGTTGCTTGCAAGACATTTTCCAAAGAGAAGCCTATTGGCGGTCCGCGTGACAATCCGGAATGTCGTATCCCACATGGCAATCTCGGTCCAATCTGGAACATAGTCAGCTTTACAATCATATACAAGGCAAGAGTTTAGCTTGAGGATGACAGGACCTTTTGGCTTCCCGAGTTCTTCCGCCCATGCGTGTTTAGCCTCATCCTAAACGCAATCAGTGCCTGTGCTAACTAAGCTTGTCTTGTTCATTTCCGATCGTACATACTACTACATCTGGCAAGCCAGGTCCTGCAGATAGCTTAGTAAATAGAGTGAAACCTTTCGATTTAGCTTGGCTGACATACCTAAGTTCTGGGTTAATTGCTTTTGCACAACACTAAAGTGGTATTGATCAACCTCGAGGTGAGCATGAAGGGTATGCCGCAATTGCATGATGACATTGTTCGCAGGCAGGGGATTGAGCTCCGAATCGTTTGCCGCACGTATCTCGTCAATGAAATGTGGCGCAGCGACAAAGACTGTATGACTCGGTGTTCTCCAACATTCGTAAGTAGGTAATCGACCATGCAGATCACAGACTAGATGTACCTCATGAGGAAGCTCTGGCCTTTCCTACTGAACCTGTCGTATCCAATTTGCATGACCTTGGACCCATCTGCCACAAATGCTGCAATGTCTGCGGCTGCACCAGCGGCGCCGGGAAGTGTGGAGATTTGGAGTCTGGGTGCCTTCGGCAGTCTTGGAATGCGAACGTACATGATCAGGCCGATTAAAGCTATGAATAAGACCTAGAAGACGATGGGGTTTTCAAGAATGGAATTTCTGGCGGCTTGCATAACAAAAGCGGCCATATTGCTGTGCTCGCGGGAGGTGACTGGTGTTTTGGTGCTGTGCAGTGAGGAAAACCAAGATCATGAAATACCAGTCATGGTAGTCCATGTCGTCTATAATATCATCATTAGGAAGTGGTAGGAAACATACTCAATGATCAGGTCTGTTCTGAATTTTCAGTAGTGAGGGCCATTCCGGGCTTAGTTGCTGTCGTGCGCTCGACATCCAGCCGGAATTGCGTGACCAACGAGTAAACGGACCAACGATGCAACGATGTACCAACTCTTTTCAAAAACAAGGTCAGGCTTCGGAATAAGAGACTATGAGTCATGTAGCTTGATCAACTTCCAGAGTTTCATCCTAGGTTCACTACATGTATTTCCGCCGCTTCACGTTTAGGACGTCGCGCGCCTTACATGTGCAGTAACCTTTTAGCATTGAGATTTGAGATAACAAGTCAATAAGCACCACATTACCGATCTTCTCGCTCAAGGTCCACATTGTTTAATATGTCTGGAGCTTCTGGAAGGAACGTCTATGAAGACGGCTATCCCAATTATCCCAAAGCCCCGCCAGCACCACCTCAAGGCCTGGAAAGTGGTTATCAAGCATTGTTCGCTGTCATCCAGAATACACCGCATCTCGATCGGCAGCTCAATTTCTATGGTGCTGTAGGCTTCATCGTCGACCCCGGAGCGGAGCTAGCCGATGGCGAGCAGTTACCGAACGAATGGTTCAGTGCCAGGGGTGTGCAGCGTCAAGACCTTGATCGGAGCGTTGCAGTAAGATTACCCGCCGATCCGTACATGCATGTCTGGTTTCACTCTTGGCACAACTTGGATACAAATGCGCAATGGCCTCCTAAATTCAACCAAATTGGCTCTCGAGGATTTACGCTCTTGTGTTATGATGTAGAGCGGGAACTCAAGCGCATCAAGCATCAATTTCCTGGCACACCGGTGCTCCAGAAGCCGATACGTATCAATCGAAAATGGGGTCCCACAATTTCAGCCTTGATTCGCGACCCGGAAGACAACTTTGTTGAGATTCTGAGTATCGATGGGGATGCATTCGACGAGAAGAAGGTCGTGCCACCCGGATCTAACGACAAGGGTTTCCTTCACTTTCAACTCAATGCTGGGCACAAATTTGAGCAGCTTGGTACTTTCTATCACGGCTTCGAAATGTATCACGACCACGGAGTTGACTACCGACCCCGCGTTGGGTTTCCACAAGGCTATCAGCATTTTCTTGACCAGATGAAGGATGCTTTCAACTTCGAACCACCAAAGGATGATCTCAAGCGTGTTGATTTCTTACGCAATGATCGCGACTGCAGCCATATGCACCTCGAGATACTAGAGACTATACCTGAGAAGAACAAAGATCCCGGACTGGACCCCACATGGAGTCAAAAAGGCATTGTACGCTACTGCATTAAGTCTCCAGACTATTCAGAGTCTGTGCGGACGATAAAGCTATGGCAGAAGATTGCTGGTACCAAGATCTATGTGGAAGACCAGCGGGGCTGTCTCAACTGGGGTGATTCCCAATGGATTTTCTATGGGGATATTGATGGCAACATCCTGACTGCGTAAGCTCATCCGTGTTCCCTAGACCCTGTTGCCTTTGTGGTGCAGAACATGGAATGCTAACTCTTCTCGACAGCGAACAATGGTACCCAACAAGACACTGGAGCGAAAAGTCCTAAACAGCTTCATGCAAGAAAGTGTGGTAGTAAACAACATAGTTCTGAATCATTGAATGAAATTAGTTCTCGTTACCTGCGCCGCTTAGTGTGATCCGAAAATCTCACTGCTCCCAATTTCACTCTTTTCTTACCGGTGTGGTGATAACTACTTGCCATGTAGATCCAGTTTATGAGTATTGGCTGAACTAGAGAGGTGGATCCTCAAATCTTTTATGCGTAAATCTAGATAACAAGATTTAAGACGTCTGAGACTTCTCAAACAACCATCAATTCTAGATTTATCTTATTGCAGACTTTTCTCTTCTTTGATAAAAAGGCTTACTTTCGAAAGCAAAGGGATTACATTCTTTTCTTACTACACCTCTTGCACCGTAGAGTCAATTTACCCAAGGTCAGTGATCTGCTACCACACTTCGCTGATTTTTCATTCCTGGCGGCTGAGTTAGGCTGCGCTTGCGCGCCTCTTCCGCTGTCGGGGGTTTTCCTTCGAATAATGGAGTGGACGCCAAATTATAAAATGCTGGGTCAAGACAATCGACTGTTAGGTATGGCGCTTTATCAGCCTTCGGATCCCGCTCGGTCTTTGTAAAGCCAAGACCTAGATACGCCCACATGTTGTGCTACACTAAGTTAGCGGGTAGTTAAAGAATCAGAAGTTAAGATTGAATATTAGTGGTTGAGATCGTTATACGTACGGGGTTCTTGTAAGTAATCTCCCAATCTTCCCATCGCGGACTGCTGACCACGTCTTGGTAATGAAGCGCGCTGCCTGGTTGGACAATGAGACTGTGTCGCATCGTATCTAGGTTCCAAATCCGACTCACCAGGCCATACAGCTGTCACGCGTCCATCCCTTCGGGTATACCAGCTATTGCAGTCATTGCTCCATACAAAGCCGTGCAACGCTGTCTGCACATGCGTGTTGAACTGATCTGTGACGCTCTGCTTAGGCGCCAATCCCCTCAAGTTCTCTGCCTGTATCTTGTTGATCATCTTGATCGCAAAGTCGGCAATAGCGGTCAGTGATGCCGTGACCGAACCAGCCAGAACAGGGAATGTAGGGCCAAAAAAGGCTATGAGGTATCATCAGGTTCGGTCCCACGGCTAGCCTGGAAGTAGGTTCTACTCACTGATAAAATTTGGAAACCCTGAATAGAGTCAGGACGTGGTTTGGTCTGGGCCAGATAATTTGACTTACCAGGTACAGCCATGCTTAGGTATGAGTCTGGATCTGGGGTAAACTTGTCTCGCAGGGAGATCCCGTTCTGGCCAATGACATCAAAGTGAGGTCTATACGTCGTATCGAACCCAGTGGCCATGACGATAGCATCCACGTCCTCTACTTCGGTTCCATCTTCGCCAATGACGCTGGTTTCAGTGATCTTGCTTACCGCTACCGAGGCGTTAGTATGTGCTAGCAGATGTCGTAAGCGGATTGTTTACCGGTGAAGTGAGTGTTAACATTTGGTTGTGTTAGAGCTTCCATGAAGGGTACACCCTATCGAAAAGTCAGCTTAAAAACTTTGCAGTATGGGGTAAGGGTAGCGAACTGGTGTTGTACGCCGGCAACCAACTGGAAAATCCGGAGTGAGAGCTTCAATCAACTCTGGCCGTTTGAGATGCTTTCGCATCTTTTCGCGGCTTCTTTCCTGGAGTACCTTTTGCTCAGGGCTATCATTGAGCATGGCCTTCCATATCATATTGACCTGTTTTCATATGAGACATATTGATTTTGCACCAAGAAAAATCAGGAAAAACCTTTTCTTCGTAAATCCTGGCCTGGCTAACTAGCTTAGCCTTGTCATTTAAGAATTCTTCCTGCTCGTTCTTGGAGACTACAATTAAAATGTCAGAGTCGCGTTATTTCCACGGTCTTGGAGAGGACCCACACGTTGGTTTTGCCTATCGTATCTCTTTGTAAGCTGGTATCATGTTCTCAGCTCTATTTCACTCACCACGTTGTCAGGTTGCGCCGAAGCAAGCCACGCTTTAGACCGAATGAAAATGTCCAGATGCTTTACATGAGGTTGGACACTACTGTGCTCTTAGCGCCGTATTCATTTATCAAGGACTGGAAACACACCCTGGAGTAGTCTGAACACTGGAAGATCCTGCACCAATGATTACCATTCTTTGGCCTTTCCATTGTGACTCTCCATAGTCATCTGGCCATTGCGCAGTATGTAAAACTCTGCCCCTGAAATTTTCGAGGCCTTCAATTGAGGGTACAATGGGGTGGTTCAGAAGTCCTGTCACTTGGAGTAGCACGTCCTATTCATTGTAATGTTTAGCTTCTGATGTGCTTTTACGACGATATGCTACAACATGAAACTCACACAGTGGTCGTATACAATCTTTTTGGTCTCGTCTGCGTAGGACTGTTCGATCTTCAGATCCCACCTGCTATCATCCTCGGACCATTTTGCTTCAATGACACGGCTATTGAAGTGCATATATTTACGCAAATCAAAAGCTCTACACACGCGGTCAAGATAAATCCAGATCTGGTCACTCTTTGAGTAGAGCTCTGGCCAGAAAGGCTGCCGAAGTCAGTACATTGGTTATCGCATACCAAAATTCTGGACTCACGTTGAGTGCAAAATTGTAAGTGTACGAGTGACTGGGTACTGTGATTATATGTCAGTATCTCCTAAATTGTACTGAGTATTCGGTCTACGAGCATACCATCGCAAGCACAGTTGGGATATTTATTTTCAAGCCAAGTGCCTCCGATATCCCCGTTCTTCTCGTCTATCACAAAAGGGGGTCAGCACCCAGTTTATGGCACACTGCTATGTCGAAATCGTCCACTCACACATAACGTGCTCGACATTTTCTGTCTCATTCTTGAGTTTGTACGCAAGTAAAACGCCCGAGAAGCCCGTTCCAATGGTGACTACTCGCAAGCGTCGGTTGTTAGGATCTTTGTAAGTGATGTCAGGTACAGTGTATCCATGTTTATTCGTGTGTCTATTCAATCCCTTGGTATGGGGGTGCATCTTGGTAGAGGTTGAGGCTGAGGAGTGTTGGCGGCGATGCAGCACTAGAATGGCAGTTTACACCCAGGTACCTAAGTTGCAGGATCGTGATTTACACGGCTTGCGCGAGCACGCTATTCCTAGACTAGGTTGCATCTTCGGATTCCACTGTACGGAATCTTTCAACGTAGATCTAGCCTTTTCGCGATGAGTCGTTCGAAGGAACGACGGATTTGGAGCCTTTGTCATGATCTTTTACCCGGTGTCTTCCGGCGGAATTTGACATTGATCCGCATCTGGCGACCAGACCCCGCAAACTCTATTGCTCCGCAAAGACCGGACTTTGATCGACCCCGAGGTTTGCAGCAATACATTTGGAAACCTGGGCACTCAAACAAACTTCTTGCGCCTCCCTTAGAGAGTCTGGAGTAATATTGTATTTTAACATCTCTACGAATTCTGATGACAAGTCTTGCCTCAAGTACTGGAACAACAGCTGTATTTATGGACAACGACCCGAAAGCGACCAATGATACAACCAGTATCATGAGTTTTGGAGCTAAGAAAAACACCAGAGCTAACACTGAAGTGGTCCAGTTTAGGGATCTTGAAGCTATATGGTACCTTCCTAGAGCCAAAGAGCCTGGTTTCATGCGATGGCTCGTAACCTGGGTTGGTGGCCCTGCAGGCTTCATAAATCCATCGATTGGTTCATCCGTCATTAGCGAAAACATGGCTGTAGGATTCATGAGCCTGCCTCGAGGACAGAGGCAAAGCGGTTTGCATGCACACACCGTTGCAGAGATCTACGTTATCTTGAAAGGGCGTCTAATGGGTTGGGATGGAAGAGGCGAGAACCACATCGCTAACACCGGCGACTGCGTGTACATTCCGGCAGGTGAGTAATAGCTTGAAGACCCTTCATTAGGTTGCACTACTGAGCTTAGTTACCTAGGCGTGCCTCATGGTGTTCGGTGTTATGGAAGCGAGGACGCAGAGCTGATATGGATTCACGACAATATTGAACGGAAGGATGCAGTCACCTACTTTACAGGTCCTGGTCCCTATCCACAAAGTGACGATATCAAAGTTATTCGGTACAAGGATCTTGAGCCAAGTTACGATGCGCCGCGGTGTAAAGAACCAGAGTTTATGAGGTGGAACATCAGTTATGTTGGTGGTCCACACGGATTTACCAACCACAATCCGGAACAGGCTGCCTTGAGCAGAAGTATACATATTGGAGTGCTGGCGCTCGACCCCGCGCAAAAGGAAGTCCCGTTCTCTGCAGATGAAGATGAGCTATACATCCTCCTTGACCACGAAGTCGTGGTCTCTGCAGGGAGCGAGCAAGGCCGTAGTCTAGAACGATTGGATGGAGTCTTCTTTCGGCGTGGCGAGATGCGTGCTGTGCGGAATTATGGCCGCAAGACGGTGAATTTCCTGACAGTCAGACCATTTGGTTGATGTCATGATGGTCCTATTTGCTTCAGCAGACTGCTGCTACGAGAGTGCTTCTTAGTGGCGATAAACACGTGACTAATGTGTATGATAATGAGCTGGAGTAATTTCTTATTCTCAAGTGTTTTGCTTTGTAAATTAGTCATTACATACAAATTCCGTACTGCATTCCGAAGTTCCGGAGTTCCGGAGTCCCGCAGTCTCGCAGTTGGCAGTTTGGTCGGGGAAGAGTGCGCAAAAACCTCAGTGATCTGTGGTCAATATTAACTTAAAGTCAATTTACAGGCAATACATCTGTAGACGTTGAAGTTGAGAAGTATTTCATTACCCTGCGCAAGATCGCACGTTCTGCTTCACATCACAGATGGCCATGGCCACACGAGGAAAGCGACCGTCATTTGAGCAACTGCCTCTACACCCGGATGACCCTCCATTCTCTGCATGGGGGCTCTACGGACCCGAAGATAATCTCGGTACTCTTAACATGATCGTTCCTGAGACAGTGGTAGAAGCCGCAAAGGAAATCAAAACTGGTGTTCGCATCGGGCTTGATTTACCTATGGATTTCCTTGCTCGACCTTCGCACAATCGTCTTCGACTCACGCACACACTTGTCCGCAAAGATCCGCGCCTTGTACACGACGATTGCGTATCTTTCAATACCCAGATTTCAAACCAGTGGGACGGCTTTAGGCATTATGGCTACCAAAAAGAACGAATTTTTTACGGCGGCGTAAAGACCGAAGAAATTTCCTGGCCTGGTATCTCAAACGAAACTGGGGAGAGGGCATGGTATCAGGGGCCATCTATGACTCCTAGACTGGGCATACACCATTGGTGCAGACAAGGTATCATGGGTCGAGGGGTGCTGCTAGACTATCTGCGGTGGGCTCAAGCAAACGGGAAAGGCTACGATCTGATGGGCGACCACGCTATCTCGGTAGACGACTTGCAGGCATGTGCAGACGCTGAAAATGTTGAGCTGAGAATTGGCGACATTCTGTTTGTACGCTCAGGGTGGACAGTGGGATACACTGCGCTTACCGAAGATGAAAAAGTCCGATATAGCTATGCGGAGCCTACTGTACTGGTAGGGCTCGAAACATCTGTCAAGACAGCCAAGTGGTTGTGGGACGGAAGCTTTAGTGCCTGTGGAGGAGATTCTCCCGGATGGGAAAAATGGCCAGCTCTTCCAGGAGAGGGTGAAGTTGGGGGCATTGGCAAATACCGGCTGCACGAAGTGCTCTTGAATGGATGGGGGATGCCAATTGGTAAGTAATTGCTGAACCGCGGCTCACTTGTTCAAAATTTTGACTAATTCATGCACAGCGGAAATGCTCGACCTCGAAGACCTGAGTAAGGAGTGTGAAAGACTGAACAGGTGGAGCTTCTTCTTCGGTTCTATGCCAAACAATATAGTGGGGGGTGTAGCAAGTCCTTGTAATGCATTTGCTGTCATGTAGCGGAATGAAGGACTATCTAGGGGTCCCTTAACATAGAAGCAATATGTCGTGAAGTCTGGGCAACGGTATATTTGCATGTACTACAGTAGGTGCGGCATAACCTGACACAAGATTTAAAGGTGCGATCCAAGCCCCTAGGCGAAAGAGTTTACAATCATTCGTCCTGCAGGAATCCTTCCGCTCTTCATCATGTCCAACATTTCAGGAAACTGGTCAATGCTAAACTCTGCGACTTTTGGTCGTATGTTATGCTTGTGCGAGAACTTGAGACACTTTTCCATCTCGTCTGCTCGTCCCGAAGATGCGCCACGGACCTGAACGAACCCACACGACACAGGTACAGCTGTCAAAGGCAAGAAATTGGGGTCTGTCTGCAGTTTCGAGCATCAGCAGAGGTTAAAACATGATGACTCTTGGGTTTAGTAAGACTTACTACTCCCACGACCATCAGTTTACCGCCTATGCGAAGGGTCTGAAGGCCTGATTTATACGCTAGCACGTTACCACTCATGATTACGGCAGCATGGGCACCACCTCCAGTTGTATTTTTGACAGCCGTTGCAAACCCAGGGTCTGTGGGATCAAAAACCTCATGTGCACCTAGAGCTTTTGCCAGGTTGCGCTGGCCGGATCCAATGTCCAATGCGACAACCCTTAGGCCCATTGCCACAGCGTATTGCACAGCTAGAAGTTCACAAAAAAAAAAAGCTCAGCAACTCTCCATGGTCATTCCTACTCAAAGGAAGTGAGAATCATACCTAAATGTCCCAGTCCGCCAACACCAACCACAGCGATCCACTGACCAGGAGAAAGCTCTGCTTTATCAACAGCGTGAAACGAGGTCAACCCAGCGCAGAAGAGTGGTGCCGCGGTTGTGGGATCCATTTTCTCGGGTAGTTTGACGGCTTGTCCTGCTTCCACTAGCGAATACTCAGCCATAAAGCCATCGTGATTGAAGCCTTGAATTGTCGTCTTCGGACACGCAATAGATGTGACACTACAAGCCTCACAGTCGCCACAAGCGTTCAAATAGGGCAGGAACCCAACATCGTCTGATACTTCAAAGCGCGTAACTCTATTTCCGATTTCGACAACGGTTCCACAGGCTTCGTGGCATGGCGTCATGGTCCAGCTTTCGCCACCACCCGTGAGAGCTTGCCGGCCCTCGACAACTTCCATATCCGAGTGACACAGGCCAGCGCTACGAATCTTGACAAGGAGTTGAGTCGGTCCTGGCCTGGGTATTGGAATATCGTCAATCGTAATGCGACCATCGCTCGAGGGGCCGTGGAAGCGGACTGCTCTCATGGTTTTGCTGGCCATGGTGATATCTTCTATAATAGTGCGAATTGTCGGATGAAAGGTGTCGCGGCTATGCTCTAAAAACGCTGAGGGGTGCGCAGAGTTGTTGGAGTTATGAAAACTATGGAAGGCTAAGAGTTCCGACGTACTCCGTGGGAAATTTCTAAAGGTCTTTACTCGGCGCTGACGTATTGGATACAGTATTTGAACAGTTTCTGTACTGTTGACGTGTACAGTGTGAGAGTTCGAGCTCGCCCGTAATCAAAATTGACTTTCTCCTAGCTTGGCGCGTCGTAATCACTACAGCCTGAAGCATAATTAGTCATATCAAGAGTGTCATCCTGCAGCAAACGAGCGTGGACAGTTGACAGCTGACAACCATTTTTCCAGGCACGGAAATGAATTCCCTTGCAAAATTAGGGCTACAATGTGTACTATAGTAGTGCGGCACTATTTACCGGTGTTATTGTTATCCTTTCACAACATTGTCAAGATAAGGCAGCGAACCACGCTACACCACTGGCTCTTGTGCGTTCTTAAGATATTCGGAAGAGGCCGGTTTTGCTACCTTATGTATTACTGCCATGGTTGAGATCAACTGGGATCGCGTTTGGCACAATCCGAGAGCATTTTTGCGTGGGTCATTTCGCGCGTCGTTTGCAATATGGGAAGAGATTCACTTTCGCCTAATCCAAGGACAAAATTCTTCCACGCCTTCGATTTCAAGCTCAATAAGGCATATTCTCTGCAATGCCTTGTTGATGGCAGACCATGAGCTTGTTATGGGACCATCGAATAAAGCTTTGAAGGCGACCGAATCAATCCCCTCGCACAACATAATAACTTGTCAACCAGTAAACGGCATTAATCCTGCAGCGTTTGATGCCGTAGTTCTGTACTGCCATGGCGGCGGATACGGAATTGGACATCCTTTACAGAATTGGGATCTGTATAGGAGATGGAAGCAGAAAGGAGCTATCCATGGTTTAAACATGGCAGTTTTTGCCGTTCAATATCGTGCGTAGACAAAACGGGTCCCATAGGAAAGAGAGCTGCTGACGAATTCAATCTAGCCTTAGGTCCGGAACACCCTTATCCAGAAGCGGTACAGGCAGTGCTAAACGCATACCGATACCTGTTGCACGTACTGAAATTTGACTCCAACGTGATTGTCATAGCTGGAGATTCAGCCGGAGGCGCGTCAGCTCTGCAGCTTGCGGGCAAAATTGCTGATTGTGGCAGGTCACCTGGCAGCATCTTTCCAGCTTTCCCTCCGTGAGTCTCACCTCCCAATGCCAGGAGGGGCGATTTTGATGTCACCATGGCTAGACCTTACCATGGAAAAAGCACTTCTCAGCTATTTTCGAGGGAGAGACCCAATGGTAGATGCCGAATACATGGGCCAGCACCTTGTACCTATTTTAACGGGGAATATCTACAGTACAAAGGACTGGAGAGTTTCCCCAAGTTTGGCTGAACATCTCAAGGGTCTTCCTCCGCAATTCGTAGCGTATGGAGACTCAGAAATTCTGCAGGATGATGCCAAGGACTGGGCGCGATTATGCGGGGAGAGTGGTATTGACGTCACGGTCTATGTGGGCAAAGGAGGATTACATTCATTTTCTACTGGAGGGTTGTTGTGTGATGGAAATCTGGAGGCGAGCTCAGACAACGCACTGTTTGAATTTTTGTTACACTTGCGGAAAAATAGGTAAAAAGGTCTCGCAGTCCGATCTTCGGCATGTATCCTTGCCTGAACTACCGCCGCATTCACAAAACCTGCCTTCACTCCAAGCTAGCCACAACTTTGCTACAAACTTATCCCCTTGAATCAATTCCTTTTTCACATGTTAGGGTCTTGACTGGACATGGGATGCCGCTCACATGTATAGCACTACCAGAACGACAAAGCTCTCAATTCTTTCAGGCTTTCATTTATACTGCCAATAGAAGATACTGTACACTATCTATTCCGTGGAATCAGACGAACTTCCGGTGTATAGTTGCCCAGAATCATCTTCTAATGTGCTAGCTATTCCATCAATGTAATGATTCGCCTGAGAAGATAGGAGATATCGATCCCGCTTACCTAGCGGGATGCTATTGTCGTTCCCGCGAATGTACCATGAGAGATCTGCGCCACGGGCTCCGCGTTGAGAAAACCCGTTCCCGACGAAAGACCAGCGATTGCCCTCAATTTCGTATCCCCGGTCATAGTCCTCAAACCGAGGTCGCTCAAGGAGCTCGAGGTAATGGGGAACTGAACCAGGCCAGAGCGCCGTGACTTTGCCGGGTGCATTCTTGTACCATGAGCGACAATCCCGATCCCACACACTTCGTGACATCCAGGCATCTTTGTGAGCAGTGAGCTCCCGTATTGCTTCTACTTTGGGCTGGAAATATCTGGAAGTGGGCTGTGAGCAGCATCCCACTTTCGTGCCAGTAGATGCAGACTTACTTAATGTTCTCTTCTCGGAACTTCTGGATAAATTTCATGAAATAATCTGCCTGCGCTTCGATACCAATAAGCACTGGTCCATTCCCGATTGGAGAGTTTGGACCCAGAAACATGAAATAGTTGGGGAAGCCGCCAGCTGCTAGCCCAAGGTACGAAGACGGCTCCTGGGACCAAGATTCAGCTAGATCTATACCACCGGGACCTTTGAGAGGGAATCGCGGTTTGAAGGTAGTGTCAAATCCAGTAGCACAGATCAGGACATCGATGGCATGCTCAGTACCGTCCTGCATTACAGGTCCACGATGACTAATCTTGGATATCCTACCAAAGACAACCTTGGATTTGGCATCTTTGAGGGCCTTGAGATAATCCACTCCAGGAGTAAGTCGTCGGCATCCGACGCTCCATTTTGGGATCAACTGCTCTTGTAAGACTGGATCTGGGATCTCGTCTTTCATGCCTTGAGAGAACTGTTGCATGGCTTGTTCCTGCGCGGGGCTGTCACGCAGGAAAAGTGGAAAGAAGGAATTCCCAAGGTGTTCGATGTTTTTCCTGTATTCGAGATGTTTTCCTGGGAAGCTAAGAAACTCGGCTTTCTCTTCGTCACTAAACCTTCGTGGTTCGAAACCAGGCATAGTCATTTGAGTGATCCAGGTGGGCTCACGGATGAAGCTTGCTACTGAAGCCGCTTTTGGGAGGATAGCTGGCAGAATTTGGATTCCCGATGACCTAGAATTGCGGTGTCAGAGACTTCATAAAAATCAATTTTACTCAAGCTGCTGAACATACCCATTGCCAATCAAGCCGACGTTCTTGCCAGTCAAGTCCACCGTCTCATCCCAGGCTGCGGAATGCAATTTCGGACCTGCAAAATTGTCGATTCCGGATATAAGTGGCCATTGCCAGTTGTTGAGAATGCCAGAAGCGTTGATCAGAAGTTCACATGAGTCATGTCGAATGCCCTCTGGCGTCCATATCTTCAACCTCCATTTTCCAACGGCCTCCTCCCAAGATGCTCCAACGACTGCATGACTGTATTTGATGTAATCTTCCAACTCATACTTTGCAGCAAAGTCGGTGAAATATTTGTGAATCTCTTGGGATGTTGCAAATGTCTGGCTCCAGTCGGTCTTCGGTTCAAAAGACCATGTGTACGTATGTGCTGGACAATCACACGCGCAACCTGGATATCTAGAAGCTCTCAGAATCGTGGAAGCCAGCCTAACAAGATAATTATCTTCCTGTTTTCCAGCCATGTGCCTCCAAGGTCAGAATTTTTCTCATAGATCTGAACCTCTACATCGGACTTGTAAAAGTTGTGTTGGATCTTGTATGCCAGGAGCAGACCAGACGCACCGGCCCCAATGCAAACGACCTTAATCTTTCGGCCGCTATGCAATGGTATATCTGGTGGAGCGTATGGAGACGACATGCCGCCCTCGAAGATGTGTTTCAAGGATAGGTGTAGTTTTAGGCGCACGGAGTTCACATGTAAGGGTGAACGATATCGTGAGTAGGACAAGCGAAATATCTTCTCTGCTGACCCGGTACCTTAGGTTCAAGATGGAGTAATTGGGACATCAATATTACGTAAAACTCTCTGACCAAGTGGAAATGTGCATGCCACGCGTCACCGTCAGTAGACTAGCACACATATCGCCTTACCGGTATAGAATCCTAGTTCCGGAAGCAAGACAACGGTGAATCATATAGCACCATGAGGAAGCTGCACTGCTGCATAGTGTGCAGCCTTCAAGTTGTTGTCGTTCTTTCGCAGCTGCATTGAAAAGATCCCTCCTGAATCACGTTGTTGAAATCCCAAGATACTCCAATAAAGTCCTTCGAAATGCCATTCCAAGTAGTTTCCATCATTTACAAAGCTCGAAACATGTCATTTGAGCAGTTTAAACAACACTACGAAACAAAGCACGTACCCCTCGTCCAATCCTTGACCGATCTGAGCTCCGCTCCCTTATTTTACACGCGCAAATACGTCCAACGAGCAAAAGATGATGCTGCCGGTGCGGCCTCTCCCGACTTCGACGCTATTACAGAGTTAGCCTTCACAGATGAAGAAAGCTACAAGAGATGGGCGAGTAAGATCATGTCCGGAACAGGAGGAACTGCTATCGCGGAGGATATGGCGACGTTCACGGATCAAGCGCGATGCAGGATGTGTACCGTGGATGTTATAGCTTGAATCTTTAGTATCTTCCAAGGTTACTTGTGGTAATATGAAAATCTTCACTCCGGCCAGCGTGTCGGATGTTTCCATTCTTACGCGTTGTCTTCATATCGTAGGCGTAACGATTTGTCTAGCTACAAGCTTTGCTTTGTAGGATGTGCTCTACAAAGTCTTCCATAGCTTTCTGTCCCGATTTCATACCTACTATCTCACTCTGGAAGGCGTGTGGAAGCCCTGGATATACTTCCAACTTAACCTTTACACCCGCTCTCCTCAGAGCCTCGGCGTAGGCTATTCCCTCATCTCTGAGTGGATCTGCCCCTGCGACTTGAATGTATGAGGATGGTAGATTGGAGAGATCGGTCTCCAATAATGGTGAAACATATGTGGAGTCGGCTACCATGGCTAGGTCAGGCACGTAATTATCCCAGAAGCTCGCTTATACTTCTCTGTCGAGGAGAGGGGAACCTGCAGTATAGAAGGATTTCAGCTCGCAGTCGTGTCGTTCTTGTGCAATACTGTAGCATTTGTAGTGGCAAACAGCAGGGCTGAAGAGAATCTGGGCTCGAATTTTCGACAGTAGCTTGTTCTCTCTAGCCCACAGACAGAGTGCAGCTGCGAGATTCGCGCCGGCGCTGAAACCACAGACAAAAATATCATGGTCGGGCCGGGCTCCTTGCGACTCCCCATCTGGATATATCGCTCCGGGTCGATTGGGAACCCACTTGAACACAGTCAAAACATCTTGAAAAGGGCCAGGATATGTGGTCTCCGGGCTCAAACGGTAGTCTAGCGTTACGACCGTCATGTTGAGCTTCTGAACCAGGGCTCGAACCATGAAAGAATCTGCATATTCATCACCCATGCTCCATCCTCCGCCATGGATCGCAAGAGAAACATCTCTTGGATGGGTTGTTGGATATTTTGGCTGCCATACCCGTACAGGAATAACGTGGTTCTCGCTAGGGACGGACGCTTCATGACTGACTATTTCATGGGTATATTGTTGCCAAATGTTTCGTACTGCGGCGTTGAGACCTGCACGTGTCTGCTGCAGGTCTGTTGACATTGTTTTGGGTCTCGATGCAATGAGCTGAGTAAGTTCGGGTGAATGGAACCCAAGTTGGCTAAGTTCAGAGGCCATCGCAAAGAATAGAGAATCCAAACAGTACAAATTGCTTCAGTTCATAAGAACCCCAGAAATTTATCCAACAGATCCGTGTATTACACGTATTTTAAGTTGAGGAGCGAATACCATAGGTAAGCACTCCACTGTAGGAAATGAGCTCACATGTGCCACCAAGAACCATTCGACAAGATAAGGAAAACTGCATGGCTTACGACGCGCATGGTAGTAATAGTCATGGCGTCTTACGCAACACTCTGCAATAGTAAGAGTCATGGCGTCTTTCGCGATGATCTGCACAGTGGTAGTCAACGAGTCGTACTCAACGACGCACGCCTGGGCCGCCTGGGCAGGTGCTAGTGGCGCCATTTGTGAGTATTCGGCTTTCTTTCGGACCTATAGCAGTAAGTCGGTTGGCATATGGACGATTAAAAACAGGCAACCTCGCCTTGTCTGTCGCAGTAGCAGCAGGACAGTCTTGCTAATGTTACAGTCGAGGTAGGCATAAGTCCCCGGGAAAAAGCTGCGTGGCGTTCAAGGACGAAAATGCTCGGTTCAACGTGATCTGTCGGCTACACACCATTGACATATCAAGAGTCGATCATGCAACCCAGCGGGCTCATCCAGATCACAGCCGTGCGTCTATTCATCTAGTCTCGACTATGTTTTCGTTCATCGTTCTTCATTTTCGTGATCTGATGTGCACGGATGCGGTGAAGACGAGGCCGACGCTTCAATGTACTGGATACTCAACGTCGCGATCGCTAGGTTGACGGAAGGTGCCGGCTTGCTTGCCAGTCAGGACAGAGAGCAGCGATCAAGGTTGAGACGGCGGAGAAAAAGCGGTCGAATACGGGCGCTCGACCCCGCCGGCTTCTTCATGTGTGCCTGGACGTCGACCGTCTTCCCCTCGACCGACTCTGCGCGACCCTCGTTGACTCCCAAATCAACCCCAACATCAACCCCAACATCAACACCAACATCAGCATCAACACCAACATGGCTCAGCACTCATCGCCCCCGGACAGAGCCAAACGCACGGCCAATCGGTTGGCACAACAAAAGTTCCGCCGCCAGCGCAAGGACTACATTGCCCAACTCGAGACCGAGCTTGCCATGTGCCGTGCCGGTGCCAGTGAGGAGCTCGTACAGCGGCGGCAGCAGGTGGAGCAGCTGGCAGCTGAGAAGAAGATTCTCCGCGACATGTTGATCAAAGTCGCGCACTCGCTGGGCAACGCGTGTGGTCTCGATGTCACGCTAACACCTCGGCAACCAGACGGCACGGACACGTGTGCACTCGCACCACAGACCGAAGACGAGCGCCATGATGAGAGCGACAACATCTCTAATCTCGACCCCGTAGCAAGCGTTGACGACGGCCAAGACAAGATTGAAGGCAACCTTCAGATCAATACTGTAGTTACTGATGAAGACAACAATAGCATGCTTCGTGGGCCCACCTTCGACCTGTTTGAATCCGCCTTTGACTGGCTCCCGTCAACTGGCGATCATGATATGGATGCTGGACCTGGTACTTTGCTGCTTTCTCCCGCCCCCAACAACGTTTGGCCTTCCATTCCTGGCCCACTCTTTTCTCCTCCACCAGCACCAGCCCCGGCCCCGGCCGACAAAGCCCAGCTGGCGTGTATCATGTTCCGTCGCCAAGTTGATCATGTGCTTGATTCTTGTCTTGCCGCCCTTGAATCCGGCACTGACCATCTCGAGCTCTTCGAAAATCGTCTGGTCCAAGGAGTTGTCCATGCCATCTTCCAGATCCAAGAATTTACCGCCGGAGCATTTCAAATGAAGGCCATGTCGCTATCGGGCGGAGCAGCATGGCTACTCTGGCACGTTGTTAAGAGAGTGTGTATCTTGCCGCGTTTAGCTGCCTCCAGTCTTTATACAAAGGCAGGTGCGGCCCGCTTTGAATCTGACATGTTTCATGATACCAGCCCCGACTGGCTACAGCCCACCCCCCTACAGGCCATTACAGAGTACGTGCATTTTTCTCATTGGCTTCAGCTTTGGTACTGATCTTTCAATATATACCACCCGGCCGTTGATTATATTCCATGGCCACAGTTGCGTGACGCCCTCGTCAGCTACAAAGGTCCTGTTTCTGTCGAAGACATCCTAGTCAACCTTGCTCATCGGGTACGAAGAGTCCTTCGTGTCAATGTTACCGCTGAATGACGACACTGATCATAGGCTTACAGCTTGTCCCGACGGGCGCACCCGTTGATAGAGTCATACAGCCCGACGTTACCATCTTGGACATCCGCCCCATGTTCAGCTGCAAAGAGGAGCGTACTCTCAAAAGTGAATTCTACAGCGCGCTTAGCATGTACAAGCTACGTCCGGCAAGCATAGTTCCTGATGAAGTGGCTACATCGTACCTGGTCGATCATTTCTTCGAACAGATGTCTGTTCTTTAGAACCGCAGGTACACCACTAATATGAAGCAATTTTACATGAGCACTCGATTACTAGAACGTACTTCGGGCTTCAACCTTGTACGGCAGCTTTGTTGCCAGCATGTTAGGAGCCTAACACTGAGGGGACTCTGGCAAATTCGTATAAGCCAAGTAGGGAGCGCTCCTGCCTTTCGACCCGATAAAGGATAGCAAAAGCCGTCGCAGCAACTCGCTTGGCCTAAAGTGTGTGTATGTGTATAGATAATCTGGACGCCCGGGGTAGTCGAACAATTCTGTCGCGGTAAGTCCCAGAATCTGAAGGCCTTCACGGGTTGACGATTGATGAGTGTGACATCGAGCACGCTGTCATCCGAAAGAAATCCGCTGCCAATTCTGGCAAGAAGACACCTCTAGAACTAGGGTCTGTCATTTTGGGATTGGATTCTGAACAAAACCAATTAGAGTATCAACAGACTCGAAGGTGTACCCAATACCAGCCCCGCTCGTATGTAAAGGCATATCACCATCCGCAACGCCTGCATTAGCAACAAGCATACAAGCGCTTCCTTCATGGAACTTACTTGGCTGCAGCTTAGACTTCCTGACTGAGCGATTATGACATTCAATATAATACCCTTCGAGCCCTCAGAACGTCTTCGGTGCCTAGGCCTTGTTTGTCCGCTACCCGCTTCGCAAGACTAACAGAACAATTTCGACGACAACACGAGTTATATCTAAATAAGTTGCGTATTAGTACTTTTGTCTCTACATGCAATAAGCAAAGTAAAGTATCCTGGATATGTTCCACTCCGATTTATCATTAGCTAGCTACATGAATCTGTGCCTGTTGAGACCCGAAAATATTGCAGAAGAATCTCTACAAGCAGAGGAGTCATTTGTCTAATTCCGGCACCCTTGGCTGTGTAGTTCGCGCATCGGAAGCGGAAGTTAGGCTGCTGTATAGATCACCCTAATTCCGTTCAGCGGGGCGTCGTTTGCGTCGACGCATCGCATATCCTCTCCGCACGATGATTTTCTAATGTGTTACGAGAAATCTGAAAAGACATACATGGGTGCTTTCTACATCCTCTGTCTCTGCTTCCTGTCTTTTGCCTCGAATCGCAAATTTGAACATCTCTGCCAACCATGGGCTCTATTGATATGACTGGGATTGACCCACTCACTCCTGAAAAAGGATACCACTCTAAACCCGATCTGTTGCGAGTAGTTTGTGTCGGCGCCGGAGCTGCGGGCTTGTTGGTCGCCCATAGAATGCAGACGCGCATGACCAACTTTGAACTGGTGTTATACGAAAAGTCCGTCTTCGCACTTCTACATATTCTTTCAAAGTCTGGGACTAACAGTAAGTAGGAATGAAGATGTCGGTGGAACCTGGTGAGTTCACCACCTGAGGTCTACTACTATGATCATGTTTCATGACTGACAATCATATGAGGTTCGAAAATCGGTATCCAGGGTGCGCATGTGATGTGTCTGTATCTATTGCCCATTGACTCTTAGGTATGAGTCACGGCTTACGATCTGTCTATTAGGCCAGCTCATAACTATACGTACCCATTCGAGCAAAATCCTGACTGGTCAAGCTTCTATGCTTACGCTCCTGAGATTCTGGCGTATTTTCGGCATTTTGCTGAGAGTAAAGATGTGCGCAAGTATGTAAAGTTCAATTCCAAGGTCACCAAGGCTATATGGGATGAAAAATAAGGGGGAATGTACGTTTGTTGACTTCTGTTGTTACTTGTTCCAATACTGATCTATGCAGACGGTGTTGAAATCCATCAAGGCCAGGAAGTCATTCACGACTCGTGCCATGTGCTCATTAATGGAACTGGGTTTCTAAACAGTTGGAAATGTCAGGCGTTACACCCTCCGAATCTTCCTTTTTGTGTAGCTGAGCTGACTCGAATTTAGGGCCAAAGATTGACGGTTTGCACGATTTTGGAGGGAAATTGGTACACAGCGCCAATTGGGATCCAAGTAAGATAGACCACAGTCTACGTGGCATTTTGCTAATCAAAATCTACCAAAGCAATTGATTGGGCAGATAAGAGAGTCGCTGTGATTGGAACAGGCTCGTCGGCGATTCAAATTGTGCCACAAATTCAGAAGAGTGAGTACAGACCATGGATTGCAATCAACCGTACATTACACTAATCTCGGAAACAGGTGCTAAGCACCTGACTGCATTTATGCGATCAGTTACTTGGTAAATCGTTTCACGCAAGCTGGCGCATGCCGCTAAGAAAGCAACAGGATTTCACCGCCAGTAGCTACAGATATCCTTGCAGCCACCAAAGTCACATCTCATGATGCAGCAGAAAGGGATAGACTGGATGCTCAATACTGTTATACGGCAGAGGAGAAGGAGCGATATCGCAGGGACCCGGAAAGCTTACTTGAATTGCGCCGCAAGATCGAAATCGGCTTTAACAACACGTTTGACTTTTTTGTAATGGGTTCGGAAGCGCAGAAAATTACTCGAACGTACATGGAAGCCGAGATGAAACGCCGCATTGGTCCGGGCCATGAAGACCTAAAGGAGAAGTTGATACCGAAGTGGTCTCCTGGTTGTAAGTGATTGAAAATTACTTAAAAAGTTCCTAAAGGCGCAGCTAATATACTAGGCCGGCGAATAACACCTGGCGATGGATACCTCGAATCTCTTGTTCAGCCAAGTGAGTTGTCATGTTCAGAGTTGAGGCAACAGAAATATCTAACTTGCTTTTCCAGACGTGACTACCGTGCACGAAGAGATTTCCAGGGTCGTATCGGAAGGTCTCATCGATGATTCAGGTACTCTACATGAGGTCGATATTCTCGTCTGTGCAACAGGGTTCAACATGGCATTTGCACCTTCTTTGTGAGCCAAACAAGACCTTGAGAGGATGATCCTGCAAGTGATCACACACTAATCGCAACACAGTACTATTACAGGAACGGACGGTGTCAACATGAGGGACGAATTCGACCCTGATCCAAACGTTTATCTTGCGCTTGCTGTACCGAAATTCCCCAACTATTTCGTCATCAACGGCGTCCGGGGAAGTTGGGCAGCAGGCAGTATCCTCCCAGCAGTGAGTAAACCAGGCAGCAGTTTGAATTAGGGGAACTTCTCAAAACTGACCATATTGCTTGTAGATCGATGCGCAGACAAATTACATTCTTCGGGTTTTACAAAGAGTGCAATCCGAGAAAATCCGCTCCTTCGAGGTTAAGAACGAGCCAACACGACAATTGAATGAGCATATTGGTACGTTCACCTGGATCTTTTGTTGTCTTTATTGGTTCTAGATAAACTTTCTCAAAGGGCGAAGACAGCTCATACGTACAACGTAGATGCATGGCACAAGCACTCTGTGTGGAACGATGATTGCAAAAGGTGAGCAACTCTTTCCAATGAACTTGAAACGATAAAATCTAATATCGTGAATCAAGTTGGTATAAGAACAATATACCAGGCGGCAAGCTCTGGATCTGGGGAGGATCAGTACGCATACAGTCTTTGTTTCTCAAGAGTGACGTTGACAAATGTGCCAGAGTCTCCACTACCTCAAAACGATTGATGTGGTACGGTGGGAACATTTCGACTTTCGCTATAAATCAGCAAACATGTGGTCTTTCCTCGGAAATGGTTATACGAAGGCCCAAGCCTTCAAAGACGAGAACTTGCTGGCACCCTACATCCGCACTGAGGATACTCCATGGAGTGTAGAATAGATTACTCAACAGCATCGTGATTGTGGCTGAAGATCTGTAGATAGTGGCATGTGTTCGTAGGATATGGCTATGTCTCTAGAATGAAGACACTTGTGATACATACGAGGTCAACATTAGATGAGCGCTACCATGGGCATAACATTAGGCCGTATTCGCCCTATAATTATCAAGATTCACGCAGTAGATCCCTTTATCCTCTTCGTCATTCACCTTTTCCATGATTCTGCAGGTAGTATACCCGTTATCCACGTTTCTAGCAAAACGACCCCGAGCATTTGTAGCTCGGGTCATGATTACCCTTCCTGTGCGCAACAATTACGTTTTTTGAGAATAGCATTTTGGTTTGAACATATTCATCTGTACTGAACAAAGCAAGAAGTGGTTGTGTTTACGCAATATACAAGAGTTTAACTGATATCCGAGAGCTCATAAATTTACGTTTCACAGATGGGTTGTATATCTTCTCCTTTCTTGCCTTTCGAAATAAAAGACTACATGACGTGTATCTATCGGCAGTGACACCCATTCCTCACTCCATTCCCCGATTGGAGATATTGAGCCACATGCTGGGACCAGAACCATGTTTTCTGATGGTGCCAATTTGCGCTTTCCGGGCAAAGCTCCATGTCAAAATTGTAGAACAAGAGTGCCAGCAGTGTACGGGTTTCGCAGTACGCCAAGTTGCGGCCGATACAATTACGCGGACCGACGCTGAAGGGTTGCAGCACTTCGCGACGATCAAGATGGAACTCAGACTTTGGATCCTTGTAAGCTGCAGCATCCCACCGTTCTGGAATGTATTCTTCAGGCCTATGAAAGTTTCGAGCGTCGAGGTATGCTGAGTACTGATTAACACCCACAATAACCTGGTCTTAGATCAGCTCGATGGAAATGACTGCATGCAACGATAGGCTCACATTTGGTGGCAATTCATGTCCAGATACTACGGTCCGTTGGTTCTCTGGAGTTTTTCTGGGAAGGGTGATTGGCAGGGGCGGAAAGCGTCGCATCGCTTCTGTGATGCAAGATATCATGAATGGAAGTTTGGATGTCGATGTGATGAAGTTGATTTCGTCTTGGCTCTTGAACGTGGTCCTGACTTCGTGCTGTACCTTAGCCATTACCTTGGGATTTTTCAGAAGCCAAAATAGCGTGCCAGCCATCGTGGTAGCTGAAGTCTCCGCACCAGCGCTGATAAGGATGTTTGCATTGACAATGATCTCTAGATCATTGAGACCGCCTGGCTGATTGCGCTTCTTAACCATGGCATCCAGAAAGTCGCCACGACCTTGTTGATCTGCATTGTTCATCCTCTTCGTGGTTGTATTCTTTGCTAGCTCCAACTGTGCATTGTGTGCTTCGATCAGATGCTTGGGAGTCGTGATTCTGAAGAGCCACTTGAGTAGCGGGTAGCTACTCGCCACACGCAGCCATGCCCCTGCTTTGATGAAGTAGAACATGTTGCGAACGAAGCCGCCTTCGTCCGAACTTTCCAGACATCCAAACGATTGACCGAAAGCCAGGTCACCGATCAAGTCAAAAGTGACGAGGTGGAGCCATTTGACCATGTCTATCCGTTGGTTCGAGATCGCCAGGTCGCGCAGTCGTGCCAGGAAGAGGTCAGAATGCACTTTTATCAGCGGCTCCTGTAACCGGATGGAACTTTCCGAGAAGCCGTTAGACATAGCTTTCCTGTATCTTGTATGGTCTGCAGAGTTGGCAGAGATGAGATGTTCCGGCAGGCCCTTGGGCGCATCGAAGAAGGATGCTTTTGGCAGATTCTTGCCGTGACCGTATATATCGTCCCAAGCTTTGGCATTGTTGAAGCTTATCTCGTTAGGCCCGATTCGCACGGCGTGACCATAGTGTTGATGAAGTCGGAGTAAAGTTGAGTCGAGATTGCCTCTGAGGAACGTAATATGCTGGAAAACAGGGAATGCGATCCATAGCCTTGGTCCTTTGATATGACGCAAAGGAGAGAAGAAGAGTTGATAAATAGCTGCCAGAATGCAGTGTGTCAAGTAAAGGAGAACAAGTCCCGCGGAAACAGAACCAGCGAGGGCTAAGTTGCCATTGTGACTCGTGCGAAAAGTCGTGAACCCGATCAAGTAACCCATTGTTCTACAGCGAAATTTCAAAACGAGTAGGTCGATCAAAGGTGAAATGTTTTTTTCGACGGATTGCTCTGTAGGACCCAAAATACTCAGCAGTTCAAGACCTTGTCGGCCCGGTTGTATGCTCTACAGGATTCCGGTCGCATGAACATACAGATTTTCCGACCATGTCACGTAAAATTCCGGCTGGCTCGTGCACGTGATTTTTAGCAATCGTATGCAAGACATCGATGACCGATCCTCTCTAATCACGACCTCAAAGTGATGCAGGGTTGCGGGGTGTGGCATCCTGGCTGGTTATACAGTAATTCCGTCTGACTTCCGTGGGAACCCGCACCCCGCACTCTAGGAGCGCGTGACATGTCATGGAGCGGTCATATCGAATGGTCTGTATACTTAGGAGTGGAAAACCTTCATCTTCGAAATGTCTCCACTGCAACAATATCGGAAACTGCCCCAAGGACAACATACTATAGTCTTCTTCAGATCTCGAACACACAGTTGCAAACATACCCAACGATGAGTCTGAAGTCAATATCAGGCGTGGCATTCGTCACTGGGGGAGCCCGAGGACTCGGAAATGCTGTAGCAGTTTCATTCGCACGGGAGGGGTGTGAGGCTGTAGCAATTGTCGATGTTCTTCTTGATGATGTTATGGAACAAGGCAGACAGGAGGTTGAAAAGCAGGGCGCTAAAGTGGGCTTAATATCCATGATTCTCTATTCTGCTAGCATATACTTACGCTATACTACAGTGTTTGGCACTACAGTGCGACGTGACTAAGGAAGAAGATGTGATAAAGGCAATCGAGAAGACGGTACAAGCTTTTGGCAGAATTGACTATGCAGCGTAAGCGGCCTTACGAAAGTCCGTTTAAATGCAAATCGCTAACTGAAAGATTAGCAATTTTGCTGGTATTAGTGGAATAAACGAGCCCCTGGAGAGCACTTTGGCGCCTAATTTCGAAAAGGTCATCCTGACAAACACTACCGGAGTATTTTACTGTGTGAAACATCAGATCCAACAGATGAGTAGGCAAGAACCCGGAAATTGGTAAGCATTAAGTAGAGATTACTTGATTAGGTCACATGTGAATCGACTTTTAAGTACGTATTTGTGATCTAGCTCTGACCACCCTTTCGCTCAACGAGGAGCAATCGTGAATTGCGCATCTGTCAATTCAATACTTGCGGGTATGGCAACAGGCCCTTATACCGCATCGAAACACGCTGTTGTTGGTATAACGAAAACTGTAAGTTATGTGCGACTTGTCTACGGGCTTAAAGTTCGACTAAATCGACCTTGTGGCTGACTTCCTATTAGGCTGCCTTGGAGGCCCGTAAGAATAACATTCGCGTTAACGCGTTGTCTCCAGGCTTTATATGGACAGACATGGTTGCCAGAGGATTGGAAACGAAGGACGACCCACGCTTGAAAGAGGCGTGGACCGTGTTTGAGGCTAGGCAAGGCCGCAAGGCCTTCCCTCGTGAGATCGGAGACGCGACCGTGCAGCTTTGCAGCAGCAAACTGAGCTTAGTAAACGGTCATAATCTCGTCTGCGATTAGTAAGTCTAGCGATTCAATGTTGATTAGTCAACGACTAACAAGTGCCAGTGGCTTTGTGGTAAATGAAATGTCGTTTTAGTGTCCGGAGACCTTATTAGGACAGAGCTAGATAACAGGAAGAGAAAGGGCTCATGGCCATTCCTAGGCGCACGCGGCAGAGAGTCCATGGCGTTCTGTTTTGGTAATTTGACAGCATAGTCTATTGTAAAAGTATGTTGATTTTCGGTAAATTACAAGCCAAGATGGCATGTCCGTATCTATCTTTGTATCCAAGCAAATCTATCATCGTATCTACGTGAAGAATGCAGCTGCTCCTCACTGTTGCTTGAGATGCAAATTCCGAAATCCGTCCGTAACGTAATGCTAGTGTAAATCATGTGCTTTGGAATACTGCGCTCGAGTAAATAGTGGCTAGTCAGTCGGTATTATGTCAGATGTCGTGCTCAACGACCAGACCATGCATATTCCAAGATTCTCCGTGAACAAGGGGGCAATGCCTTTCGGCCAATACAATTGATAATAGCTCTGTGTCTTTCGCATTATCAAATCCCCGTTTCGGGCTGTTCGCGCATTAGGTATATACCAACCACATTGAGCAATTAATGCGTGGCTCCCCTTCGTACGCCCTAGGCGACCTATATGTTCTTTAAAAGCTGAATTACTATCTTGTCTCAGAACTCGGCCTGCCCAAAGTAACTCCCTCTTACATTTCAGTGTGGAACTTCTATCTTCCTGGAAAGTGGCAATGGCGACCGCCGTTCCTTTCCAAATTACAATATCGGAGAGCAGGCTTCGTAAGCTCCATGCCAAACTGGCATTATACGATCCACCGACCGATATTGAAGTGGCAGACCCTTGGCGGCGTGGGTGTTCTGCAGAATCGATACAAGCATTAGTATCGTACTGGATGCACAATTTTGACTGGCGCGCACAGGAGACCCTGTTGAATAAACTCCCACAATTCACCTCCACGGTAGAGGTCAATCGCTTTGGCTCGTACAACATACACTTTATACACGCGAGAAGTTGGGCACAGGATGCCATACCGTTGTTATACTTGCATGGGTGGCCCGGAAACTTTTCCGAAGTCAGCAAGATACTGCCTCTGCTTACGAAAGGCAGTCCGGAAACACCGAAATTTCACATCGTAGCACCCAGCCTTGTAGACTTTGGCTTCTCTGATGGTAGCAAGAAGGCATGTTCAGCGGTCAGGCAGGGTGTTGTAGCGGTGGCTGACCGAGACTAGGAAGGATTCGGAATCGACCAGCATGCAGAGGCATACCATGGCCTAATGCAGTCTCTCGATTACGATCAGTACGGTAAGTGCTGTACGTACTGCAAGCAATGCGGATAGTGACCATCGGGCAGCTATGCATGGGGGCGATATTGGTTATTTGATCGCCCGCTTCCTGGCTTGGATGTATCCAACATCGTGTATGGCGCATCACACGAACATGCCAAGCCCTCAAGCACCTCCGGATGGACTAGGAGAACTGGGAGCTGATGATTTAGATAGACTAGGGTCTACTAAAGAATGGCAGGCAACAGCCATGGCTTATGCGCAGGTTCATGCGACCAGACCGCAAACAATTGGCTACAGTCTAGCCGACAGTCCTGTTGGGTTGCTGGCATGGATGTTCGAAAAGCTTCATACATGGACAGACGGTTATAGCTGGACTCAGGATGAGATTCTCACATGGGTGAGTATATACTACTTCTCCAAGCCAGGGCCAGCGGCTGCTCAGCACATCTACTTTGAGAATGCTCACAGGCAGCCTCCGGCTTTTGAGCAGGCGGCGAAGTATATTGATGTGAAGTTGGGTGTATCGCTTTTCCCAAAGGAGATCGTTCTGCTTCCCTTGAGCTGGAACAAGACACTGGGTCCGGTGGTGTTTGAGCGTCGTCATGAAAAGGGCGGCCATTTCGCAGCGTGGGAATGTCCAGAGGCGTTGGCGACGGATTTGCAGGACATGTTTGGTACATGTGGAGGTGCATATAAGTGTATTGAGGGGGCTAGCGGATTTGCCTAGTCGAGGTATTTGATAGCAAAAGCCGAGTAATGTCAATGCTGTATCAAAGACGAAGAGGTATTTTCGTGGAGGTTTCGGGCGCGGACGGGGCTCTTAGGGTTAAGTTTTGAGACTGGGCCAAGCTGCAGCCGAAGAATTCCCGCCATGTGTGTCGCAGCTTCGACCTCACTCAAAACCAACTCGGCCAACGACTGCCGACCCGTGATACTCCCCCCCCACACACAGCTCTGCCTTCGTGACAGCTCCAAGCCACGATGCAGGCTCTCCGATACCCACTGCGCTCGGCGCTCACCAAATCCGCTACCAGGCAGTATGCGACAGGCTCTTCGCAGTATGCCGAGACCATTAAGAACCTCCGTATCAATGGCGACACAAAAGTGCTGTTCCAGGGCTTCACTGGAAAGCAGGGCACGTGAGTGGACATGCACTGGCCACGCACAGAAATTGGCAGCTAAGTAGAGACAGCTTCCACGCACAACAAGCGATTGAGTACGGTATGCGCGCGCTCCACCGCCGTATTAAATGATGAGGGCGAGGCATTGACGTGTCGGAAACAGGCACAAAAGTTGTCGGAGGCACCAACCCCAAGAAGGCCGGCTCAGAACATCTCGGCAAGCCCGTCTTTGCCAGCGTAGCGGATGCTATCAAAGAGACTGGTGCGACCGCTTCCGCCATTTTTGTCCCGTACGCTCCACCAAACAATACACCGCCACGTCCAACACAGACTGATTTACATGTAGCCCGCCAGTTGCCGCCAAGAGCATTGAGGAAGCCATCGCTGCAGAGGTACCTTTGATTGTGACGTAGGTGTGCATGTGAACTTGGAGCATACCAGAAACTTACAACTGCCAGCATCACCGAGGGCATCCCACAACATGGTATGGACAAACGACCACTGCCTTGACATACACGTCCGCTAATCCTGCTAGACATGGTCCGCATCACCGACATGCTCAAGTCGCAGAACAAGTCCCGCATGGTCGGCCCCAACTGCCCTGGCATAATCGCTCCTGTATGTTCGCTAGAAGCCTCAAGCCGCACAGTGGAACTCTAACAAGATGTAAAGGGACAATGTAAGATTGGCATCATGCCTGGCTTCATCCACAAACGCGGCCGTGTCGGAATCGTATCTCGCTCCGGAACCCTCACGTACGAAGCCGTGAACCAAACCACCCAAGCCGGCCTTGGCCAGTCGCTCGTTGTCGGCATTGGTGGAGACCCCTTCTCAGGAACCAACTTCATCGACTGCCTCAAGGTCTTCTTGCAGGACGAGGAGACGGACGGTATCATTATGATTGGAGAGATTGGTGGCTCAGCCGAGGAGGACGCCGCAGATTTCCTCAAGGAGTACAACACTGCCAACAAGCCCGTTGTCAGCTTCATTGCTGGCATCTCTGCGCCTCCAGGCAGGCGTATGGGCCACGCTGGCGCCATTGTCAGTGGAGGAAAGGGTGATGCCAACTCCAAGATCAACGCCCTCGAGGCTGCTGGTGTTGTCGTTGAGCGCTCTCCTGCCAGGCTTGGATCGACTCTGTATGATCAGTTCGTCAAGCGTGATCTGATATAGACAACATAGGACATGCCTGATTTCGTGGTTGAAATGTTCAATGGTCAAGCGAGCGTATTCTGGAGTAGCTTGCGCGAAGGGACGTCATGTCATGTATCAGCCCATCCATTGTACAGTTAGTCATTTAGAACAAAGCTGTGGGTGCACACGAAGCGATCCAGATAAATTTGCACCCTTGCACCTTGTCTGTTTTTTTATGTCTGACATTTTGCGAGGGTGATCGCGGCTACGTGTTAGGGCACAAGCCTACCTCAAGTTACCTTTGAGAAAAAGTTCCCCGCGTAACCTCCGAGAAGCAGTCACCAGCGAAACAACACGCAACCACCATGTCCAAGACCAAGACGAAGCAGGCGCGCCGCGAACTGAAACGAGACGGTGCCCGTAAAATCGCCGCGCATCAACGCAAAACTGCAAAGGCTGCAACAATATCGACCAACGCGCCGAAGCCGCCCAAGAAGAAACAAAAGATGCAAGCACAGCCCGTGCAAGCGTCACAAAAGCACGACGTCCCATTCGGCGAATACGAGCACATTCTGCTGGTCGGCGAAGGCGACTTCAGCTTCGCACGCAGCCTGGCCATCGAACACGGCTGCGCAAACGTCACGGCCACCTCATTCGACTCGGACACGGAAGTGCGCGAAAAGTACCCCAACTTCGAAAGCATCCACGACGAATTGACCCAACTCACACCGCCCGTACCCATACATCACAGCATCGACGCGACCAAGCTATCGAGCTACAAGCACCTGCGATGCACGCGCGAGGACGACGACGAAGGCCAGGACGGGTGGGATACCATATGCTTCATGTTCCCTCACACGGGCGGACTGAGCACCGACGTGAACAGACAAGTACGCGCCAACCAAGCGCTGCTTGTTGCCTTCTTCAAATCCTGCCTGGAGACAACGAGCGCGAAACAGCGACTGCAAATCCTCGCGTCCCAGGTCCACAAGAACCATCCGAGTCCGCTGCGTCCCCGTAGCCAATTCTTGCGCATGGGCGGTCGCATCGTCGTTACGCTCTTCGAAGGCGAGCCGTACACGCTGTGGAATGTCCGTGATCTCGCTCGACATGCAGGCCTCAAGGTGGTGGAGAGCTGGAAGTTTGATGCTAGCCAGTATCCCGGGTACAAGCATGTAAGGACGCTAGGTACGATCGAAGGGGGTGGCGCGTGGAAAGGAGAGGATCGAGATGCGAGGACCTATGTCTTTGAGAAGATACCACTAGTCGCCGACAGCGACGAAGAGAAGGAGCTCGAGAAAGAGACAGGCGTCAAGAAGGTGAAAGAAAGAACGAGGACGAGGACGAAAAGACCACGCAAAGGCAGTGACAGCGACGATGATTGAGATACATGATTCGAGGTCGAGAGAAGCCTACTAGGGCAACCGTATGGAACATACATAAAGATACCTTCATCCTGTCAATGTGGAGAGCACATGAATCCCGTGCTACCAGCAGCCTGCCGTGGCTGAACCAAGCACCGAAGAAAGCCACCAAACGCCGCGCTATGCCATGACCCAAATCCTACGATACAGAGGAACCTCACATGATGTACACTTTGCGCACCTCGCTTTCGCTCCAAGCCTCTCCCTTGATACCATCAACTGGATCCCTGACCCACCCGCTCTCGGTTCCGACTTTCTTGTTGAACGCCGTCAGTTGATCGCGGCCATATATCCTTCCGTTGGGGAGCACCACTGGGTCGTTCTTCACGATGCTCTTGGTGTGGTGCGCATAGGGGACGTTGCGCGCAAGCTCGTTGAGCTCGGTGCTGCAGATGGGGCACACGGATGTGGTGGCCGATGACGCATTGGCCGATGACGATGTATACGCGGAGTGGCACGCTGGAGTTTTCAGGGCAGAGAGCCCCGCAGAAAGCGCGATGTGAAGGAGCGGTCGGGGCGGGAGCGAGTAGAGGTTGTGGTGCGTCGAGAGGAAGAGGTTCGCTAGATGAGCCCACCGTGATGGAGAGTAGAGCGACTAAGAAAGGTTAGCAATGCGAGAGACACGCCAGTATTTGATATCTTACCACATATGGCTCTACGTCATCCCAAGGCTTGTAGGCAAGCAATCCAGCAGCTTTACGGAGGAGCTCAAAGTCCCCACTCGTGCTCAAGTACTTCTTCGCATGCACTCTTGCCTCGACGAGTTTGGTCTCGCCGCCGCCTGTGCCGAGACTCACTCCATTCATGCCATGACCCTCTATGCCGTCCATATCACTCAAGCCTGCCTCGTGACCCTGCCTGACCAGCTCAATGTACTGTTGCAATCTGAGCTCGAACTCCAGCATACTGCCCCCCTTCTTCAGCTCCTTGCTGTGCTCCTTGCACCAGTCCAATGCGAGGCTGGTACTCATGCCCTCCCGTAAGCTCCGCTCAATCTTGTGGCATGCGATAAAGGCATCCACGTCCACGAGGTCCTCAATCTCCTTGCTCTGAGCAAGATGCGCCGCCGACTCGGAGTAGCCTTCGCGCAGGAGATAGTCGACAAGCAATCTTGACAGCCTCGTTCGCGACCACTCATCGTATTTGACGTCCACCAAGCTGTTCACATCGTACAGGTCTTGGAGATGCCGTAACCGTGCCTTGGCGCTTTTATGTATGCGCGTCTCCTCCTCGTGCAAACCCTCTAGTTTCCGCTTCAGGACCTGCATCTTGCTGATCATGGCATCCAGCGAATCGAGCGTGGCGTCGGGTGAGGCGGATTTCGAGGCTGCTTTGGTGGCAGCGGCGAGCGAGGTGGTCATGTTGGCAGACGAGTGTTCGATCACGCGCTGGGCGTTTTTGAAGTTGCGCCGCGAGAGCTCGTAGGGCATGCGGAGCAGGGGCTGGTCCTTTACAGAGTCAGTAATAAAGTTCGTCGTCTTTTGGATCGAACAGAGTCATACGAGCAGCAAATGTGACTCTGCATTGAGCTTCATCGACGTGAGCTCCGCCATGGCGGGCAGTGTCTTGTGTCGACGAGCAGTAGAAGAGTGATATATTCCTCTCCAGCAGCACAGATACTGTTCAAGTACTCTGAGGGAGCTGTTCAGCGAGCGGTGCAGTATCACGCGCGTTGTTCCAAGGGTTGGAGCTGCGTGCTTGCGATCAGAGGTTCAAGCTCGCGGCGGGGCGTCTAGCTCGTTGGCCGGGACGTGCGTTCACTGCATCATCACCATCCTGCCACATGATGCTCACCACCAGCATAAACGACGCGCATCCGCTTTGTTCTATATGATATCATTCTGTTCGTGAACCAAAAATTCTAAATAAACTCCTCTAAAGCCCAATGCATTGGAACGTAGAATCCAGATGTCTCTAATCATGCAGCAAGACACTGAAGCAGGTCGCGCCGAGCTGCCAGCCTACTGCAGAGGTATCCTGAACCCTGCTCTAAGGCTTTTACTTTTGTTGCACACGCGTCCCGCAGTTCAGGAGACGCATCTAAGTCGCAGAAACCCTACCGAGGGCCACTTAGAGCGCACCAGTCGATGTCATCTTCTTGCGGAGATGGCCCTTGTACTCGCCGATGCTTCCGTCCCATCGGCGCACAGTCTTGTGCTCACACACCATGATGTCCTTTGCGATCTTGTCGAGCAATCTGCGAGATGTTAGTGTTGTGTACAGTGAAGTGGATGAGAGGACGTACCGGAAGTCGTGAGAAACGACGACGACACCTCCGCTGAACGCGTTGATGGCGTCAGCCAAACTGTCGATCGTTGGGATGTCCAGACCGTTGGTGGGCTCGTCGAGGAGCAACATGTTGGGGCCCTCAATGGCCAACAAAGCGAAGACGATACGTGACTTCTGGCCATCGGAAAGGGTAGCCATCTTGGCGGTTTGGCCCTCACCAGTCAGACCATAACGACCGAGCTGTTGACGCCAGTACTGGTAGTCTTGACTGATGTGAGAGAACTTGTCGCGGACAAAGTCGAGAGACGACTTTGTGAGGTCCAGCTGTTCAGCAGAATGTTGGCTGTATACACCGAGCTTCAAGTGAGTGTGGCGGGACACAACACCACTGGTGGGGCTGAGCTTGCCAGTGAAGATGTTGAGCAGAGTCGACTTTCCGACACCGTTGGGTCCGACAAGGGCTGTTCGCGAGTCCATGTCGACACCAAAGTCGAGGTTCTCGTACAAGTTGTCCTTGGGGTCGCCCGAGTAGGAGAAGGTAACGTCGTCGAGCGACAGCACAGGCGGAGGCAGCTTCTCGACATCAGCGAAGCGGAATGTGAAGACGCGGTCGGGAACAACGGGCTCGATCAGACCATCGGCTTCCATCTTGTCGAGAATCTTCTGGCGAGACTTGGCCTGCCTGACCAAGTTGGCGTAGGTACCGGCCGAGGCAATGAACTTCTTGATGTGCTTGATCTCGTCCTGCTGCTTCTCGTAGGCCTTGGTCTGGTTGACTTCCTGTTCGGTCCTGGTCTTCATGTACGTGTCGTAGTTACCTCCGTAGTAGAGGAGCTGCTTCATGCGCATGTCGATCATGTTTGTGCACACACCGTTGAGGAAATCCATGGAGTGCGAGACGAGAATCAGGGTGCGGTCCCACTTCTTCATGTACTCCTCGAGCCACACACAGGCCTCGAGGTCCAAATGGGCAGTCGGGTCGTCGAGCAGCAGAAGCGCGGGCTTGACGAAGAGAGCCTTGCCGAGGGCGACACGCATACGCCAACCACCGGACATGTCCTTGGTCTTCTTGTTGATGGTGACCTTGTTGAAGCCGAGACCAGTCAGAATGAGCGAGGCGCGGGTGTGGAAGGTGGACGGGTCCATCTCTTCTTGACGCTGGTTTGCTGTTAGTGGCGGCGCTGTCAACGTTGGGACTGGGTGGACATACCTCGTAGATCTCCTCGAGGCGGGGGCTCTCTGGGCCGTCGTTCTCAAGGATGGTCTCAGCGAGCTTCTCCAGACGGGCCAGCTCGTTCTCGGCCTCGCGGACGACCCATTCCAAGGCACCCAGCTCCGTCTTGGGGGCGCCCTGGTTCAGCAGGTAGATGTCGATGTGCTCGGGGAAAGGGAACTCGCGCTTGTCGATGGCCTTGAGCAGCGTCGTCTTTCCGCAGCCGTTCTCACCCAGCAGGCCGTAGCGGCGGCCGTAGGTGACCTCGAGCGTCGTGTCGTTGAAGAGGACGCGGCCGTGGAACACCAGCGACGCCGATGTGATCTTGACGTCGCGCGAGGCGGGCAGCGAGGCGAGCACTCCCGTCGTCACACGGTCAGAAAGGCCGTGCTTGTCTTCCTGCATGGTGAGCTTCTTGACCTCTTCGTTGAGCTCGAGGTCCTCGTCATCGCCGTCGACCGAGTTGGCCTTGGAGGCATTCTTCGAGTTGGCCTTGGACGACAGCTTGGAGGTGGCCGACTTCTTGGGCTTGTCGCCGGCAGCAGCGCGCTTTGCCTCACGGGCAGCTTTAGACGCGGAGACCATGTTGACGGGTGGGTGATGTTGTGGTGGTTCGTTGATAGCGCAGAAATTTCGAAAGTACTGCCCGCCGTAGATTGCCCCGCTAAGTGTCGGAATAGGTAACAAAGGCGCTGACTGTACACGACTGGGCAAAGACGTTACAGTTTGTGTAGAGGCGGTCAAGATGGCGCACTAGAGAATTTGCTGTGTAGAGAATTTACTGTGTGACCAAATATAGGCAGACCATGCTGCGTGGCTGCCTTCATGCACACTCACTCTTTCCTGTGGCGGCAAGCGCTCCCAACAACCCGCGGACGTCATTGGTGAGCCGACCCCGCAAGAGCCCATTTCTCACATTCAATGTTCATCGCAAGCATCTCGACGATGCACAGTAGCATCGTACCGCGTTCAAGTAATCCTGCGATTTCAAATTCGATACTTCATACTTTACATCAGGTTGAAAAAAATGTAGCCATATAGTACATCAAATTGTACCACTACCATCTACGGCTTCTCTCCTACAGTGGAAAGCGACCAGGGTGCAACTGCATGCCGCCCACCCGATAGCCTGAAGCTATACACAGTTTTTCTAGCTTTCTACTCCGACAGCAAAGTCCAGTGAATTGTTTTTGGGTGTCGTGGTTGCCAACGGGCAGTAGCGAAGGCAACCAACAAACGCGCTTGAAGTCTCCGCGGCTATCCTTATCTTGCTCCACTGATAGTCTACTACCCTGGTCGCTCAACATTGCTGGGCACGACTGTCATCTCTGTACTACTTCGCTGACTGCCCGCGCATAGTCTTGCATCCACCCTTTTTCTCAGTCTCTCGCTCAATCTCTCCAGCACTTCAGTCTCCTCGGCATTCAGACTCAGATCCTCTGGTAATAGCACGGCTGCACCAGTGATGTGTATCCGTTCATTGTCTCTTCCATACGTTTGCTCTGCTTCGCTTTCTTTTTTCTCCACTCCGCCTCTAGCATCCGGCATCGTCTCCTCGTCTTCCTTTTTAGCTTTCCTCAGGTCCAGTGGCGTCCACCAATACATCGGGAATTGCCTTTGAATGTTGTTGACCACCAGGCCGACAATCACCATCAGAGTTGTGCCCCAAAGCACTAGACCGGCAAAATACCACCCCATCGCTGTGATGACAGGGTCCGTTGCAGCAAGAACAGCGGAGGCGCCGCCTGGTGGATGCACCGTGTTTGTGAGCAGCATGACGGCTGATGCAATGCCACATGCTACCGCGCCTGCGATCCATTTGATTGACTCGTACTCGGAGTGGTACTGAAAGAGCTTGGAAACACCAACGCCGACGAGCGCCGAGAAAGTATGTCCAAGCAGAGCGTTGCGTGGTTGACCGAGTGGTGACCGAATGGCATTGTACTCCAGAATTGCAGATGCACCCTGTCCTGGTCAGCGAGTCTTCCCACTGAGAACGGCACACCAAAACGTACGAAAGATGCTATCAATGCAGGTGGATGGTGCCGTTGTATACTGCTCATGCTGTTGAAGACCGCGGCCACCACTGCCAGCCCACAGAATGCTCCCAGCATGGACCACGATGCTCCAAGTACATTACCAACGTCCTGGCGCTGGGCTTTCCTATAGCCCAAGAATCTCGAGATTGGTGCAGGAAGTCTGTGCAGTGGTGATGGAGGAAGTATGCGGTTGAGGTATCGGTCAAGGTCGAGGTCCCATTCGCGCGCTTTTGATAAGACACTCATCTTCTATGCCTCTGTCCACTGAGTATTGCAACTAAATAACCCGAGATCGCCAGCACTCGGAATGTACACACCAGCGATTAAATACTCTACGACAGAATTATGAAAGGGCAAGCAGACAGCGATAAAAGCATCATTCGGATTTGAAATGAGCTGTATTTGGAAACACCCGGGCATAATACCACTCAGCATACCCTTCGGATAGCCTGACGTGCTTCGCTCGCGTCTTACAAGCGGGTGACGATCGCAGTTGAAGTTTAAGCGTAAGGAGTACTAATTTACGTAACATTACGTACAAGCAACCACTACCACAACAGCTTCTCCTCGGATGCACCGCCTTTGCTACATACGCACTCGGAGACGTTGGATTTGGGATGCTATACACCGCTGCCTTCCAGTTCGTGCTGCTAAACACCACACAAGGTCAGCTGCGGAGGCGGCATGTAATGGATCACGCGCGGCTGTCGGTCGCAATCTATCCAGGCAACGCGCAACAGCGTCGAGTGAATTCACTTCCTTTACGACACAACTGCATGACATGAGTTCTAATAATAATTGGTAACACAGCATGGTGGGAACATCCGCGAGGCTGCAAGCGGTAGTACGGCTCGACTTGGTGGGTAGACCTGGGTTTCGTGTCGACTTTTGCGAGCCTCACATTGCAGATGAACACCAGGTTAGGTACTGTAAACTCAGGCTCCGAATCTGATTTCGAGATAGCTTCCGTTCTCGCTCACTGTCTTGACATGCTTGATGGTTAGAGATTCACTTCTTCCGCAAAGGTGAGTCACCTGGATCTGAAAGTGCAGATTTGGCAGCTCTGACCGTCTGAATCGTAGCCGCCTTTTGTTGCATGAGCTTCTAGCGCCGCAATATATGTCCTGAAAACGTTGTGACGTACGGTGTTAATCGAGCGGTTTGCTCATACCAAAATATGCAGAGAAGCACATCGTGGTTACCTTACGTCAACGCTGGCGTCAATGATGCAAGGCGCAAGCTCGAAGGCCTCGGTACTTGCATCTAAAGCACTTTTCGCCAGACGCACTACATGTTGCGCATCAATATGAGGTTGTTTTCACATGATCGTAGCTACTTCCAGGCTCACACAAGGCAGCGGTAGAGTCCGTGCGCGCTCTGCCTCTACATGGCTCGCGCTGATAGTCTTGACAGACGTACTGATTACAAGTCTCTAGACGAGGCTGAATGTATAGGCAGCTTCAAGATATTCTACAGTTTTATAGAGATTTTTGAACTTATACAGGGTACCATCAACTCTTCTCGGTGGGACCTTTACAGGTGGCGCCTGCGCTGAGCTTAATTAGAGTATCACGTGATGGCGCGCGGCATCTCAACGCGTCTACCCTCGACCCCACCTCGCACTGCCGTCCTTGATGTTTCACTTGGAGTCGTGTACAACCTATTAGAAGATATACTCGTACTGATTTCGCCAATCAACGCGCATTCTGCTATTGCGCGGGACAAAGTTGAAAGACGCGCTTGATTTGCCACAATTCAGGGTCCTCGTCTCGGCCTATCGCTGGCTTTCATCAAAACTCCGTCCTGCCCCTGGTGGCGATTGCAGTCGTTCTTTCCTGCCTCGTTATCATTCACCCTTGTCAGAACGCAGTGCTGCAAACACAAACACGATGCGTGTGACACGTCGCTCTTTGCTGAGTGCCCCTGATGACGCTGCTGTCTCGTATCCATCAGCAACAACTCCAAGTACGTTCTCAGTTGCCAATCTGCTCAATCAATCACCTCCCAACGCAAACGCGGCTCATGCGCTGATTTTCACTGCAGCCTCAAGTAAGGCACCCGCAACCACCAGCCGCCCCTCTCAAAAGCGCACCTTTGTACCCAACTCGTCCGACCACGACGAAGACACAATTGAAGTGCAGCCAGTTGAGCCTCCTACGACGGTTAGGCGTGTCCTGAAAGAGGTCGCTATACCTTCGATGAGTTCGCGCAAGGCTCCAGCCGCTCGCGGTAGACCGAGGACGAAGCCGCAGCCGGCGGAGCAAGACAGCTCCCACGGCTCTCCGTCGCTTGAGAACTCCGATTATGAAACGCCAGGGACGAGCATCTCAACCACTCCCGCCGCCTCGATACGCCGCGGGAAAGCATCGGTCTCAGCCCGAAGGAGTGGCCTCAGCAAAGCTGTGACGGCATCGCTAAGCAGGTCTTCCTCCATCAAGAGGACGCGAAGCAGCGTCCCGGAGTCCGACGACGACCGCGAAATGATTGATGCAGATGCGGAACTTGCACTGCAGATGCACATGGAAGATATGGAGGACGACGAAGCTGCACGCCCAAACAAGCGTCTTAAGCTTGATACTGAAGAGGATGACATCGAATCGGATGGCGAGAATATGACCTTCACTCCCAAAGTCAAGGCCAGGTCGTATCGCGGCAAAGGCAAAGGCAAGGCGAAAGTGGACGACTCAGATTCAATCGATAATGATGCCGACTCGTTGCTTGACGAGCTGACAACGTCACCTGCGTATGAGGGCAAAGGCAAGGCCAAGGCCAAAGTCAAAGTCGAGAGCAACAGCCGTAACCGGAACCGCTCCAACCGCTCTAGTGCTAAGAAAACAAGCTTTCTTCCGGATGACTTCCTTGATGACGATGTCTCTGAAGGCGAAGAGTTCCGCCCGGGAGATGCGGAGTCTGCTCTGAGTGACCTATCTGAGCCTCCGAACAGCGACAGCGATGAGGAACCACTCATGGTGGCAAGCTCACGGATGAAGAAGCTTGCGAATAAAGCATCGAAGCTACCACGAGGAAAGAAGAAGAAGTCGCGTGCGGATGAAGTCGAAAATAAGAAGCGTCGCGCGAGATGGGCGCACATATCGGACAAGTGGGAGCGAAAGCGTGCTATGAATCGTGAGCGCGCTGAGCAGCAACATCCGAAGCTGCTCTCTATGTGGAAGGATCTTGAGAAGGTCCCCATCCTCGAAACTGAAAAGGCAGAACAGCCCACGTCCATCAGCCGCCGGTTGAAGCCATTTCAGCTTGAGGGGTTGAGCTGGATGGTTCGACAAGAAAAGACGCACTATCGGGGTGGCCTCCTCGGTGATGAGATGGGAATGGGCAAGACTATCCAGGCCGTCTCCCTTATTATGTCTGACTATCCGGCAAAGGAGCCGACACTTGTGTGCGTCCCGCCAGTTGCGCTGATGCAGTGGTCGAATGAGATCCGCGAGTACACAGACAACAAGCTCAAGGTTCTGGTCTACCATGGCACAAATGCGAAGTGCAAGAAGATGTCCGTCAAAGAGCTTAGGAGCTATGATGTTATCATGGTATCCTACAATAGCTTGGAGTCTCTTCATCGCAAAGAGACCAAGGGCTGGTCGCGTGGTGAGGACATCGTCAAGGAGGCTTCGCCGTTGCACGCAATCAAGTTCCATCGGCTTATTCTTGACGAAGCACACAGCATCAAGTCGCGCAACACGGGTGTAGCCAAGGCTTGCTTCGCGCTACAAGGTGAATACAAGTGGTGTCTCTCCGGCACGCCGGTCCAGAATCGTATTGGAGAGTTCTTCTCCTTGCTCCGCTTCCTTGAGGTCCGTCCGTTTGCAGATTACTTCTGTCGTTCGTGCGATTGCGAAAAGCTGCATTGGGCTACCGACGATGATCACATGTGTGTCGCCTGCAACCACGGTGCATCGGAGCACATTTCTGTCTTCAACCAGGAGCTGCTGAACCCAATCACTGGCGATGATCCAGAGCTTCGCGAAGACGCTCTGACTAAGTTGCACATGATCACGGCTCGCATCATGCTGCGTCGTATGAAGCGCGACCATACAAACTCAATGGTATGTTTGCAAATGTGCGTCTCGCAACATAACATAGAACTAACTATTGCCAGGAACTACCTATGAAGGATATCATCATCCACAACGAGTTCTTCAGCGACATTGAGCGAGACTTCTCATCTTCGATCATGACCAATTCGGCCCGCAACTTTGACACATACGTCGCACAGGGTGTTATGCTTAACAACTACGCCAACATCTTTGGTCTGATCATGCAGATGCGCCAGGTTGCTAACCACCCAGACCTGCTTCTGAAGAAGAAGGCTGCGGAGGGGGCCCAGAACGTATATGTCTGCAACATATGCGACGAGCCGGCTGAAGATGCTGTGCGGTCGCGCTGCCATCATGAGTTTTGTCGAGCTTGCGTGAAGGATTTCATGGATACATGCGAGGCATCTGGTACCGATGCAGACTGCCCCCGCTGCCATATTGCACTCACAATCGATTTCGAGCAGCCTGAGCTTGAGCAAGATGAGGATTCTGTTAAGAAGACGTCAATCATCAACCGCATCAAGATGGAGAACTGGACTTCGTCAACCAAGATCGAGATGCTGGTTTACGATCTCTACAAGCTGCGCAGCAAGAAGCAGACGCTAAAGTCTATTGTGTTCAGCCAGTTTACTTCGATGTTGCAGCTTATCGAGTGGCGTCTGCGACGTGCTGGCTTCAATACCGTCATGTTGGATGGTAGTATGACGCCAGCCATGCGACAGAAGAGTATCGACCACTTCATGACTAACCCGGATGTCGAGGTATTCTTGGTGTCGCTCAAGGCGGGAGGTGTCGCTCTCAACCTCACAGAAGCCTCCAGGGTGTTCATCGTTGATCCGTAAGTACTGTCGCGTTCGCGGATATCACGCTCGCTAACATTTGCCGTAGATGGTGGAACCCTGCTGCTGAGTGGCAGTCTGCCGATCGATGTCATCGTATTGGCCAGAAGCGACCTTGCGTAATCACTCGTCTCTGTATTGAGGACAGTGTCGAGTCCCGCATGGTTGCTCTACAGGAGAAGAAGGCTGCCATGATTGCTGGTACAGTCAACAACGACAAGGTCGCTATGGATCGCTTGAGTCCAGAGGACCTGCAGTTCTTGTTCCGCGGTACCTAGAAGAGATGATGTGGACGGGTGAGGAACGGGTGACGATATGATGAAGAGCACGAATGGGATGGGTTCACGATTAGCTACCGGCGCATTTTCATGGGCGATTCCTTTCTCTTAGCTGAGCACGAGCGATTTTCAATGATACCATAACAGCATGTAGTTTATTGCGTGTAGCTTAGAACGATATCGCAATGCAAACATTTCAAACGCCATCGCTGGTTTCTAGGTTTACATGTGCGAGTTCCTCTTGGGTGATACGATAGGCTGTATGTGTTCAAAAAATTGAGCAAACACCTGTCAATATTCATAACGCACTGAAGACATTCAGGCTCATGTTTCATTTTGCTTCATCTGCTCGTTCTAGCGCTACTTGAAGCCCACTAGGTGCAGTAATCGCTACTCAAACCTCCTCCTCCTCATCCATGTCTTGCTCGAAGTCGCTGCCATTGTCTCCAAGCTTCGGGCCATCCACGTCATCTTCAAACACCTCAGCCTTGACTTTTGCCTTTGGGGCAGCCTTCTTGGTGACGCGGCCGCTCTGGACACCTACCGGAAATCAGTCAGCAAGTCAGTCATGTGAAGATATCCGGGAAGTACCCACCGGTTTTGGCAGGTTTAGCACCGGACGTCTTGGCCCTGGGCTTCACGGTGCTGGATGCCGCGGTGGGAGCAACATGGCCGTTCATCTCCTTGGCCGCCTTGCGGAATTTGCGCAGGTAGTTCTCGGCCGCGTTGTAGGTCATGTCGCCGCCGTACAGGCGAGCGATTTCAGCGACGTTGATCTTGTCGATGGAGGCGATGACGGCGGTGAGCAGGCGGTCCTGGACGGCCTTTTCCTGCCAGTTGATGGGCATGTTGAGATGGTAGTGTTTGGAGTAGGAAGTGTCAAGGGTGGATCTGTGAGAAGCTGTTGGAGATTGGCAGTTGAGCGAAGATGTGTCGTGGTGGAGCACAGAAGTAGAGCGGACGGTGTGAGATATAGGTGGTGGGGCGGCGAGAAATGTTGGGTCATAGTGAAGGTGAGCGAGTCTTTCACCTCTCGGCACAGCAGAGCACAGCACACACCTGGACTGTTCCGTACAGCGACGTGATCACACATGGTTACGCCAGACCTATGACCCGTGACGTACTATTTCCGCTGCTCAGCGCTTTCTGAAGGTATACGCGGCCGTGTAAAGTTGCAGTTGTTGGACTCCCCATGGCCGAGAGCCTCCTGGAGAACACTACGTTGACCTTGAGATGTGGTATTAGGGCGGTGAACAAAGCAGGGCAATTGTGTGTGGGCATTATAGTGCTTCTCTAGACCTGGCCCAGAAGCATCTTTTCATATTAGAAAGGGCTATGATTTCAGTTTCTTCTTCCCTTTTGGGTCATCCCATTCTCTCTTCCCCTTGATGTCAGCCTTGTGTCTCTTGGCTTCCTCCAGAGGATCAATGACAAGCAGGTCCTCCTCATTCTTCCGCTTCCACTCGAGGTCCTTGCCTAATCTATCTTTGGCAAAGCTCAAGGAGTGTGCCATCCACCCGGCATCGTCGTCTGATTCATCCTCTTCCTGCTTGTCCCAAGCCGTACATGACTGGCATCCTACTATGAAATGCAGATCACACGCTGCTTCTTCGACATCTGCAAGCCCGCTTCCACCTGTGTCGGTGGTGGGTCTTGCGGGCTCAGCAGGGGGAGGTGACTTCACTCTCGGCGCTGCCACTGGATCGGCTGTCTCGAGCTTTGACTTGAACTTGGAGAGTATGTCTAACGTGGCCTGCTCTTGGGCTGTGCCTGCCATGCCCGTGCCTCGCTTGCGACCGCGCGTAGTCGATGTGGGAACCATGGATTCCAACAATGACTTCTTCTTGGCGGGCTCTGCATTCTGTATGCCTGTGTTCCGCTTCATCGAAGCCTTGAGCTCTGCAATCTGTGCGTTTACGCGATCCAGTTTGGAGCGCTTTTCCGACTCTGGGGACAGTTCCCGCGGCGGTGGTGCTTGTGTCTGGGCGGGGGCGGGAGGTTTCGATGCAGCGGCTGTTGTAGGTTTTGGCGGTGGAGATGGTGACGGGGACTTGGGTGTGGGGGCGGGTTTTCGGATTGGTATCGCTCGTTCTTGGGCCGGGGCGGATGCTTTTGGGGCGTCCTCGCTCGCGCTGACCAGCTTGGTGTTGTATTTGGCTTTTTTCGCAACAGGTGGCGCGTCCATGTCCTCGTCGGCACCGAAGCTGAGCACGTTCTTGCCGGCCTTTCTCTTTGGCTTCTTGGCCTTCTTCTCCTCTGGTTCTGTCCGTTCAGCCACGCGTGCGCGCCTGACCATGTCCTCGAAGGGGTTTATGATGATCTCGGTGCCGGTGATCTTGGTCGGATACAGTGGCTGGTCCTCGGTGCCCTCGCGGATCTCCGTCTCGGCCATCTTCATCAGGTTGTAGATGGTGTCGCCAACGATGCGCCCAAACATGGTGTTCTTTTCCTGCAGCTCCGGCGTCGCCGCAAGCGTGAAGAAGAACTGGCTGCCGTTGTCGTCTTTCTTGCCCGTGTTGGCCATGCCCAGCAGCCCTCTTCTCGTGTACTTGAGGCGGCTGTGGAACTCGTCGGCAAAAGGCTCGCCATCGTAGCTGCTCTCACCGCCCTGCCCCGTGCCTGTAGGGTCGCCGCCCTGGATGATGAAGCCCCTGACCAGACGGTGGAAGACGGTGTTGTCGTAGTAGCCGTCGAGACAGAGCTGCAGGAAGTTGCGCGACGTGACGGGCGTCTGCTTCGCGAACAGCTCGAGCTCCAGGTCGCCCGTGGTCGTGTGCAAGAGGACCTTTGCCGTCGGGTTCGGCTCGAGATTGTACGTCGCGCTCATCCTCGTTTCCGGCCGTCTCGTGACTGGTCGCGTGGTGTTTTTGGTGTTTCTGGTGTTGGAATTTCTTCCACTGACAGAGGAGCTCTGCAGCATGCACCACAGCCCGCAGGCCCACCCCTGCTAGCGTCCACGTTGACGAGCTGCCCGCCGACGTCACACTGACCGTCGCCAGGTCGGGCAAGGGACACGCTTCGCATTTCTCGCGCCAGGCACGCTGAGCCGTCATCTGGCCATCTCCAGCACATGAAAATGCTCAACGCGACCAGATAGCAACACTTGCATTGCTCCGCATACGTCTCTTTACCCCACCATCGCTGTCTGGAGTCTGCCTCGGCTTGTGAAAATGTTGCCATACATTAATGCTCGTAAGTGCAAGTCTTCCCAAGACATGCTGCCTGTGCTGATGGTCGCTGGTAGCTTTCGACCATGTCGGCGCCTCCCTGGGAGTGTCGGCAGATGAGCGTGAGTGAATTTGGGCGCCATGCAAGCAGCAGTTGTTGATGTCGCCAGTCAAGCTTGTCACCACCTTCTACATCTCCTACCCCTTGGCCGCTGTTCTCAAGCGCATACCGGACAAGGAGCCATGGAAGAAGAATGTCTTCATCATTGCAGTCTCCATGTTTTATCTCGTCGGCCTCTTCGATATGTGGGATGGCCTCCGGACCTTCATCATCAGCGCCGGTGGTGCATATCTCATCGCCTCCAGGGTCAAATCTCCCTATATGCCGTGGATTGGCTTTGTTTTCCTCATGGGACACATGTCTCTCAACCACATCATCCGACAGTCCGTCAATGATGCCTCTCGCGTGGACATCACAGGGGCCCAGATGGTGCTTGTCATGAAACTCACAGCTTTTTGCTGGAATGTTCAAGACGGCCGCCTTCCGGATTCTGAGCTTTCCGACTTCCAGAAAGAGCACGCCATCAGGACCATGCCCAACCTGCTCGACTATGCTGGCTATGTCTTCTTCTTCCCAGCCATGATGGCCGGTCCCGCATTTGATTATTGCGACTACAGTGATTATATCACAACTACCATGTTCACCCTGCCGCCAGGAACCGACCCCGCCAATGCTCCTCCAACGCGTAAGAAGCGAAAAATACCACGTAGTGGCATTCCAGCTGCCATTAAGGGTGCGTGCGGTACACTCTGGATACTTGCTTTCCTGAAGCTCTCCGCCTATTACCCTCCCTCTTTTTACTTGGGCGACGACTACATGAAATACAGCTTCCTCCGCAGAGTGTGGCAGCTTTACATGCTCGGATTAACCACTCGAATGAAGTATTACGGTGTCTGGAGTCTCTCCGAAGGTGCTTGCGTCCTTTGCGGCATTGGGTACAATGGCCTTGACCCAGCCACCAATCGTGCCAAATGGGATCGACTCACCAATATCAAGCCTTGGGAAATTGAGACGGCGCAGAACGCTCGTGCCTATCTCGGCTTCTGGAACATCAATACTAACCATTGGCTGAGGAACTACATGTATCTTCGAGTGACACCCAAGGGTAAGAAGCCTGGTTTCCGTGCCACTCTGGCCACCTTTGTCACCAGCGCGTTCTGGCACGGTTTCTACCCAGGCTATTACTTGACTTTTGTGCTCGCCGCCCTGGTGCAAACTGTCGCAAAGAGTGAGTCTTATTGTTCATCATACTTCGCTAAATACCTGCTAATACAGCATCTAGATGGTCGACGGTTGATCCGTCCTCTGTTTCTCACACCTGATGGCAAGAATCCTCTTCCTAGCAAGAAGGCATACGATATCATCACTACCGTCATCACCCAAGTAATTTTCGCCTATACTGTCGCGCCTTTCATCTTGCTTGGGTTTTCCGATACCTTCAAGGTATGGTCACGCGTCTACTTCTACACTCTCCTCAGCGTCGCCGCGTCTTTCGCTGTTTTCTCCCGCAACTTGCCATTACGAAAACAGCTAGTGCAAATGCAAGCTGCGCGTGCGCCGCCAGCATCTACCGGAGCCGTCGACGATTCCGCAATCGAGAAGGCGGCCAGGGAGGAGATCAAGCGAGAAAAGCTTGCACGGACTACCTCGCAGGACAGTGTGGCTAGCCGTAAGATGCCCCTTCATGGCATTGCAGACGACCCAGAGGCCGAAATCGATGAGATTGTGCGCGAGGTGAAAGCAGAAATTGAGGAGCGCAGGAGAAGGGGCAGCATAGGCTTTGATGTCAAGAAAGCTGTTCAGGAGAAATTGAAGCAGTTCCAAAAGAAGTAAGAGGTGCCACTTTCTTCTTGTCTGGCAGTGAGGTGCGAGGGAGCCTGAGGTTATGAGAAACCTAAACTGCTTCACACCCTTGTAGGATTTTTTGGGGGGATTTTCAAAATACCGTAAAGATATATAAGCGTGTTGGTAATGTGTGGTTAACAGGTGCTAGTTCAAGGAGACTGTACATCTGAAGGGCAACGAATCATTTTATCATGGTTTCTGATTAGGTCTTTGTGAAGCATATCACAGAAGGTGAAAGTGATGCGTGCAGAAGACTGAAAGCCCTATATAGCTTCCAAGATTCGACACAAAAGACGCGTGCACCAGGCGGCGGCAAAACCCGTGCCTGCTCTGCACCTACGGGATATAAGCTAATGGTCTTTAGAGATATACTTATTATAACCTTAGGAGGGCCTGATGTACAAGCAGCTCTAAAATACTCTACCTAACTCTATTAGAAATCTTTAAAAATGCACAGGCTACCTCATCGCCTCTTCCTGTTTAGAAAGGGCAAGCAGGGAATTTTGCCGGCGCCTGGTGCGTGTGTATTCAGCATTACACAATAGAGGCGCCCCTAGAGCTTTGCGAGGCTGTGGCTGGTACTCCTGATCTAAGCATTTAAGCGTGCACGTGGGATCTACCGATCTATCTGCCGGTCAGCCATGCACTATCATCCACTTCAGTGGATTGCTTCCTGACGCCCAACGCCGCGTGTATCGGGTAGATCAGACCGTTTGCGCCTCGACTGGTAGAAGTATGAATCGTGTGCTCCGAGACTACTCCCACAGCTAACAGACGGAACTCGCCGGGACCTACCATCAGCTTCTGCGAATAAGCTAACCCTGCAGGTGGTCGCCACTTTCTAGGCAGATCGAACATGTTGAAAGCACCCTTTGAGCAATTTCAAGCCCTAGTTATGCGAAGCGGTAGAAAATGGTCGGGTTATCAAGCTGCGAAAGCGCGAAGATGTGGTACGCTACTGATCTGGCTTCTGCTCCCAATCTGGCAAGAACGTTCCGGTGCGCCCAAACTTAAAAACGATGGCACTAGCATTTAGTGCGGACGAGAATAGCCTGGAAGGATATCAGGTCGATGCAAATATGGTGACGCAAGAAGACAGAGAGAACTATTGTCGAGATTGCGCTTCTTCTGTCGCAAGGTATGGCATTCTTAACAACGTGGAGGTCTGCACCGTATCTATAAATGAATAGATAAACCCCAGGATCTACTCGACCCTGGCTCAGGATCTGTCGCCTCGACACGAGATCGACAATCGGACCTTCCGTGTGGCGATCGCAGGGATTGCCTCGTCCGTTCGACACACATTGCGCGCACATCTTCCATTCGCCTAGCCGGAACGTCCGACATGCAGCCCGTGTCGTTGAATGGACGGCGACATCCGTCTGACAAGACACCTTCCGAGTCGAAAAAAACGTGGCAGTCAATCAGCATGCGCTGCAGTTACCTTATTCGTATTAGTCGGCTGAACGCGCCACATGCCAGAGACGCTCCGAAGCCATGGCATGGAACACCAGCTCCCGGTCTACTCAGCTTCGCCGGTAAGGCCAATCTCGTCCTGGCCAATGTCTGTACGCGATTGGCTCTCTCCACTTTCCGCGCGTACCCAACGCGCCACCGGCATGCATGGTGTTTCCTGCCGCCTTTCCCCTTGCCTCATCAATCTGGGAGACTAGTGTGAAAGAGCCCAGCAGGGCCGAAACCATAAGCATGTCGTCAAGGAACCACAAGTCCACGCTCGTGGCGCTGTTCGGGGAGATTGCTACACGGTTCTTATTCCCCACGAACCCCCAGTCTTACTTTCGTTCGCTTTCCTGATCTGTCTTGGATGAACCATATTATTTCTGGTTTGCGCTGAGCTGTGCTCCTCGTCATCATGGGTGTACCGGACAACGGACCGCTTATAGTTGGTGTCACTTGGTTCGTGACAATGTTCTGCGGTGCTTTCCTAGGGCTCAGGTTATACGCAAAGCTGAGTCGGAGGCAAGGGCTGTGGTGGGACGATCACATCCTCATCTTGTCATGGGTACGACAGCCTGTTGCATACATTCAGGCAAAACTGACAGCATCAAGGTCATTCTGTTTGCTGAAGCTGTCGTGACCCAGGTTGGGCAGCTGATGGGGTTTGGCAAATTCACAAAGGATATACCACAGGAAAACCTAGCAACGATCGCCCTTGGAAGCTCAGTCGTTGCCTCGATCTCCTGCTTCGCGTCGACCCTTTCTAAAATCTCGTTTGGCATCACCCTCCTTCGCCTCACGTCTGGGAAAATTCGGTGGTCCGTTTGGTTCTGCATCGTCACTCTCTTCATCATTATGATTCCGTCTGCATTACTCAACTGGATTCAATGCAGCCCTTCTGCGAAGGCATGGGACGCTTCAGTGAAAGGAGTCTGCTGGCCCGCATATATTACCATCAACTATGGCATCTTCAACGCTGCTTGGTGTACATTGGCCGATTTTTACCTGGCCCTTCTACCGTGGAAACTGATTTGGGGTCTACAATTGAAGACGCGGGAAAAGCTTGGTGTGGGAATTGCCATGAGCATGGGAGTCCTGTGAGTAGAGTTGGGCACTGGCATGCTCTTCGAACTAGACGCTGACTACGATAGTGCTGGTGCCTGTGCTATTATCAAAGGTGTCTATCTACTACAACTGCGCCAGCAAGACTTCTACTACCACGGCAAAGACGTCACAATCTGGACCGTAGTTGAGACCGCAACCGCAATCATTGCCGCCTCCATTCCCGTCCTCCGCGTCTTCTTCAAGGAAGCAGTGTCGTCCTACAACCAGTCTCACAGCAAATCCAATGGCGGCCGCTCAAACGCCAGGACGGTTCCCTTGTCGAACCTTAGTCGCAGTCACACTGCTACGATACAGAGCATGGGCAAAGGCAGAGAAGGCGGCTGGACCACCTTGGAGCCAGTAGAAGACAGCATCGAGGATACGTCAAGCCAAAGAAGCATCTTGAGGGACGAGGAGCACGGATTGGAGAAGAGCGTACCGCGTATAGTTATCGAACACAGTGGCATCATGCAGACAAATACGGTATCAGTAACGTCTGACGTGGAGAATCGGTCGACACACGATGGCCGACCTTGGGTAGGAGCATCTGATTAGTAATATGAATTGTAAGTTCTCATAGCAACCACTACTTGGCCACGCGCAACACAGGTTCCCGGCTCAGCATAGACGCAAATGTTATCGTGGCCCCACGAGATGCTGCAACGCGCTCTGGCTACGCTCAAAGAGACTAGCTACCATATCATATACGAGCCTGAATGCACTCAAGAACTAGGCAGCGTATTTGTAGAACTGGAAAAAGTCTTGAAGTTCTACAGCCTTAGCTACAGTTGGAAAGCTCAGGATCCGAGCATAGCCCGCCCAACCATTACAGCACCTTTCGGTTCAATACTCTTCCGCAAGCACATCATCCGTAGCCTTTTCAGACAGCATCATGGTTGGCAGTACGGGAAAGCCACCGGGCACCTTTGGCCAACTGCTAGCATCCACGACCCTCAACCTATCTACACCCCGTACTCGAAATTTACTGTCCAACACCGCCAGCTTATCACCATTGCCTCCGATCCGCGCGCTACTAGTTGCGTGATGGCTGTATGCCTGCTCTTTGAGATAGGTCTTCTGGCTCTCAATAGTGCAATTTTGCTTGCCAATCTCCCCTTCACACGGATGCAGCTCCTGGAAGGGCGCAAGAGACGCCGGATCAGAGGAATTGACCTTGGAGAGCCAGGAACGCACCCACTCGACACCCTCGTAGATGGCTTGTAGATCCTTTTCAGCGCCGTCATCGAAGAAGTGCGTGTTGATGTTTGGCACGTCCCTGGGATCTGCAGATCGAAGTTCAACAACACCAGCCTGGGAGCGCGGGTTCATGTGCACAAGGGAGCAGTCGTACTGGTTGGGTCCATATGTCTCATTGAAGAAAGGAGGACGATTAGGGAAGCCGGGCCAGAATCCTTCAAACGCAAAGGACCCGCACCACATGTAGATATCGCGGATAGTGCCCTGCGAAGTTTTCCAGAAGTTTGGGAAGATCTCCGACATCCCTGTGACGGCGCGCTTGCCGAGAGAGAGAATACCGGCTTCGTAGTTGTCTGCTAGAGAGCGGCCGACGCCTGGACTGTCGACAATGACGGGTATGTTAAACTTCTTGAGTTGTTCTGCTGGGCCGATTCCAGACAAGAGCAGCAATTGAGGGCTGTTGAAAGCACCACCGGATATGATAACCTCCTTGGAGGCGAAGGCTTTGCCAGCAACACCTTTGGCGGCTGCGTTGTACCGAGGATCAGCGCTGTACATGCTCTTCCCCTGAACATACTCCATTCCGACTGCCTTCGGCTTCTTTCCAAACCTATCGAAGATGATCTTGGTCGCAAGAGTGTCAAGAGAGATAGTTAGTGGGTATCTACCATCTTTCGCCGTATCCCGCGCATAATACCCGGGTGATGAGCGACGCCCGCCAGGAGTGACATGGCTGACACCGCCAAAAGGCCCAACGAGATTATCGCGGTTCGGCTGGTCGCCGTTCATATCGCGTTGCAAGAGGCCAGAGGTATCCGAAACCTTGTACCCAGCAGCTTCAGCCGCGAGTTGACTGAGCTGCTGTGCATCTGCGCTTGTGATATAGCCAGGGTCGAGCATAGTCATGTCAAGCCAGCCATCGTGGCCATGCTCCGAAGTGCTATTGTAATGCGCTCTCTCGAGGCGAACGAGATACTTCCTCATGTTTTCGTGAGACCACGAGTTGTCGCCAGTAAGTTCAGCGATCTCGTCAAAGTCGGCATCGTTGGGGAGCATCGTCAAGCCTGGTCTAAATCAGGAGTCGGATACATAGTAACAGCTCGAGCCAGCTTACATCCATTGTGCATAGCGCAGCCACCAAGAGTCCCAGCACGAGGGTAGTACTATCGGTGTCAGTATCACATTCCTTGGATCATCGTGGATCTCATACAATGCCTTCCGCTTTCGCGCCCTCCGGTGGATCAATGCCAACGTAAAATCCACCGTCGGGCTTGCGCCACGTCCTATGGAGGTATCTCGCTTCTCGAGCTTCATCGTCAGAGTGTTTCACAAAGAAGTCCCTGTTTAGGTGAGCTTTAGAGTTTCAGACATCGACTTTCGATGTAGCGAAGTAAGGCAGCACACACCATCGCGTCGCTGGATCGTTACCAGCAGCATTAAAATTGACCCATTGGGACACGTTTAGATTCTCGGTTTGATCGTCACTGCGGTGATTAATTTTAGCGTCGTTCGTGCACATCAAAGTATATGTATTCTACGTACCCTGCTTCGAGAAGTAGTACTGAATGTCCTGCTCGAGCTAGGTTGGAAGCGATTGGTCCACCGCCCGGTCCCGAACCGACAACGATGTATTCGAAAGTCGCATTATCTATAGACGCAAAAGCAAGTACCGGTGTGCTCATAAGGAAAGCCAAGTAGGCGAATGTAAGAAGAGGTGCCATGGCTGACAGATTTCAGTTCGAGGATGACCGTTGTCGCTTGACGACCTTGTGAACTAACTTTGCTTTTACGCTGCCTTTTTTTCGAGGGGAAGCATGCATGCATAACATGAGGATTGATCGCATATGCGGGCTTATATCGTCATATTGCCCAGGGCTGTCGGGGTCTGGCACGAACCTTTTAGCCCAAGAATCGTCGTATTCGTCTATGGAGTCGGTCAATGTACGTCGCATGTACACTGGCAATTGCTACCGATCCCGCTGAGGGCTTGCATGACCCCATGTATTCACCGTCTTGGTTTGAACGCTTTGGCGTAGGTATATCCGGCTGATTTGGCCTGTTTGGAACGTTGCGTCTGCATCTAGATTGCCCGAGGTTACACGACAGGTGTAGATGAGCGGTTTTCGGGAGAACTGGATAACGAGCCGAGTGGCTGCAAAGAACATATCAGTGAACATGAGGTTAGCATAAACATTGGGGAGGTCTGTTGGCAGAGCCTGGATATATACGCAAACATGAGATTCTTCATCTGATTCTTTAGAGATCTTTGAATATACACAGGGTACTACTTTACCTCCTCTTGTTGGGAAAAGGCGGACAGGGATATTGCCGGCTCTTGGTGTCCTCTACTGCAAGTCTGCACAGTGTACAGCATCTGATGTATGCAACAATTAACTGCCTTTCCGATCAAGCCAGTCAGCTATGAATGTATGTTGTGGGGCATGCAGGGAAGACACTGAACGGTGAACAACAAGAAGAGCCTATTGCGTTGCCTAGGTCGTAAAATGCACGAGACAGACATGAAAGTCATGTCCAATCTGTCGATACAGTAATGCTGGTAGGTAAGGGCAGAAGAGGCATCGACGAAGGTCCGGCACCTAGCTTCCCGTCACATGCGGCGATATTCTTTCATAAATACGTCTGGTCATTTCGTATATAGAACATGCACACCAGTCGATGCAATACCCCGTAACCTCAACGCCTCTCGCCATGCATGCAGATTCCTTTCAACCAGACCTCCGCTTCAATGCGCATGGTCCTCAGCGTCGCAACCGCAATCACCCCCAAAATCCCTCCTCGCTTGCCTGGCAGCCTCCATCCACGGCTCGAGCTTGGCATCTTCCCTCTTGGAATATTTGTCGTCCTTGCCGTGGCCGTTGCCATGCCCATGCTTCTCCGCATTCTCGACAATTGCGTCCAACCAGGCTGCTAGCCTGTATCCAGCCTTTGCGATCTGCTTGGTCACAACTGGTATAGCGGTCTCATAGTACGCTCCAGAAAGCTCCTTGCCGAATACCGCGTCTGGGCCGTTGGGAAGAACCGTAGAGCACACATATTTATTTGCGTCTCGCGCCCAGATTAACGTGGTGTCGACGGCGTCTTTTGTATCGATACCCTTGATCCAGGACTTTGACTCCTTCTTATATTGTCCGTGCTTGATCTCCGAGGTGAGGTTCTTGGCCCAGCTCAGCGCAGTAGCTTGAGAAAAGTTACCGACAGACTTCTGAGGAATCGCAGTGTCCCAAATGGAATGAAGATTTGTTCTGGCACCGTTGAAAGTGACGTTGATGAGGTTTCCTCCGACCGCAATGTTCTCCACGTGCAGCGGTTGATGGACATCGCCAACGAAGTGGATAACCCACTTTAGGGCCTTTTGCTGCTCGATGACACTGATGTTGCTCTCGACGGCACGACTTGAGTAGTTTGCGAGGGCGGAAATGATGCAACCTTCCTCTGGACAGTCTCTAGCATAGTCGATGTTGCAACTCTCCGGTGGATTGTCGAGGGCATCGATGTAATGGAGAACACCAGAGAATGCTCCTTCAGGCGTCGAGCGGTAGCTATCCGCCCAAGTTGCGACGTTGGCAAGGTAGGCTCCCGAGGTGTCGTTCAGCAACCGCTGAGCAAATTTCGTGGTCTTACCGCTGACGAAGTTTTGAGCAATATACGCAACGGTGGTATGGCCGAGCGAGCCCCATGCATTAGCAGCTGGAAGGGCTACAAGCAGTGGAAGGAATGTCTTGAGAGATGCCATTGTGGGTGATGTAGAGAGGTAGTCAGCTATACAGAAAGGTCAGGGTCGTCGAACCATAAATACATGTCGTCGCTTGCTTAGTCTGTCAAACGTTCAAGGCTCGGCCAAGTCCGTCCCTTGCCACAATGCTTCGTGCAAAGCTTGAGGCGATGATAGGTAGGTGGGCGTAGTTTGCTAAGCCCAAAAGAGGCGCCTTCCCGTTTCAGCCTAGCATATCTGCGGAGTGGCAGGCACGGCGGAGTGATGATTGGACGGATCTTGAGCCACAAATCTAAGCCAGGTGTCTGGGACCGGAGAAGGAAGACAGATGCGGCGGTTCTACGTAAGATGCTTAGCGCATGTCACACGATGCGGGAAGATCATCGTACATGTCATTGGATCCCAATGAGGAGCGATGGCCAAGGCACGTTGCTGACCTATATCTATCTGCAGCAAGCTGCAACTTTGGGTTGCCGCTCTAGAAGCCTCAAATACGTGCAAATACTTGGCAGGGTGACAGGAAGACGACTATGTTCCTTGAATGTAGCAGACCACTCCCAAGTCTATATAAATCGCTCATGTCTCACTGATGAACATCCATCAGTGCAACCGGGTATCTCTAAATCGTGAGTGTTCGCCAAACTCCAGAAATGCAAGTGCGCTTATATTTTCATTGTACAGGCGCGACGTCTACAGGCACGTCGAGATTGTCATGCTCGGTAGCTTCCGTCTCTTCCGTCACCTCTTCAACAGGCACTGGGCGGCCTTCAATCAAGCGAATCCACCATGACGGGGGGTCAAGCGGGCTGTGACCCTCGTGCAGTGGGGGGTAGATATCGTTGAAGTAGTACCAGACTGGACATGTTAGCCAAAAGTCGACATGCAATGTTCGGTCAACGTACTGTGGCCGACTACTATGCCGCACATCTCGTCCTTGGGCACCGTGCCGTGCATGATGAGCGAGAAGCACAGAAGCACCCACGGTAGGTAAGGAGCCTTGAACACCAGCAGCCCAAGGAAACTGAGCAGCGTGTCTGGGTTCTTCCTGCTCCAGATGTATATGAGAGTGCTACTGAGGGCCGAGCCGAGGAAGGCCATGGAGAACATGGGCGCTATGCAGAGGAGAAGCGTGGAAGCGAAAGTAAGCAGCCACGAGAAGTGGGCTGGCGAGCGTCCGGACGACTCCTCGAGAAGGCGCGAGTAGCGCTGGAGGAAGAAGATGTGATAGAGCAGGTCGAGACTTAGCGGTCCGAAATAGAAGAAGGTGGTGACCAGTCGCCAATACTATTGTGATGGTGTGAGTTTGCGCTTCGTACCATGACAGCGGGACAGCGGGACAGCCGGACAGCGGAGGGCTTACCTGGCTTTTGAAGAAGACAGTGCGGACGCTGTAGAAGAGCTGGAACGGCGAGAGGATACGGCACTGGACCAGCACACTCGCGCTCAGCGCTGCCGTCATCCACCATCTCGTGCACACAGGCATCTCGTAGAACCACTGCTCTAGTGGGAAGCCGCCCATCATGCCATCCCCGCCTCCAAGAACGTTTGCCATGTTCAGTCGGCAGCAGCAATGCGGTCGCTGGTCGCTGAGCGTGTAAGCTTGCGATGGTGTGTGTTTTGCCAGCAAAAAAAGGCCAGGTGGAGATTTGGTCAGCTCCACGTCGTCACCAGTCAGGTCCGGGAGAGACGGTCGCGGGTGGCATCTGGCGACGTAACTCTGCCAAGTCGCGCTAACCGCAATCTAATCAGCACCTTCCCCACCAGCTTCAGCACCACGGATAAGGTCCGAGCGCCACTTCGCGTTCCCAGCCTTTTGCTAGCCACTCGAATAAGGCAATGCGGAAGCCCCTTCACAACAAAGGGCCCATGCCATTCACCCGCATGCGCTCTTGCACCTGTTTTTGACCGTTCCGCGCCCATATTCTTGAACAGCCGCCGTCTCTCGCCAGACTGCTCCGTTGCGACGCGATACCTCACTGTTGACGCGACTTTTCGTGCTGAACACGCGCCGCGGCAAACCCCGGACGCCAGGCAGTCCACCAGGACCACCAGTTCTTCTCCTAGCAAACACCGACCATCACATCCCTCCAATTGGCATCCCCCGAGAGAGCTTTCATCGGAATGGCGCCAAAGACACCCGACAGGCGCAACAAGGCGCGTCCTTCGCGCGGAGGAAGAGCAAGCACAGGATCGCGTGGTGGTGGTGGTGGTGCTGTTGGCGCTGGCGGGCGCAGAGAGTCGGGGAAGAGACGTACGTTCCCCAAAAAGGACCAGCCGTGGTGCGCGCACATGTGCTGACTTGCATCACAGTTGGCCAAGCAGGGCCTGCACCTGATCGTGCGAAGAAGCGCTACAAGCCAGGCACCGTCGCATTGCGCGAAATCCGCCGCTACCAAAAGTCAACCGACCTCCTCCTCCTCAGGACGCCTTTCCAGCGACTTGTACGTACCAGCAATCATCTCCATGTACCTCGCGCTAACGTTCCAAGGTCCGTGAAATCGCCCAAACCGTCACCACCGAGACCGGTCCCACGAGATGGCAAAGCCAGGCTATCCAGGCACTGCAGGAGGCCACTGAGGCCTTCCTCGTCAACCTCTTCCACGATGCGAATCTGTGCGCCATCCACGCCAAGCGCGTCACCATCCAGCAAAAGGACATACAACTCGCCCGCCGGTTACGCGCCGCCTGGGGAGCTCCGGTTTGAGCCTCCAACACCGCACCTTCACCACCAGATACCCATTTTCTCGTTTTCTTGTCGCTCGTAGGTTGTGCACGGTTATGTTGGAGACTATTCAGTAACTCTTTACTGTTGGATCGAGCGAGCTTCGGCTGTGTGTTTGATACGACTTTTACGGCGTGGTGCACTGCTTCTGGCGTTCTGTGGCGTACAAGTCTCTGCATGTCTCATGGGTGGTCTCACTTTTTTCCCGACATTGATGTCACATTCGATCTTGATTCATACGTGGAACGCGTCCAACTCTGTCTTTGTTGAAGAAGGCCTACAAGCAATTTTATCTGTCATGAAACCGTTCCTGCATCACACTCATCTTGATGAAATTCATCGCTCGTGGAGCTTCTAGCATGATCGACCCTGTTATCGCGGCGCTCTGTGACTGCCCATCGGTACGAGGCTGGCTGCGGTGTAGTGACGAAACCTCCTAGTTCTCATAGTTCGTATGCCTGCACCGCCCACCGCCTGGGCAATCAACATGTGAAGTACGTTCACCGTGACATCGTAATCTTCCTTCCAAACGGATGTGTCCATGAAAGAAGACCCTTGGATAACATCGTATCTTCGGAATCGCGCGGCGAATGGAGTGATGATCACAACCTCTTGCAGGTTTGGCAAGCCGGGCAAGGCTTCTGTAAATACCCGACTCAACATGAAGAGTACCTGCTCTTTCAACGTATCCAATTCGTCGTCTTCCACGCTGGGAAAGGCGATACGCTCGTCTCCTAGTTGCGCGAACACGAGCTGTTTGACTCCTTCTCCAAACGCAGGTCTCTTGCTGATGTTGAGCAACAGCTGCAGCGGCTTTGCGTGCAGGTCGAGCCTGAGGGTTGAGAATGCTGCTTTTCCGAATTCATATTGCGTCTTCAAACACAGAGCGCGACAGGTGAGACGTAGACTACAAATTCCGTTATCCTCGAAGCCGTATTTTGGTGTAACAAGGTGCCGGGTGATCTGGCTCAACAGCTCAGTCGGGAGGGCTGATAGAGACGCCATTTGTATTAGGGTGAGGGCAGCGGTGTTCTTGTGACTGAGTTCCAATAGAGCGAAACTGTTCTTGCAAAGATGTGAAGCTATTGTTGCGCACAATCCGAGGTCAGAAGGCATCAACTTTAGAAGGCACGCCTGACCACAAGTGACCTAGGCGGGCTGCGTCGTTCTTGTACCCGCCAAGTGCCATGCTTGTTCTGCTTACTGTAATCCATTTGATTCTAGCATTCATCATAGTCTTATACCATGGTGAACTTTTAGATGCATTCGCAATGTTATGAAGCTGGTATTCGGTAACAATTTCGGGCGCCTCAGAGCTCTTATCGCGACATCCCACCTTCCTCTTCCACATCTTTCGCTGACACGCATATCGCAACGGTTACGGGTGTCCAAAGCTTATTAGGCGTGCCAAGCGCAGCTTTAGCATGGAAGCTCTCCTAGAGCCTTGGCTGTGAGATTTCCCCCGCTCCTATCACCACTTTTTAGAGGGATCGACGTCATTGACTGGCTGCCTCAGCTCTCGTTCCTGCGGCTGCACTCACGCTATGGCTGAACAAGGAAGCTCAATACGACATTGCCCGTTGCCAGCCCACGGTTTACCGAACAAGTATTGGACAAGACTATGTTTCTGCCGGTGCGAGCAATGGTTATAAAGGGTGCCACTGGTACCTGCATTGATAGCATGTTTTTAGGTCGCGGCCCTTAGTTTAGGACATGATGCTTTTGAAAAAACTGCTGTCTCTGGGCGTGGCTGGGGAATTAGCAAAACTCGTTGCCGCTCAATTTCCTCCTAAACCCGAGGGTGTTACCGTACTAGAGTCGAAACTTGAAGAGGGCGTTCGGATTTCCTACAAGGAGGTATGCATGGCATCCAATGACCTCCATATTTCCCCACCACTTACGCTTGCTCAGAATGACCTTTGCGAAACGACCGATGGCGTGCGAAGCTACTCAGGCTACGTTCATCTCCCAGCCGGAGCGTTAGCAGATCTCGGCGTCCAAAATCAGACATATGAGATCAACACATTCTTCTGGTTCTTCGAGTCGAGGAAAGATCCCGCCAATGCCCCGCTCAGCATCTGGATGAATGGCGGTCCTGGGAGCAGTAGCATGGTCGGCCTACTACGTGAAAACGGGCCCTGCTACATCAATGCTGATTCAAACTCTACCTCGATCAGCGAGTGGTCATGGAATAACGAAGGTATGTCATATCATTGAACTCCCAAAGAAAAGCTCTGTGAGGAATGCGTCGCATTCACTCCAGGTTTTCAACTACGACAGGAAGTAAATAGGGCTATCTGATAGCCTGAAGCCGTACACAGCATTGGCTTCAATTGCGTCCTCAATCATGACACGTCCGAGCAAAGACTAACCTGGAGTAGTCAATATGCTGTATCTGGATCAGCCAGTCCAAGTTGGCATGAGCTACGACAAGCTGACAAACATCACTACCAACATGGATACTGGCGCTGTCAAGGTGGCCAACTTTTCCAGTGCAGTACCTGCTCAGAATGCTTCCTTCTACGTCGGCACATACCCAAGCCAGGATGCCAATCTCACCACCAAAGGTACCGAAAACTCAGCCCGAGCTCTTTGGAATTTTGCCCAAGTGTGGTTCCAAGAATTCCCTCAGGTACGCCCAACATGCACTGCTTTTTTCAAGCTCATATACTGACTATGGTTTTCACGCACACAGCACAAACCCAATGATGATAGAATCTCAATAGCCACGGAATCATACGGTGGTCGGTACGGACCGGCATTCTCCGCTTACTTCCAGGAGCAAAACGAACGCATCCTCAATGGCACGTGGACCGAGGCAGGACAGACTCACCTCCTGCATCTCGATACCCTATTGATCATCAATGGTTGCATCGATCGCTACGTTCAATGGCCGGCGTACCCCAAGATGATGTATAACAACACATACGGTATCAAGGCTGTCAATGAATCTCGATACGAAGGTGTGATTGATGACCTTTACCGCGAGGGCGGGTGTCTCGACCAAATCGAAGAATGCCGAAACCTCAGTCTTGCATACGATCCAACCAACCAAGGCTTCAATAGTTCAGTCAACAAAGTTTGCGAAGCAGCAGAGACCTTTTGCAGTGAAAACGTTCGCGACCCCTACTTTGACACGGACCTGAACTACTACGACATCAGTGTGCCCGGCGCAGCATCTTTCCCTCCGCCATGGTATCAGGGTTGGCTGAACCAGCCTCATGTGCAACAAGGACTGGGTGTTCCTCTGAACTGGACGCAGTCTAATGGCGCATCCTCTCGAGCTTTCCGAAGCATTGGTGACTACCCACGACCAGGTTGGAAAGAGGATCTGGCATATCTGCTGGAAGAGGGAATCAAAGTCACGCTCGTCTACGGTGATCGAGACTACGCTTGTAATTGGTACTCCGGGGAGCTGCTGTCTCTCGCTATCCCATATGAGAACGCGACCTCCTTCGCATCGGCTGGGTACCAAGATCTCATCGTGAATGATACTTATGTCGGTGGTCAAGTACGTCAATACGGCAACCTCTCCTTCACTCGTGTGTATGAAGCAGGCCACGAAGTGCCAGCCTACCAACCCGAAACCGCATTCAAGATCTTCACTCGCGCACTTTTCAATTACGATATCGCTACTGGGAATGTTTCGACAGCCTCAAACCCCACCTATGGTACCAAAGGTCCAAGTGACGTCTCTGGTATCAAGAACGAGCCTGTTATGGACCCTGGCTCGCAATGTTACGTCCTCGATCAGGGCCAGTGCACAGCGGCGCAGTGGGAAACTGTGATGAACGGAACGGCTCTGATCAAGAACTGGATTGTGGTAGATTCGAACTCGAGCTACTTGTTCCCCGAACTGATGGGCAATGGTACGAGTCCAGCCAACAGTACTCCGACAGGTGGCAAGCCTTCACAGTACACTGGTGCTGCAAGCTCATTTAGCGCTCTTGGGAGCGCAGTGCTGGCAGCGGTCATCTGCGGTCTCGTCATGGCGTGGTAATGTGGCACCAGGCGTTGGCAAAGTTCCTGCTTGCCTTTTCCTAATAAGAAGAAGTGAAGAGAAGGCCTGTATATATTCAAGAATTTCTGATAGAAATTAAGTAGAGTATCTTAAAGCTGCGTATATACTCAGACTCTCCAAGTTTATAACGAGTAAACCTGTAAATACTATTAGCTTATGTCGTGTATATGCATAGCGGGCACGAGTTTTTCCGATGCCTGGTAGTGGTTTCTAAATTACTATGATATGTGCCTACCACTGCAGTTCTTTCAGGACTTTCCCCAATCTCCTCATACCCTCCGCCATGAACACTTTTTCCATCGTATACACCACCCTGAACCAACCCGGTCTAATACTATGTTCTTCTCTAGGATGCAGGAACACGCCGCCATCGACCAGCTTCTGCGCTAACATGCACTCTCGCTCGAAAACACTCCTCCCCTCCTGTGCAGGCGGTAAATATCGGCTCAAGTCAATCCACACAAAGAACCCCGCATTTGCGCCTTTGAAATACTCAATGCCCAGCTCTTCTAGCCTTGACGTAACAAACTCATATGCCTCGCCAATCCTCTCCCGCGCCAAATCAATGAAGCCCCGACACCACACGCGATCTTCCAACATGGCGGTCCCAATCGCCACACTCGGCCCGCTCACACCATGGAACCGCAAAACAGCATGAACCGCTTTCTTCAACTGTTCATTGCGTGTAATGAGTGCCCCAATCTTGAGACCCGCGGCGCCAAAGTCTTTGGATAGACCGTACGTGACGTGGACGTAGTCAGGATCAATGATGGCTTTCGTATCTAGCGAAAGGAGGGACGTAAATGGTACTGCGTCTGGAAACTTGGTATTGCTGAACACCGAGAGCGCGTAGATCTCGTCCGAGATGATGTGTAAGGCGTGTTTGGCGCAGAAAGAGAGCAGCGCGAGTAGGGTGGGTTTGGAGTAGCATCGGCCTTTGTTCCTTCTTAGCAACAACCCTCCGGATTTGAGATCATTCAACGTGGTGACACGAACCTAGCGGATTATGCGGATTCACGATAAGCAGCGCCCTGACTTTTACACCTACTTTCTCACATGCTTCGAGCTTCTGTTCCAAAGCCACAACAACATCCTCGTCGAAACATTTCTCATGATCGGTCTCAGCAGCCACAAGTTCGACGCCGGCTTCGTTTCCGAAATCGAGCTCGAAGCGGCCGTAGTAGGGCTTAGTCGTCAGAATTGCTTCTCCAGGTGAGCAGAGAGAATATGCTAGGACACTGTGCAGTGCTGTTGCTGCGGCCGTGATTTTGATGTCGTCGCCAACAAGGAGCTGGTGAGGATGAAAGTACTCGTTGATGTGCGTTGCCAGCGCAGAAGGTAAGTGGGTGCCGCCAGCGCTGCAGTATGCATAGCGAAAGGATGCGCCTGGTATGTGTACCTATTGGAACAATGAGCTCTTGACATGATCAATGCTTGATGATGGCACGATATTCCGGGTGGTCGAGCTGGAGCCCAGCCCACATAAAATAAATGACTCTACCTTTTTGGCAAACTCTTCTAGCTCTTGCTGCATTAATGCATTTTCCGCCGTACCAAACGATATCAATCCGTCAGGATTAGTCTCGTGATCGTACTTGGTGCCTTGAGCAAATCGAAATGGAATATCTAGTTGGTCAGCATTCGCTTGACCGCGTGATGATAACATTGCAATAGCTTATGAAGATACGCCTCGCAGAAACGCGCTCTTGCGGTTGTTTTATGCCGATGAGCGGGATACGGCCGAGGGCCTGAGTTCATCGTGCTGACTAATATGCTCATCGTACTCATTACGGTACTTACGTGCCCATAATTGGCTTAGGCACGTTTTGAGCGACTACTCAGCGAAGTACCTTGATGTGATTACCTACAGTTGAATCGGTTGCGCACAGCACGATGCTAGATAATTTAAGTAGAAGGCATTGTACATTACCTGATATCTCGCAGGCTCCGTAGTACGATGAGACAAACAGTCAATCCAGATCCATGATTTGGGGGACCCCAGCCAGGACTGTATACGATCGAAATCGGACTAGAGGACAAGACGCGCTTGGATAGGGTACAGGAGTCCTGAGTTCAAAAGATCTGATTCTTATCCGATGAGCACAATGCTCAGTCTAGTAGGTATCTCACGTGCAAACCAGTCCACTCCGATGCTCTAACAAAACAAAAAGATAAAAAGGGCTCCGAAGAGACATGCAACGTGCTGACCACCAACTCCATAAAAGGTAAGGCAAACCACACTGAACCTGTGTGGGATAAGATGAAAGACGCCGTGACGTCGAAACCAGGTCGCATATACAAGATTAAGAGTTATAAACAGGACATTCCCGTTGGTCCAGCCACTTTTTGTGGGGTCGTAACTTCGGAGACGTCGTAGCGCGTAAAAGATCAAAGTACCTCATAGAGGTGTGTGAGGCTGGCAGGCAGACGTGATGTCGATGACATCAACAGCTGGGCGCGCGGCCACGCCTAGCGGATACTCTGCGGAAGTATGGAGAGCGGTGCTTGCGATAGATGCGACTTGAGCGACTGTTGCATCTTTGTGGCGAAACTCGCATCGATGCCGTCTTCAAGGAGGCCGATGCCGCTATCGTCGTGGTTCGGCTCTTGCTGAGAGGTATTCATATCCATGTCATAGCCGAAGCTCATGTCGTATTGTGACTGTTGAGTAAAGCTTCGAGCATTGACTGATCATCTTGTGTTAGTTAACTACCATAATCTTGGGCTGTGTAAGCAGGTTGACTCACCATCGTGGGTTGTATTGGCATCCTGCATCGCAACGTTACTAGCGGTGGACATGAAAGATTGACTGGGATCGAAGTCGGCGTCGATGCTGCTGTAACGGCTCTCGTTGTTGCTTCCACTGCCACCATTGGTCATGCCCGCGTGTATAGCGTTGTCCATGACGGGAGAAAGAGTGGGAGACTTCCAGTCAGGCGCAGTGTGGCCAAGAAAGCCACCCAAAGATGCTAGCCACTGTGCCATCTCGTCGACGAATACCTTGGTGAGCCACCAGCCTTGGAAGCTTCTGCCATTCTCCACAGTAATCTCCCGCAGCGCCGCACCTCCGAGAGCACTGACGCAGTGCAGTATTGTACGTGCCGAAGCGCTAGGAAAGCGAGAGGGTAACCGAGTGAGAAAGGCGGCGATGCGGTCAATCACAGATTCGGATGGGTCCGCAAGTGGGTCTGGTTGCGTGAGATGGTGGTAAGCACCAGAAGACAGTTGGATATCTTGCGGCAGTGGCCCCAACATGGATCGAATCTCAGCCGTCATGATGTTGTACACTTCTTCATGGTTGCAGGACCCTGGCAGTTCGTTTGCGATGATGCGTTTCAAGTTGACATACTCGACCCAGTCAGCGTACATCTGGATCCGGTGGTTGTCGGTGGTGAGCAGGACTGCAGCAGCGTGAGCTGTAGAGTTGACGCGAAGCATTTGTCGCAAGAGGTGTGTGAATAAGGTGGCGGGCTCGAGCTTAGCTTCTAATACGTGCATAGGAAGCTGGGAAAACTTGGTGTTGATGTGCGGATGTAGAGTCTTTGCTACGTTGTCGAGGAAGCGAAGAACAGGAGGCGGTGCGACTTGCAAGGTCAATTGCGAGACGTTGCGAATCATCTTCTGATACATCATCCAGTCGCACTCTTTGATCCATGGTGCGAGCTCGGGGGCAGAGAAGAGCTTCTGCACAGGTACAGTCAAGGTGCCGTGAAAGGTGCCAAACAAGCGGAAGAACTGCTTCTCTTTGCAGTACCGCACCGCATCGACTAGGGAGGTGACATGTGTACGGTACATGGCCACCAAGTTCTGAACAGAGTCAGGGTCCGTACGTGCTGGCAGGTAGGGGGCAATGTCGGGGAGTTCGATCTCCAAGCCATCGGGTGCTTCCAGTATGTCGGACGTGGGGAACTTGAGGTCATGCTCGTATGCCGTCTTTGTACGCGCGTTTGTGGAGCGGTAGTTGGCCGAGTAAATGTCGGTGTAAAGAAGACCTTTCGATGAAGTAGGGGCGTACTGTGTGTTGTTTGCTTCTGTTGCGATGTCGCGTGGTGGGAACTGCGCGCTGTCTGCAGGTAAACGAGGAATGGCATTGAAGTCGATTTTGGGACCGGTAGACTGCTGACGCTTCATTGCATGGTGTGCCGTGGCGCCGCTCATGCTCGTGCTTGGTCGGCGCTGCGTCTCTTCTCCGTCATCGCTGTCGTTGATGAGAGCTAGGTCAACGTAGTGGTATTTGGATTCGCCGCGGACGCCTAGTCTCCGGGTCTGGATTCCTGGGAAGATGACGCGGACGAGCTTGCCAAAGGATGCAGGATTGAGGGGAATAACGCGGTCGGTACCGCAGCGCTCTGCGTATTTGGAGTAGACGCGGTTGCGCGGAACCGAAGTTTTCGCAGTGCGGCAAACAGATCGGAGCCTGGGGGTGTGAGCTTACAGAACAAGTCTGAGGGAGGTCGAACTTACCACAACATGGCGAAGAGCTGCTTCGACTTCTCTGCCTTGGATGTCCGGTCGTTTTGGATGACCTCGGCGGCGACATCCTTGAGATGGCGGCCCTCATTCTGCGCCAACAGCTGCCGTAGTTCCTTGTCGTTGGTAGCGCTGCCCGATGCTGAGCCCTTCTTCTTCTTGTCCTCGCTCTCCATTGGCGGTGCCATAAATGAGGGTTGTTGTTGGTGTTGCTGCTGCTGCTGTTGTTGTTGTTGTTGTTGTGATTGCGGGGCCATGGATGTGTGGTATGGGTGCGTGTCCATGGGCGCCGACATGCCGTTTGGTTGAGGCTGTGGGGTGGAGTCAGACGGGTAGCCCAGGTACTGCTGCACGCTCTCCAGTGACATGCTCATGAGGTTGTCCTGTGCGCTAGCATGCTGGGCAGCCTGGAGCAGCGCGGGCTGCAAGGGTTCGCTGGTGAAAGCGGTGTTGTACTGCGGCTGGTGTGAAAACTGCGACTGGCGCGACTGCTGCGGCTGTGGCTGGTATTGCTCAAACGAGTGGACGCTCGTGGTAGAAGCCCGCGAGAGCGGACGATTGCTTCTTGTAGACATTGATGTAGTGGACTGCGACCCCGTGGCCATACTATGTGTAGATCGACTCTGTGTTTACACCAAAACAAAGCAATGGCAACCACTTTGAAAAGGGTGTCCAAGGACGACCAATGCTGTCAGAGTGCTCCAAGATGCGCCAGAAAGAGAGGTGAGCGCGAAATTCCGTCTCCGAGCGTTGTGGGAAGGTGCGCGCCGCTGTGATGACGGGTGTTGTTGTCGTACCGGGGCGATGGCGGACCGGACGAGATGCGCCAAAAAGTCGATCAGGCTGCTGTGATGATAGTCAAAGGATAAGCGGGTCCAAGAACGGCGGCGGGCACGGCGTGGAGGCCCTCGATGTGGGAGAGAATATCACGAACGGTCTGTTTGTTGTCATCATGGTTCATTTCGTTTCATCCCGGGCAACGGCGAGGAAGGCGCGCTAAGTCACGTGACTAAGCGCACCTGCCTTGTCCCGTCCATCTGCCATGATTACCATACATCCATGTCGCAGTGAAATTGGATCAGTGACCAACTACGTCCGCCGATTTGCATCTGGCTGTGGCGGCCTTGTTCTGTTGGTGACTGCACAGCGATTGTCATTGCCGGCGGCCTGGTGGCACGCTGGCTTGTGAAAGTATGCGTCATGCCAACTAGCCGCTTCCTGTTCCGCCGGCCCACACTCGCTCCTCCATAATCCTGTCCCTCACAAAACACCACCACCAAGCAGTGTACCACCACTCCCACACAACCCTCGCCGCAGCTGTATCTATTGCTCCCCGCGCGTACTCCCCTACCACAACCATCATGTCTGCCCAGGAACGCGCCCAGCAGATGCTGTCGCAGGTCGACAAAGAGGTAAGCCAGTGCATGTCTTATCAGCACAGGGCACATACCCCATGTGCATCCCCAAAGCGGCACCTATTCCAATGCCTACAGTGCTTTGATACGCACACATAGCGAACAGACGTGCTGACAGACTGTGTCCAGCTCTCCAAATACCCCGCTCTCAACAACTTCGAGAAGTCGACCTCTGTTCCCAAGGTCTATGCCGTCCTCGGTCTTGCCGGCCTATACTTTTTCCTCATCTTCTTCAACATCGCCGGCGAGTTCCTCGTCAACATTGCCGGATTCATCATCCCCAGCTACTACTCGCTGAACGCTCTCTTCAGCGCCAGCAAGGTCGACGACACTCAGGTATGTCCTACACGACTTACCTTTTGGACGGCACGCTAACAACACCACAGTGGCTCACGTACTGGGTCGTTTATGCCTTCCTGACTGTCTTTGAGAGTGCTGTGAGCGCCGTCTACTGGTTCCGTAAGTGTCATCACATGGTTTGGCTGGCTGCCGTACTGACCAATCAGCCTTCTACTACACCTTCAAGTTTGTCCTTGTCCTCTGGATGGCTCTTCCCCAGACTGCGTAAGTACTTCGCCCACAACTGGTTATCAATGTATCTAACCCTGCACAGTGGCGCCCAGATCATCTTCCGCTCTTTCCTCCAGCCCGTCTTCTCCCGCTACTTCTCCGAGGCCGGCTCTACCGCTGCCAACCTCCGTGCCAAGGTCGACTCTGCTGGCAAGCCCCATGCTTCCTAGAGCAGCTGGCTTGACAGGGTGTTTCTAACAGCCACATAACTAGACCGAGGAAAGGCAGCCCAGCGCGACGGGACAGAAGCTGTACAATCAACAAACACAGCACCCGGTTCGAAGAATGCAGCTATGACGGCTTAGGAACGCCACACAAAGGACAAACCACGACTTGCGAGACGTTTGGATGATATTGATGTTAATGGACCGAAGCGAAAGATATCCCTGCGAATGGCCATCAAGTGCCCGTGAACCTAATTATTTTAGCCTATGGATTGTTTTTGGCTTGTTGGTCCTTCTGAAACTTTAGGGAATGACTGTAATCAACGACTATGAATCATACATGACCGCAGCGAGCTATATGTGCATACTCCCCAACAGTTGTCGTGACTCTTTTGATTCACATAGCATTATTGTGCCCATAACCTTACCTTTGCGAGTGTGCGTGACGCCGAAAATCATGTCGCGTAGGAGAAAGCTCAAAGTTGAACCTACTAGCATCATCATACTTACATATACTATTCTCTAACATGCGGTGAATGATAAATGTGCGCAGATTACTATTCCTGTAATGTACGGCTTATGTATGGCCGAGCATCGATTTACCTAGAAGTGAACGATCAATCCTTCCCCTTCGAGAACAACCCGATCCGATCCCTGCTACATATCTTGCATGTAAGGCTCTGTAAGCAGAAGTCGCTCCTTTGTTGAAAGCCAAATCGATCGCATGTGCATGCACCGTATGGCTCCGCGGTGAATTATCCATGTCGGTCCCTTCTCACCTCTCTTCCATCAGCCTGGAGTTCTTCCACGTTCCATCAACTCCATCGCTTACTGCATGGGCGGAGTTGCGGATTTTACAGAAGTAACGCAATCATTTGCCTACAACAACAATGACATCATCATCATTCATCCAAGTTCCATGTACGCCCTGCTTGGTAGTAGGTCTCTCTCTTATGCAGTGTCTTGCGCAGTATGCGCCGTCCCCGCTTCCTCAAATATCCCGAGGAGCAATTCAGAAAGTTCAGAAAGCACGCTGAAGTCGAGATATGTAAGTTTGCAAAGGCCGAGCACAAGGATATTTTCGACTTCTTGGGCGCTTTGAAGATTGTCTGCGCAACGTGACCAAGGACCAATTTGGCCGCTTGAACGATGCGTTGATCATTTTGAATATTCTACCCACTTCGAAGAATGATGCTGAACTCGGTAAGGAGACGCGCGAGCTGACTCAAGTGATGGTAGCTACAAAAGAGACAAACCTTTAGAAGTCTTGTGGCGTACCATTTGTTGTGGCGGGCAAGTGGAAGAGCCTCGTTATGAAGAAAATACTGAAGTGTATTGCTAGTACGTGCCGGGTGAAGGGGTTTGTGCATACCATTGATTAAAATCTTGAGCAGGTTGACTTTGTTGATCCGCGCGGATAGATCAGCTTCGAGGGTGCCATGGACACCAAGAAGTGGAATGATGAGAGTGGGCATAGTCAGAATCTCGAGTTCTCAGAACAAAAACCTTGGGGGAAGGATGGTGGATTATGGTTGCATCTTTGTACGTGTGATTGATGTAGGTCACTACATAAGCAAAGTCACGACGCCAGGGAAACTTAAGGCTTGACAGCCCAGATGTAATGCCACAAACAAACACAATATTTGCTGTATATGATTCTGGTACTATGAACTCATTTTCGACGTGACTACTGGCCATGCTCGTGAGTGACCCCTGACCACAATCTTCGAGAGCAATCTGATATGCCAGAAGACCTATCCGCAACTCCAGTAGACTTGCTACTAGTGGAAAGATAATACCGTCAGGGAAAGCTGCGCCTTTCCGCTTGGCCTCAGTCACTTCATTGCCGCACTCGTTTGTGGTCGCCCACCCACGAGTATACAAAAGACCTCCCCCTCTCGATAACCCTTTCTCCACACAGCTCGCTATCTGTAAATCATAAGCCTCTTCAGCTCAATTTACCCTCTCTCCCTTCACAACTCACGATATATAAACCGTAGGTGCCCACTGTCACCGCAACACTACAATCCTTGCCTGATTCAAGTCCTAAAATCCAGAGAGTAATCACTTCAACTGCTAACAACTCAGGTCATGGCAAATCAGCAATCCTTCCACCAATTTCTCGACCTCCCCAAAGAGCTCCGTATCATAGTCTACGAGCACATCCCCGTCCAGACTCTCTTCGCGACCGCCAGCCGCGACGAGACAGGCACACCGGTAGTCCGTGTTGTCCTTCGCTTCGTGGAGCGCAACATTCTCCAAACCAACCACTTCCTGCGCGACGAAGCGGAAGTGTATATCCACCGAGAGACGGCGAAAATCAGCAGTCCCGTGCAAGTCATCGCCGACTGTGAATTCTTCCACGACGTACCCGCCATTATCGCGCGGTGCCATCGTGCGCAGAGTGTCCAATTGCGCGTGTTGGGAACCGACAGGGCGAGACTGGGCTTGGGTGCTCTGCGCTTCAAGGAAGAGAAGATGGATGCCATGAGGATAGATGTCTGGGCTCGCCTTGCCAAAATGAATCTCGCGACACGCAACGAGATACAGATCGGCATCTGGATCCATCGCGACATCAATCTTGCCCCCTTCCTCGACACACTTGAAGAATCGGTTGACCGCGTCATGAATGCCATTGGAACGGTGTTGGCGACGGTTTCGTTTGACTGGGAGAACAGAGAAGAAGTTGACGAAGCTGACGAGGTCTTTGACATGTTCGAGGATGAGGTTGTCCAGGTGGTCAAGGAGATGGCGACTGTTGCGAGGCTGGCTGAGTGGGGGGTTAGTCGCTTTGAGAAGCTGTTTCGCTACACCGATGAGGGTCTTAAGATAGCAGATGACAGAGGTTCTGAAGACGGATCAGAGGATGGAAGTGGAATGGAAGTGGATGAGGAATACTGAATATGGGAAGAACGGCTTCGGGAAGTTGAAAGAGCACACTGACAGTTGCGACTTGGTCCCCACGTGCTGTTTAATCATACGATGCTATATAATACATGATTTCATATCCAAACATCACGTCTTGATCACTTGAAGCAGCTGGTAATTCAGATTGGAAATCGTAAAACCCAGCCTGGATGCCATTGGGACTGTTCGCAGGAGCTCTCAGTAGACTAAAAGTACAGTGGGAAGAGCTTCTAAACATTAAAAATACACAAGTATGCATGTTATGTGCCTTGAAATTCTTCAGGATGCTCAAGTTCTGCCCACGATATCAGGGCACTGTGCATCAGTTCTCCATGACACTCCACCCCACACCACTCCCTCTACCAAAACCACCACCCCTCACCACCGGCCCATGCCCCCTCTCCCCCAACATCTTCTTCCTCAGCACCGGTCTATCCGGACTGTCTCCACCCCCATCTTCCTCCCCCTCCCCTTCCTTCTGCGGCCACTTCTTCGCAAAGTCTTGCGCACCTCCTCCAATCGCTCTCATTTCCTCATTCTCCTCTCCATTCTCATTCGCCGCGTACTTGCCCACAATGTCCAGTAGACTTTTCTCGCCCTGGTCTTTCCTCTCTTGTTCCCAATTGCTGTACTCGTCCCACCACCACTTGTGCGTCTCGCCGTCTTTGCCCAAGTAGCCCGCTGTGCCATTGGGCTTGACGCGTGCCGCCCACGGCTTGTCGACGATGTAGTGCAACACGGCGACTTGGTCGTCGCGCCAGATGTTCGTGTGCCAATACCTCCACGTCTTGAGCGCGTTTGTTTTCCACGAGAGCGTCGACCAGCGGCCATCGAATGCCTCGTTTAAGAAATCCTGGTCTGGGAACTTCATGGCGCGGAGTTTGGCATTGCCCAAGTCTTGGAATTTCTTGCGGACGAATTTGGACAGCGCGGGAGAGGGCTTGTACAAGAACGTGCCGCTGTTGAAATTGCTCAAAGTGTCTGGGTCAGGTTCGACTTTGGCTAATTCATTGCTGGACGTGAGTCTAGCCATGGCGCAATTCTCTGGTTTCCAGGACTCAGGCGCCCATGAATCGTGGTCGAGGTTACACACGCACGTGTGTACAGCCATCATCCTCATGCCATCTCCGCCGTCTAGATACTCGTCGTTCTTGTCGTTGAAGATGAGTGGACTTGGGTTTGAGAAAATCATCATATCTGCATCGAGCCAACATAGCCTCTCGAACTTTTGCTCCATTTCGTGTAGGTCGAGGACACGTAGTTTCGTCCAGGTGTCGATGAAGCGCTCCGCGACCATGCCGTGTTCGGTGCCATCTTCAGGGAGACGTAGATGCTCGACGGGGTGGAGGATGATGTTGGAGTGGTTGGCTTCATCCCTGAAGGCCTGGACGGATAATTCAGGGAGCGTCTCTGGAGTATACGTGATGATCAATGGCGTCTCAGGCGAGTGCTTCTTTAGTGTGTATGCGAGGAGAATTGCGCCGGCAAGGTAGCTTGGTCTTGTGAGGAGTGTGACATATGCATTCTTCCCTGATGGGGACTTTGTAGCGTCGGCCATGCTGATCTCAGGTTGCGTTATTGTCCACGATCGAGAAGTGCAATTATGTCGTTGTTTTGTTGTGAAAAGACGTGCTGCAACAATAGTCGCGTCCCACAGTCCAACACGCTCTGACGTCACGACTGCAATTCCGAGACTCGGAAAGGATAGTTTAAGCATAGAGCGCATCAGTGAGCATGGTTGTACAATTAAACGTTTCAAATTCGGGTATCTGTCATGAATGCAACCGGCTACCACACATATCATACAAGAACACCAACCATAACAGCTAGAACACCTTGCCATCCTCCTTAGCAAGTGCCTTATCCCACGCACTCTCAAAGCTGTCCTCAGCAATAGCTAGGCTAGGCTTCTGAGACACACCCTCAGCTGTGCCCGGCCTACTCAGTGCTACAGCAGGAGCGCCCTCAGGACTCTCATATTCAAAGTTACTCGAGTACACTACGGCTGCGAATGCCTCTAAATCTCTAACCTGCTCAATCGCAGCCAGGTACTCGTTGTTTGCTCCGCTTCCGATGCTGTGTGCCTGTCGGCAAAAGACTGCCAGGCTGTTGGCAACCTTTGCTTTGACGTCGCCGCCGACGATTTCTTGGACGCGAGCGGTGCTTTCGGAAACGGGAGGGATCTTGTAGGACAACTGTGAGATCTTGTTATCGACGAGATGTGAGAAGCCGGCATCGAGAAGGAGAGTGAGGACGTGTGTGAAAGACGGTGAGTCGATGAGGTCGGATGTTTCGTCGATCAAGCGGCGTAGGGAGGTGGTGGTGGTGGGCGAGGTAGACTCAGAAGACGAAGTCATGCCTGATTCGCGGAGGACATAGTCTTCTTGGTCTTGTGGCGGAAGCAGAAAGGAGAGCCATTTGCATGTTCTGGTGCTGGTTAGTGGATACACATGCTGGTGTGGTGTGGATTAGAACGTACCTCCTCTCCTCCTCTGTAGCACCCTCAACGCGCTTTCGCACCTCGAGAGTGAGCTCTGAGAGTCTTTCCAAGGTGATCTCCTCTCGTGGGTTGAGCGAGCCAAAGACGTCTTTGACCGCGACGCGCACCTTGTCAATCAGATGGATGCATCCCTTGTGCAGCAGCCACCAGCTCAAGCTCAGATATCTCCGGTTCGTCTCGAAGTCGTTGCCATAGGCTTGCTCAAAGTTGTCGTCGTCGTTGTTCTCAAGGTTGATGCGCGATCCCTCGGTCATGGACTGCGGCGCTGCCAGAGAGACAACGGAGGCGAGGTAGTTGCGGCGGCCGAGGAGGTTGAGCTGGATGCGGGTGAGGAGCGTAAGTAGCGAGAGGGTATAGATGAGCGTGAAGGCTCGGGTGATGGCTGGTCATGTCAGCTTCCAGCCAATACCATATCATGTCACGGCGAGAATGCTCACAGCCTATCTTCATCTCGTTCCACAGCTGCGCCTTGCTCTTCTTCTTTTCTTCGCTGGGCGCCGGGTTTGCCTCGGCAGGCACTGGGCTGCCCTCGCCCTCACCCTCGCCCGCGCCTTCGATTGCGACCTGGCTCGCGTGGACGTAGCCATCCGTCTGTATCGAGCTCTTGCCGTCGTCCTCGGTCGTATCTGCTACACTCGGCGGTGCTGACGTTCCAATCTCACTCGGCCCAACGCTCCGCGATAGCCGCTCTGCCTTCTGGCGCTGCAGCTCCTCGAGCACTTGTTCCACGGGTATCGCCTCGAGGATGTTTTCCGTCGCAGTCGGCAGGATGGCCAGGACGGTGAATGTGCAGTCTTCCTGGTTCTGTTCGAATCGTCGTCGTAGACTATTTAGCCATTAGCCACCTTCGTTGCCCCCTTTTTTGCGGGACACATACTTCTCCTTCGCGATGCGGTCCTCGCCCATGCGCTGCCTCGCCTCCGACAGCTTCCCCAGCACGTACTGCCCCGCCATGTACCCGGCACCGAGCACTCCAGCGCCAATGGCAAAGTTGGTGCGATTCCGCCGCAGCCATTGTCGCGTTGACTGTATCATGGCGGTGTTGTCGAGAGTGCGATACCTGAGCTTCGGGGGGCAAGCTGGAGTCGCGTGTGGGGATGTTCGGGACTCGAACGCGCGCAGACGTGGCACGTCACTGTTGGGGCGATGCGATGGCGCTGCGGTGCACTAGAATCACGTCGATGAGGGTATTTTGCCTGTTCCTGGACTTGCTGCAGCGGTATGCTTTGCGATGCTTCAATCCCACGTTCTCGTAAGCTCGAGGGGGCTGGTGAAGGTGCGAGTCGACCCGTGATTCCATGACCCCCGTGGCCGAGGTAATTGCCAGTTCGGGACAACCGACCCTGTCACAACCACGCGAGCATGTCATCGCATCCATCCAACGACCTGAAGCTACACACAGCGCTTATCTATCGAATCGCGATCCTGTCAGTACTCTGTGTAACTTCAGGCCAGCGCATGGACTGTCACACCTTGGTCACTTTCCGCTATAGCTGTAGACTCGCAGTCTGTTCGCAATCTAAACTTTTCTATTTGATCTGGCTTTCGTCGTGCCATCCCCCTGACCATGTACTTTCGTTACACATCAAAACTCTTGAAACCTTTCCCACTATGCCAACCATGCTGAACTATCCGATCTAGTACAGATCGATCAAGCTGTCGCCCTGAACGTCCTCGTACTTTGTCACTTTTCTGCCCTCGTAGACGCTGTCAATGGGGGGAGATGTGGCTGAGCCGTTAGCAAGTACGGGCTGGCCGTCGTGCATGTTTGAAGGTCCACGAAGCTCGGAAGCAAAGGTTGGCCGGGCAGGAGGGAGCCTGTTTTGGGTTTAGTACACTGTTGGTAAGAGAATATATGATGCCTTACCTGCGAACAGCCTCTTCGGGCCTCTTCTGCTCTTGGCTTGTCTTCTTCCCTCCCTGAGTGTAACTAATGATTTCCGCAGGCTTCTTCTCACCCTGGTTCAGCATGACGTTCGCCAAAGACTTCTGCTTGTCGAAATCCACGCTTCCAATCCTCGCGCCCATGGCAAAGAGGTTGTAGGGGTGGCTGGAGTTGTACAGGAAGTCGAGCTCAGGGCTGTCACGAGCCATGGTTCCCATCTTCAGCTTGTTCAGTGCGACCTCAGCGCGACGAGCAGCACTGTACCCCTCCAGGAAGCTCTGATCGTGCGCGCCTTTGTCAGCTGCAGCCCGACCAGCTACCTTGCCTGCACCAAATCCGCGATTGTACTCAACGTCGGCGACCTCTTCCAGCTTCGCATCCATGTTCGGCATGGCAATCTCGCGACGTTCAGCTTCCAGGGCGCCGCGAATCAGCGCTTTGTACTGCTGTTCGCGCATCATCTGAGCTGCCTCACGGAGCTGAAGTGCTTTGTCGCGGATTGACATTTGGCCTTCGCGGTCGGAGACGTTCTTCTGAGCAACAAGCTCGGCCTGACGACGCTCGTACTCACGGTTCACCTCTGCCATGCTCAGGGTGCCCTCTTGCACATCGTCATCACCCATGTTTGCCTGGCGATACACCTGCTTCTGACCTTCGCTGAGGAAGACCTCGGTTTGCTCAATCTGTGCTTGCCGAAACAAAAGCTCACGCTCCTTGGCTTCGAGCTTGCCTTGCTGTGTGAGGGTCTTTACTTGCTTGTGGAATAGCTCTGTAGTCAGTCGGGCTAGAGCGTTGTCTGTTGTATTCTGCACCTCTTGCTCGATCGAAGCGCGCATGTTCGCGCTCTTCTTGCGCTCGGCGTCCAGCTCATTGCGCACCTTCATCATTTGGGCGCTCAAGCGCGCTACCTCTTCACGGCCATTGAATTCCCGTAACGAGTTGTTGGCATAATTGTTGCGCGGAGCTCGAGGCACATCGGCGTACCGAGATTGCGGGATCGCTGAGGACTGACTGCTGGGGCGCAAGTGAGGAGGCACACTGCCTGTAGGCTTCGGTGCCTCAGCAGGTCCAACGTCGCGAGTCGCATCTGGTTCAGTGCAGCCCAAAGCGACGTCCTTGCCAACTGTACCATCATTCTTGGCATGGATCATCGTTGATGCGGCGGCTGCGGGCTCGAACACGGTCTCAAGGTCGTCGTCACGATCTTTAGTGATGATATCTTGAGTCGCTTCAGGCTCAACTGGACCAGAAGTAGCATTGTTGATGTCTTGAGTCGTTGCAAGCTCTAACGAAACCGAAGCAATGTCCTTGTTAGCTGTATTGTCGATCTTGGTATCTACCACAGTTGTTGCAGCAGGGGTCAGTTCGGAGATCTCCTCAAGGTCGTCATCATCTTGGCTAGCGATGGTCTTGTGAGTGTCTTCAGGCTCTACTGAAACATCCACTGTATTCTTGTCCACTGCATCATTGACCACGGCGTCTACCACGATTGGGACAGCAGGGTAAGACTCGGAGACGGCCACTTCGGCCACGCTTGAAGCATCGCTCCCGAAGGCGGAGGAGATCGACGCCACACTCGAGTTGCCAGCCTGGACAATTGGGCCGTCCACAGGAACAATGCACTTGGTGTTTATTGGCTGTACTGCAAGGTCGCTGCCCACGGGGGAGGTTGCGCCGTCACTGACAAGCTTCTCCTCCAGCTTGGACGCCATCTTCATATAACTCGATGAAGTCAGATTTCTTCTAACAAATTAGTCCTATGAACTGGAAGATGTGAGGAAATAATCACTAACTCGTGTAGATAAGGTGTGTCTTGAGCTCGTGTGCTGTAGTTGACGTCAAGTACACTGATAGTGATCGGTGTCGTCGACTTGTGGATGGTGTTGCAGTCACGAGGATCAAAGAAGTAGAGAAACACTTGCAAAGGTATTGAGGATAGGAAATAATCCCGGTGGTGTAGAAAAGAAGGTTTGAGGGCTTCGGGGGGTTGCATTTATATCGGACGTCCGCCATTGTAACCGCTAGCAAGGACGTCAAAGGTGAGGGCGGCATGGGTCCTGTCGTCGTTTGCAGACGGTGAGAGCCTCCATCAGCGAGAAGCTGATATTGCACGATACTTAAGTAAAGGCGAGGGCGAGAGTAGCTTATTGTTGAGGTGTAACATATGCTGCTCGAAGGCGACCAGTCGAGTGCTCCGAGCGCTTTGCGCTCTGTTACCGACCTTGATATCGACCCATTGACACGGCCCTGGAAATCCCACCAGTCCGGATGAGTGGTATGATATTGCTTGGATATGCAGGTACCGTTCTGCGCCGTGGGGGTGCTTCGATATTATTCGCACAAGCTTCGGCCAATACTTGCTCAGCGAACAGTCGCTGCACATGTGACGAACATCACCGGCCACGTGCGTAAACATCGAGAGTTATCGAATAAACTACATACCGAAGAAGCTATGCTTCGATTCCGTGACCAGACTGAAGTTCACGCCTGTCCCTTCGAAAGCGTTGGTAATTTTGGGTGCATGAATGTCATGAATGCTTACGACACGGACTTCTTTGAGTCCTGAAAAGCCTCTCTGGCAGTTTCTGACAAAGGTGCTTAGAACCAACGGCTCTTGAAGTCGATGTATGTTTTCCATCGCCTGATCTTCAAGTAGAAGAAGTGCAAAACTCTCCAGGTTGGTGGGTAACAGATCCGTCAAACAGCGCGGCAGAAGATCCTCTCGCAAAGCCGCAAGTGTCCATACGTGACCTAGCAGTGTTATTTCGCAAATGGCAAGGGACTTCAAAGCCGTGAAGAGCTGCAATGAGCCGAGTCGCTCTGAAGCGGTGAAGCCATCATCAGTACGCACTTCCCGCATGTCAAGATGCAAAGTTTGCAATGTCTTGCTGTGTCGTAACAGAGCGGTATAAAGGTCCGATGGTTTAGTCCCAGTCGCAATCAGGAACGCCCATTCGCAAACGATGTGGCGCAGCCCCTGACATGCATTCCAGATGTCCACGACATCTTCAATGTCCAGACAACATTCGGTGAACTCGAGCCGCTGCAGCTGCTTGAATGCACCATGAATTTTGGGAGTCCAGTTTTGGGAGGTGACACCTGATGCTCGGAAGTCTTTGAGCTTTGGTACAGAGACCATAGACGAGCAGATGCTGTGGAACCAAGCGACCTCTTTCGCAGTGTAAACGCTAGCGCTCTCGGCGTGGATCTGAAGACTAGCTGACTCTAGCTTCTGGAATACACTTGTAATGGCCTTATCCTCGAACGGTGGATATCCCCCACCTGGTATGACATATTGCCAGAAGGAAATGGAGCTGGTCTCCAAGCTAACAACACACAGACGTTGCAGATTCGGCGCGCAGACAGCTATGTCTGCAAGTAGCTGCAAGTAGTTCGCAGCCATGTCAGTGGTATCTGCGTGAGAGCTATCTCGGTGCAGGCTGTTGCCTAGATTATCCGCAAGTCGGTTTTCGATGTACTGAAGATATTCCAGATAGCGTACTCGGCGATCTGAACCAGTATTTGAGCCTCTCACTGTACGATAAAACAGCTGCAGTGGTTTCGAGCCATACCAGGTGAGGCTGCCACAAAAGGAGGCGTATAAAATAGGTGTCGCAATTCCTCTAAGCCGGTGATTCGTGAGACAGAGCGAGTGCAAGGCTAGCTGCCTGGCGCGGTTCTCACATTGCCTGCCTATCTCTTTTGCTCTGTTTTTGAATGCTGTCGACTGGGTTTCGTAGGAACGGATGCAGCCTAGTCCTTGTACAATTTCCAGCACCAGTTCATCAGGCAAATCTTCTAATGTGACCGCGGATTTGGACATCTTCGTAGTATTCGCGGGACCCTAAGTTCATCTGCAACATTCGCATAGACCAGCATAGGCCGAAAATGAAAGGGATGCCGGTTCACGGGAGGCGTTGCATGATAACGTCTTCTGAAGCACAGTCAGATCAGTGAGATCGAGACTGTGACGTATTTGACGCTAGTCCTAGATAAGCTAGCGTTCCGCATCCTAAACCCGGCCTGCTTCGTGAACGGGTCCTGACAGGTGCCTGTAACATTGCCATGAATCATCACATACATGACAAGTGTCAGGTGAAATTCTGCGAGCGTCCTTTCTACCTAATATCATGATTTGAAGAAGGACATGGCGCAATCCAGCCCCGCAATGTCACCACTATTTAGGCGTACACGATCGCCAGCCGTCCACCACGCACATCAAACACCTTGCAGCCAGCATACGTATATAAAGCCAACAGGGTGCTGAAAGGTCTAAGAACTATACACTAATCGTACGATATGTGGCAACCGCGCAACATGTCAGCCAATACAACCACCAATGGCGAGAGGAATATCCAGCAGGGTAACAAGGAGTATGCTGCAACTTTCACGCAGGGCCACCTAGTGCTCCCACCTAGCCAAAAATATGCAGTCTGTATGTGTAGAAATCTTATATTTTTGACGTTGCTGACTTGCTTACTCTCAGTAACCTGCATGGATGCTCGGATCGACCCAACCGCAGCCTTTGGTATCCCTCTCGGTGCTGCTCACGTTATCCGCAATGCTGGAGCTTCGGCTCGCGACGCCTTCCGCTCAATCGTCATTTCTCAGCAGCTTCTCGGTACCACTGAGGTACTGGTTGTAAAACACACAGGGTGTGGCATGCTCACGTTTGACAACGAGACAGCCAAATCCCTCGTGAAGAAGAACAAGGGCGACGCAGCGGCAAAGGAGGTGGAGGATTTGGATTTTTTTACTTTTCCTGAACTGGAAGCAGAAGTCAAAAAGGATGTGGAGTGGCTGCGAAGCAAGGCTGTCGAGAATGGCATTAATTTCACTGGCTGGGTTTATGAGGTGGAAACCGGAAAGGTGCGCAAAGTGGTCTGAGTTCGCGAGAAACTATCGCATGATTTAGCTATTTCCTGCGCAAGATCTTGCACCAAAGGATAAAACTATGACGGAAAGCGACCAGGATTCAACAGCAGGCAGTCCATCGAGTAGCCTGAGGCTACGCATAGGATCTTACTATTGCGATCAAAGCCTAGCTGTAATTTGGATAGCTTCAAACTGTGGAATGCCTGATAAGATAGACTTCTTTAGGCCATGTGTCGCGGCGATATGTGGGTGATGATCTCACCAGGCTCATTAAAAAGACCTGGGACATGTTTAAGACCGCGCTCCGGGTACGCAAGTGACATCTAGCACGAGTGTTAGCTCCAAGGTTAATAACATTATTCACAACTTACGTCGAAGTTCATCACCAAAGCCGGGATGACCTTTCTCATTTCCAGCCAGGACACATTGAGCCCCAGACACATTCTCTTTCCAGCCGAGAACAATAGATTTGCGCGGTTCATCTTGGTGCGTTGCTCGTCGTTCACTTCGAGCCAGCGTTCCGGTCTGTACACGTCAATATCGTTGCCGAAGATTTCTGTGTTGCTGTAGATGCCTGCTGTGTTTACGGCGACAATGGTACCCGCTGGGACATACAACCCGGCTATAGTAGCACCACCAGCGGGTACTTCACGCTCAGGCATGGTGGCAACTACCGGATGCAGACGATTTGCCTCTTTAACACATGCTTCCAGATACTGGAGTGGCCGGAGTGCAGCCATTGGCGGTAGGCTCCATCCAGATTCTGTAGTTGCTGAGATAGATTCGAGCTCCGCACGTAGAGTCGCTAGGACGCGTGGGTTTTCGAGCAAACAGTACATGGTAACTGCGGTGGTGTATGCTGTAGTCTCCGAGCCAGCTGATATAGTGCTGACTGTCAGGCCAATGGTTGTGGATGGTGTGAAGAGCTCAGGATCGAGCTTGGCAGAACCCATATACAGACCCAGTAGGTCATCTCCTTGAGTCTCAGAACCTTCTTTACCTCTTCTTCTCTCGATAGAATCAATTGCAATTCGAGTCAGACCGGATAGCGGCCTCTTAGAACGCCTTACGAACCAGTTTTTATAGAGAATCGCGTCAAGCGAAGGTATAGCCCAATAAAGCGACCAGTGTTTGAAGCGTGCTTTTGCAGCTGCCGCAGAACCTCCCACGTCTTTTTGTTGTTTCATGAAACCTTGGTCTTCACTGAAGGCGATGCGTGCCATGGCGTCGAATGCGAACCAGTCACACCACTGCTTTAGATCCACGGTTCTTCCTGCAGCACGCAAATGATTGACCAACTCGTTAACAGTGTGATCGACATGTTTTTCGTAAATCAGCACGCCATTTAGGGAGAATTGTGAATGCAGGTTGCGCTTGATTCGCGCGGCCCTTCTGTCGTCTGTAATTGAAACCAGCGATGCGACTTCTGAGCCGTGGTTGAAGACTTTTGGTGGGTCATAACTCGAGGCCTACGCTAGGGTTCAGTATGTATAGAACAACCATTGGGCCGGAGGCCATACACACCTTGGGAAACGGATTCAACGTGCTTAATATGATCGGTACAGCTTCAAGCTGGCTGAAGAAGATCTATGGTTGTTACAAGTCGATCAATGTATACTCCTCGGTCTTAATACAAGAATGTGCTTACCCTATTCGGTCCATAACGCTGAGTGGGCCCGTAAGTCTGGTGTAATCGGCTTTTGAGCTCCTGTAGCAGTTCTCCGTTGTTCATGTGCCACATCAGCCACAAATTCGTCCATGCTGCTAATGGGGGTCCTGGGACTTTTCTAAAGTGCCAGTACTGCACCACACAGGTTATGATCGTGTACAGGGCGAGAAGTGATAGGAAATGTGGGATGATCTGGAGGAGACCTGATTGAAACATGTTCCAGATGGGAGCCGTCTTCGGAGAGCCAGCAAATAAAGGTGGTACAAGTCCGAAGTATGGCAAAACATTCAAACGGAACGCATCCTGCGCTGTATTTAAGCACCACACACACAAGTACATTTACATATCATGATTTTTGCTTGACGGCATTATCATTGTTCGGCCAACCCTGGTCGCGGACAGTCGCGGACAGTCGCTCCGTTCAACATCCGCTGCGCAAGCCCATCTGTACCAGTCAAATCAAAGAACAAGGAGAAGACCCAGTCCACCCCGCTCTGTGTTTGAGGCGTAATGAGTCTCCTGCAGCCTTTTGTCACGTGAGCTCGGCCGACTTTTACCAATTTATGTTATTGCACAGGTAAGCTCGGCCGATACATCATTCCAAGATTGTTCATTTGTTGTCGACGTTGGCGTCTGCAGTTTGGGCCCTGTTGAGCGTCCTTTGACAGCAAGACATGCGCTGTATGCTGGCTTGACTCGGCCTTTCCATCCAATGCATACTTTCGAGTGGATGATCTTGTGGTCTGCAACCAGCTGATCCTCTCATACTACGCGAAATGCCTAGTACTATCCCTACTCAAGCCTCACCTGAAAAAGACCCGGAAACTCGATACGGTGATGGCATTGAAGCCATGTGCCGCGACATACCAACTATGATCGGATGTGGATGGCGTGGAAGCATGGGGAATGAACAAAATCGGGCCGGATACAAGGTTACCGCCTTGCGCTATTATTGGTGGTCTTCGCACACAGGGAAACTCATCCATTCCTCCGCGACAGGATCGCTGAACCATCGTCATTACAGCAAGTCCAGTATCTGCCTTGGTAGGGACCTGTGAGTGTACGCACGGAACGAAATGTGTGCCATGATTTACTCAATTAGCGAGAGAATGTAACAATACTCGATACACGTTGTTTCCCTTATCATGGGAGCTTGACTTCGAACTTGCCGGTCGCCTGTGGCTTCGATAATACCCATAGAATGCCTTCCTCAACACAGTCATCCCAGTGCTTGGACGCCTTCAATGCATCACCGAATCTCCTGTGTCCGTGCGGTACGCCTTTGAACAAACGTGTCTCAGTGGGGACGTTGGCTTCCGACAGCAGTTTGGCATAAAGCAAGGCTTCATCTCGCAAAGGATCCAAGCCCGCAATGCCGAAAATCGTAGGTGGCAAGCCCGTCACCTCATCCTCTGTCGAGTTGACGATATTTAGCCTGGTATCCTTCAGTTCTGGCTGTGGTGCTTTCAGCAAACCCGTGAAAAACTCTACGGTCTTCTTTGGCAAGATTGGAGCGTGCTCGTTCTCGATGTACGACGAGACCTTCAGCTTCTTGCCTGGCCCTTGATCATATGTTTTTGGATCTGCGACACATGGTATGATGAGGACCTGACCGGCAAGTGGAGGCAGGTCCTTCGTTACGTCGCTCTTTTTGAGGTGCTGTTCAAGTGTCAGGGCCGCGGCAAGCTGTCCGCCGGCACTGACGCCGCCGACAACGACCTGGTCAGACCTACCGCCAACCGTGTCAATGTTTTGATGGAGCCATGCAAGCGCATCTTCAGTGTCGTTCCAGGCAGTCGGATAGACATGTTCAGGGGTATGCCGGTAGTTGACGTTTAGCACAATTACTCCAGTCTTGATCGCTGTTTGCGCACACGTAGCATCCTCGCTATCCAGAGACTATGTATCGCTGTCAGTCACTTATTCCACCAACTATCCACCAACTCAAGAACTCACCCCGAATATGAATCCGCCCCCGTGGAAATAAAGGTAGATTGGAAGCTTCTCCGATTCGGACTTCTTCACAGAGCGATAAGTTCGCGCTTGGATAGATGAGCCGTCACGCGTGGGGATGGAATAGTCCTTGGTATGTACGTGTGCCGATAATTGCGCCATTGCAGCAGCAGTGCGGTTTTCGCGCTCCGTGTTGACAGCACTGCGAAGAGTGACTGGATCCGTGTTGATATCGAAAGTCAACGCGGGAAGCGTTTTCTCCACAGCGAGCCATTCTTCGGATGGCCCGCCATACTTAGAGAAATCGAGTGCCATTATATGAAGACTGGGGAGGCCCAAGAACCGAGAGTGGTGTAAGATGGAGATGTCTTACAAGGATGTTTCGAAGCCGGGCCCGGCAGTCTTAAGGGCATCTACGAGCTTCATGTGCGCAATCAACTGCCCCTCAATTAGCGGATTTACCCCACATGTGCCGAGGTAGCTACAACTGCAAATCGGACCCATTCAGACTTCCGACTGCGTCAATTCTCGTACTCCGCCGCCCGTGTACCAAACATCCCTTCGTGCATGCCCAAACCCGGCATCTTGCATCACGGCCTGGAGAGATACGCCATAAAGACGGGATCATATACGAAATCCGTGCCTCTAAAAGCTTGTTCAGCATCTTTACGAAAACCGTATACCTAACCATTCGATTGATAGCATGGCAGATATACCATCCGAACCTCCATCGCGAGGTCTTAGGGGGAAAGCGGCCATCGTGACAGGTGCTGGTTGTGCAGGAGAAGGAATTGGTAATGGTCGCGCAATTTCTATCATGCTCGCAGACGAGGGGTGTAACATACTCTGCTTAGACATGAATCTGGAATGGGCACAAAAGACAGTGGCAATTTCGTCATCGAAGCCAGGTCGAGGAAGAGCAATAGCGTTCAAGGCTGATGTTACGAAAGCCACAGACTGCGAAGCAGCCGTGCAGTTGGCCCTGAATGAGTTTGGAAGACTGGACGTGTTGATCAACAATGTTGGTATTGGTGGAGCAGCTGGCACAGCTGTCGACGTCGATATGGAAGCCTGGACCAAAGGCCTAGAGATCAATGTCAGCAGTATGGTACAGATGGCAAAGTACGCTATACCAGCGATGCTGAAGAATGAGGGTGAAACGAGAGGCAGTATTATCAATATGGGGTCGGTTGCCGGTCTCAAAGGTGGAACGCCTCACTTGCTGTATCCGACAAGCAAAGGCGCTGTTGTCAACATGACAAGAGCGATGTCCGCACATCACGCCGCAGACGGCATTCGAGTAAATTGTGTCTGTCCTGGGATGCTGTACACCCCGATGTTGTACGCTGGGGGTATGAGTGAAGAGGCGCGCGAAGCGAGGCGGAAACGAAGTCTACTAGGCACCGAGGGAACAGCGTGGGACGCAGCTTGTGCGGTGGCCTTCTTAGCAAGCGACCATGCACGGTGGATTACAGGAGCTATCCTTCCGGTGGACGCGGGTACGACTGCTGCTGTTGGGATTGGGATGCCCAAAAGTGCCAGCGTCAACGGATGAGCACAAGTCTACCAACGGCCAATTAGCATATATCATCGCACCATGGGCGTGATTTGGTTAAAAGAAGGTTGGCATGTTTGTTCATTCTGAAACGGGGCCACGCAAGAACGCTGCAGGTAATCCGCGTCACCGTAGCAAAGGTAACACACCCAATCTGATAGGCCATCCAATTCTACTTATCCAAACTGCAAAGCGACGCTGGGGATGACATAGAGAAGATGCATTGACTAGTCTCGAAAGCCCTTCCGAGGCGAAATGTGAGTTTGGAGCATGCCTGCTGACGGTTCTGAGTTGCGACCCTGGGAGTCTAATCCCATCCAGGTTGATCCTGTAGGTTTCGTCAAAGCTGCTAGACAGTCTCTGATTCTGCTTCAAAGATGTCGAGTCCTTTCCGAAGATGGAATATGTATTGCCTGGCTTCATGGCAATGGATAATCGATTCAATCCAGTCTTTGCTCGGTTCGAAACGGATCGTGTTGACAAGTAGAAGACCACAACACTCCTCTTTCAAGATAGTGTAAATGCGATTGGCAAGTACTGCGTAATCGTTGTCCCGGACGCGAGTCTCTAGTAAGCCAAATTCCAGCTCTGTAAGGAACTTCCACTGGGTTACTTCCCTTGCAAAACTCCGGAGTCTCCACAAGGATACGCCCTGGAAATTTGACGTTATCTTTGTGTACCGAACACACGCTGCCAGGAAGGGAGATTCGATCTAATGGAAGAAGATGTATGACGACAGTCTCGAGGCTACTCCAAGACATTTCGTCGAGAGCATGGGGCCAGGTACGAAGTCGAGACAAAAGGGCGTCTTGACGTCAAGCGGATCCAAAGCGGTGACGAAGTTTTGGAACTGATACTGAGCAATCGGGTCAGGTGGTGTCCAGACAACCAGCCTGTTCACATCTCGGTTGATAACCGGAATCATGGTAAGAGCACTGAGCCAGTTCCTATAGTATCTAGAGTCCAGGACAAAGTTATGCCAAAGAACGTATCCGAATAGTGCCCGACAATGACTACTGCATTGCATAAGACTTAATAGCCCTTGCGCCACATGCCGATCCGTGGTATCAAGCTGAATGTAGTTAGTAGGGAACGATACAGAGAAAGAACTATTCGCTCAGGGCTTACCTTTCGCAGATGTGCCTGAATAATACGCAGCACTTCCACTGGCAGACGCTCCAA